AGCTTTCCTCCTGCAAGTCAACCCTCGCTATTGGCTTCTTGGAGCGACTAAGTGATGATGATCTTTTGTTTTAGTGATCAAAAACCTGCTTCACGGTGGAAATTTTGACGTCAAAAAAGAGTATTGTTCGGTGGCATGCCTTGGAGAGATGTTCAAGCAGTCGATGTCATCTGCGCAGTCAATTTAACTTCGTGTCTTCCCAAAAAGCGTAAATTTTTAGCATCCTGAACAGCTTCATCCCAAAGTCCTGTTTCACTCAAGCTGTCCTCGTCGTAACTTGATGTACATACGCTTTGGAAGACCAAGGTTGGGATGATCTACATCTTCATTTTCATAGACGTTCTATTAGGGTTGCTGATTGTTTGAAGAAATCGAAGTTCACGGCCACCTGTTGTAAAGAACTTCCACATTGCCAACTCTTCTACCGTCGCTTGTTCCGTTATTCCTCTCCCATTTCGAACGCGGTCGGGTGGTGCTTTTTGACTCGTCAATCCGACGAAGTTGTACTTGATCTTCCTTCTTTGCATCCTCAGATCTTCCGATGTCTGTGCGTTACAAGTATAGTTGACTACACGGAATCGCCCGGAATGAGCACGCGAGTGTTTCTTGCGGGCTAGCATTGGCATTCGCGCGCATGAGTCATCACTCAGACATTGCCGTTGTCACCCGCAGGTGGACCGCCCACAAAATGGCTGATCACACCAAAACCCGGTGCACCCTCGGGAGACATGAATTTAGTTTTGACCGGATTTTACTGCGATTTTGCCCGAATGCACGCCGCATGCGTGTATGATAGTGATGTTGCGAAATAGTCGTCTTCTCTTGGTGATTGCTTTTTGTTGATTGGCGCCTTTTTCTTCAATGTTTTTGCTTTCATTCTTTCTTATACATCGCTTATAATCGCTCCTTGGGATCATTTGTGTTCTTTCGTAACATAAACTTGTCATTATACCAGACCTACTCTATCTTAATCATACTTAATGGTGCCTTTTGATTCAATTTCGTTTATTATTTTTCCTTAATTTTACCAGCACATCAATAGAAGTGAGGTCACCGTTTCCGTAGGACATCGATTTGACGGTTTGTCAGTTCACATGAGATCGCGCGTCCAAAATGGCAACTTCACTTGCAATCTCTGCGCTGGTGTTGTAGATCGAAGGTAAGCATTTTCTTCTCAATTCAGTAGGTTACTTCAGGACTCCTTCCAACTCAGCAAATTTGCGGAGTGCAATTTTGTGAGCTTAGACTCAAATTGTTAACCACAAGCCTGATTTGACTAAGTTTCAAGCCAACTACAAGCTTAAACAAACTTGAAATATCGTAACCTTGTGTCGGGTTCAACAAACCGTTGAAGCTCGCTAGCTAGCTAAAATCTGTCAAAACATGTAACTTATACTATTCATTACTTATTGTGGGTAGCTTCAACTTGACACGTGCAGAACAAAAATTTGCGAAAACGTCATTTTACGAGAAAATCCTTATGACTCAATACTTTTCCAGCAAAAAAAAACGGTTTAGCGCCCGAAGTATTGTCATAGTTCGAAAAATGTGTTTTTATAAGAAAATTTCTCCTGCAGAATGGGCTTTTCCATAGCTTGTTTTCGCAGTTTCACAGAAGTAAGACCGGCTGCAGCCGTATATGGACTGGCTGTGTAAAAAAATTTACTCAAATTTATTTTCATGCAGGAAACAAAGAGCTAAATCTGGGTGTAAAATGCATGTTTGGTACCCGTACCCCATCAGATCTTTGAGTTCCCGTCTGCAAAGCCATAGCTAGTCAAATGTCCAGCTATGGCTCTGGCTTCCGGCCTTGATAAGAGAATTTATTCTCTTCAGAGAAATTTCCACAATGCATGCAATGGTTTTTTGCGGGCTTTCGTCCACGGCTCTCGTTGGGTCACTTTTTGGCAAGTCTGTGGTCCGTATTTAAAAGAGGGGTCTTTTTTTTTCTCGCAGATAGACCAGAAAGAGAATTTGTGGGATCAAGAATGGGCGAGTTAGAAGGCGAAATCCTGCTTGTTCAAATATGGCTCACATGAAGTTTGATGGGCTGCCAAAAATCCATTCTTTGCTCTATTTTATACATGTTTCGATGGTAGTCGTCTTCTCCACATTCTTTTGCTTCAGTGTGGTCCTTTCTGACTTCGTTCCTTACTTAAAAGTGATCCAGCTCAAATTTTAATTAACCAGCCGCTGTAACCCGAAAATCGCAATTTTTCGAAATTAACGAGTATCAGAAGCTGTTTGAATTTTGGCATGATGAGGCAACAATCCACACCGAAAAGAAGAAATCGCAGTTGTCAAAACCCATCTTTCAAACACGGAAAAAATGATATTCAGCTTTCTAACTCGCTCAATCATAGTCCCACAATTGCTCTTGTCTGTATAACCGAAAAAAGAAAGTCTGCTTTTTAAAACCCAGCCCGATTGAGGTTTTTGAATATGAAATGAATTAACGAAAGGCATCGTATTTTTAGGAGCTGAATTTGACTGAAATCTTAAAACGGAAGAGATCGGCTTGCGCACATAAACATGATCATTTTCTGCATTTTCATCATGTTTTTGATTTTCTTAGGCACTATTTCGTCAATGCAAGGGATCACTGCTGAACGAATTCTTGCCTTACACATAATTTTTTGGACTTGTGAACCGGCAGAGGAACTCAAAAGTATGCATGTAGGCAAACTGGCAAAAAAGGAAAAAAATGACCATTCAAGGATCTCCCGGAAAGCACTGTGGATTTCCTAATAAGTAGGTTGTTACGTCATTTTGTACATCAAGTCGAATAATTTATTCAGGGTTTGTATTGGACGCTTTTGGCCTACCGGACAAAGAACTTCTACAATTTGCATTTGCACAAGAATGCGACAAAGGCGTCAAAGGTAAAACTTTTGTCTCAAAAAGTTTACGCATCTGATACTGATGTTTTTCAGAAGAACCGGCCCAGGATATCTAACGTGAGCACTGACTCGAACATCATCGAAAAAACGGACGCCGACATTGCAGTAACCGATGCGAACGACACACATTAGTCCAATTCCAGTTGTTTTTTGTCAAGTGTTCTCTCGATGTAGTTTATTTGAGTTTGCGCTGATGTAGATTTTTCTGTACCATGAAGTTTTTAATAAATACTATGGCTTGATTTGTTAGGGACAGTGAAAGATGACAGCGCGGTAGACGTGAAACACACCAGTATAGAGTATGTACTCTATACTTGTGTGTTCCACTATATACTTAATATCAATATATATATATACCATTATATATGTACCCATCAGGGTGAACCGCTGCTTTAAGGATCGGGGCATAATGGTGTCTCCCGCAGGTCACCCCGCTGCAAACACAGGTGACCTGATTTTGCCCCGACACCGATTTCGTGTGACGCGCCGTTGGTCGATGAGATCACACCATTTTAACCTGCGGGTGACAACCGCGAATGTCTGAGCATAGCGTCCGTACTTGGCAGCCGCGTTGCAGGCGCGCTGGCCTGCGTTCAGCCTACAGCAACCCGGGCGATTTCGTGCAGGCGACTTTACAAAATCTCATCATTGTCCTCGCTTGCGGCAGCCTAAATCGCCCTTCAAACTTTGTCCGCATTGGCGCTGCCTTCCCAATGGCTTTTCCGAAGTCAAGCGAGCTTTGCATATTATCGTTGTGCTAATGATTTTTTACGGTGCTATTCCACATTAGTTGGCACAAAAAATGAAGATCGCGGATTTCGATGAAACTTCGTTTAGAGGGGTTATTTTGCATGCTGATTACGATTAGCATATTTATTTCACATGGTAGTGCCATCCGGTGGAGTTACGGTAGGAACACGGTATTGGGTCAAAACCACGGATTTGCTCCAAGCATCGTCTAGAGGGGCTATTTGGCAAGCTGAATATGATTATCATGATGATCTCGTGCAGTAGCACCAGTTTTTTGGGTTACGGTGGGTATACGGTAGATGATTGAGAATCCCGTTCGCTCAAAACCTTGCCTGAAGGGATTCTTAAGCATGCTGATTGCAAACATCATGCTCGTTCGGTGCAACAATGTCTAATTGTTTTACGATGAGCTGCAGTGCGTGAAGCAACTTTTCCGCTTTACAGCCAAATTTAGATTACAAAAATCCACGAAAAGGCTCTATCATGCGAAATGAATGCAATATTCGAAAACAGCGTGCTTAGCAACCCTTCCAGGAAATTTTTGGGCGATTCGGAATTTTTAGCCATCTACCGTAGATCCACCGTAGCCCGAGAAATTGGAGCTACCCTACGAAATGAATATGATTTTCATGTTTAGGGTGCCAAACGAAAATTGAGACAATCTATAGTTTTGACCCCTTACCGTAATCCTACCGTAACTCCACCAAATGAGTAACGTGCGAAATAAAGTGATATTCGTAATCAGCGTGCAAAGTAGCACCCTTAGACGAAGTTGTAGTGAAATCCACGATTTTCATTTTTTGGGTCAACTAATGTGGAACAGACCTTTTTTACTTGAAAAAAAAAATAGCTTGTTGGCCTCAGAATCTCCCACGAGGGCAGCCGGAGCGTATTTGTTAGAGGGACTCGAGCCCGCCTTTTCCACACCTATTCGATAAGATGGAAGCTTTTGGTGGAGACAGAGTGTCCCCCAGCTCCGCTTGCTTTTCACAGCAGGAGCGGGTCACTTCCGGCAGGCGATTAGCCCCTGTCCATCACTCGGGGATGCCCAGGTAGCCCTGAAAACCCGGTTGGAATCCCTCTATAAAGCGCAACCAGAGTTAAGCGTTAGAGCTAGCAAGAGCTTTCAAGTCGGACACTGCCTAGAAAATTTTTATCGGAAGATCTTTGCGAGTACTGTATGCGCGACATCTGTGCAAGTGCAGCACATTCAAAAAGACGCTTCAATCATTCTCGACTGAGATTCGAATCTGTTGGTAACCTAGATATATCTATAGAGGAAAAATTGGCTCACGTTTTGTATATGCTTTAATCATTCATGGTTTTATGATATGTGTTAATTCGTTTATTGTAAAGGAAATTGCAGTGTCTGCTATTCAATGCAAATGCCATTAGATACCGAAAAAATGCATGGGCCAACATTTGGTTTCTTGTCAGATGCACATTTAAAAGAAAGGGAGTCGCTGATACGCAAGGTTTGCTCCACGTACAGTATTATTGTGTTTATTGAATTTTCTTTTTGTTCGAATTTATTTCGTCAGTTTTTGGTGGTTCAAAGGAATTTTGCAAACGATTGATAATTTACAAATAAATAGAATCTGTGATATTCAGATGCTTTGTTGGTGTTATTGTATCTTGCTGCACGCTTTTTTTACAGGTTGCAGCATGTTCTCCATCACAGCTCAGTGCATTGGTTATAGGTCCCTCTGTTTATGAAGTTTTCTTGGATCTTCCTGAATGTAAAAGTGTGAGTCATTGACTTTCGTGTGCACTCATTTGCAAAAATTTTTGTAGCTCGTTACTTCCATGGTATATGTGAAACAAAAGCAGCTCAAATTTTCTTCTGCAGCTGCACTACGATGGACATACAATGAAATCAGAAAGTATGTGTCTCAGTTCCGATTTTGTTTCAAACTCGTCAGGATTTTTTTTTGCTAATGTTTCGTTTCAGACAAAAGGACGATAAAGATCAGTTCATAAATAAACAAGTTATGCGGTCATTTCTTACGCGATTCCCTCTAACTATATTAAACAACTCAGTATTCAAGCCTTTATTGCTTGTCGCCAAAGGTTTTTTGCTGAGCAAGCTTTACGAGTTCAAGAATGGAAGAGCACTGTATAACAGCGTACCAAGGTTGCGTTCGGAGGAGCACCTCCGTAAGTCTGAAGCTGTTCCTCTCATTTTTGAATTCTGTTCCTCTTTGCTTTAGCTGCCGTGGTAAATGCTCTTGGACCGATGGAGCAGTTGACCGCGAGCTATCCGCACTTAGCTCGGATGAAGGAAGAAATGGTTTGCAATATTATGGACTTCGTATTGAAATACTGCCTGGATTGGATTTGGTAAGTTTTCTTGCAATCACTGTATAATTTACACTTTTAACCATGTGTTCCTCAGTGAAGTGTCTACGCTAGAGTGCGATAGCAAGGGAAAGATTTCTTACCGTCTTCGTCCACTTACTCTTGTTCAATACCAACAAAAAGGGGTGGGTTTTCTTCACTATTTTTACTGTACAATCCAGATATCTTGTTGTGAGAATCTATTGATTTTTGTATGCTTTATTCTCCTTTTGAACTATACATCCACAGCTAGTAAATATGTTAACACAGCTTCTCTCTTCCAGAAAGAAGTTCTAGGCAAAAATCTCACCAAGAAAAGGAAACGGAAACATTTAGCTACTCCTGACGAAGTTGAGGCAGATATGAAGTGCAAGACTGATGACGGTATCTGGGAAACGCAGACCGTAAGCTAGCTTGTATTCTCAAAAACTTATCAGTTACACCGTGTCAAAATTTTGCAGAGCACTAACTCGTCAACAAGAAGCCTCTCCTATCAGGATATGAAAAAAGAGTCGGCAGCAGAGGCCGCTAAGATCGAGGTAGTCATAAACGTATAATTACACTCTCCGATAATATTGGGTAATCGGCTGTTGAGGTTATTGAGTTGAAAGACGAGGATGAGTCAGTGAATCCCTCGACTACGAAGGTATCCGTCGCTGTCACTGCATCAACAGAGCAACCCAAAGAAACTGTGCAGTCAAGGCAGGCACCATCTCAGCCATGTCTTCTCAACGATACAGCTCATTCTTTATACACTCCTGCTTATTCTGTGATTTACGACGATTGGTCAGACATGTTGGCTATGGCTCTTACCGATCCAAATTTAGCACCACATTATAAGACGATGATTCACTGCTTAGTAGCTAGCAACAGAGACATGAAGAACATAATAGTCATGATGAAGTCTGGTCAATCCTAATACTAAAAATATGGTTCATCGCGTTTTCTAACTTTCACTCTCCATTTTTTGAACGGGTATGTTCTATATCTCATTTTTTCAAGCCTTTGTTGAACTACTGATTGTTGGATTCCCTTGCTTGTTTTTGTTTTGGTCATAAAACTGTTGGATTCTTGTAAACCAAGTATTCTGGACTTTCCAAATGCTTTGCCGTAAACGCAAACAAATATGCGTTCTCTTAGCCTAAACAAATTTGTAAGCAGTAAACTTGAACGCCTGCTACAAAAGCTGACGATACTTTGCAAAACAGTTTTGCTTGAGAACAAGAACGTGAGTCACTCTCAGTTGGGTTGAGGAGTCATAGGAGTTCTATCAGTTTTGAACTCTAGGCATTTTCGCTTTTACATTAAGCACAGAGTTTAGATGAATTGCACATGCAAACGGTCCGCCAAGGTGCCTTCCATGTGTTTGCCAGTTCAGCAATTCAAGAAGAGGAAGAAACGGCGAGCGAAAATGGAGGAGCAACAAAAAACCAGACCTTGTCATTCGGGAAAAAATTCACTGCGTCGGAATGGGAAAAAGGTGTGGGTTCTACCACATCTTGATTTTATAGTAAAGTCAGTCTATGGTCTCATTTTTTGCAAAGACTGTTACTATAACCGATGAACTTCGAGCCTACAAGTTTTTCATCCGTTTGTCCAGCCACGGGAACTACCCCTCCATCGAAAAAAACTACGTTCTGGACCACTTCCATCATCTCTGATATTATTTACGTCTTTGCGTTTAGGGCGTGACATGGCTAGGGCTCTTGCTCGTAAGATCGGATACTGCCTTTGTCGTCGTCAGTTTCAGGATGCACTTGGCGTTATGAGACTTATCCGAAATAGCAGTTGCCTCGGGCAGAGTCCAGCGATTTCGTCGCCGCGATTTATCGCTACAAGACAATTGTTACGAGTTCATTGCATGTCGATCTTCTTGTATTTCGGTTGTGATAGTTAGTCCGATTAGTGTTGGAAAACTATCACAACCGAAATGCGAGAAGATCGGCATCAATCGCGACAAGACAACTGTAACAATATCATTGATGCTGATAGTGGCAGTGATATCTGACGATGAAGTCGCATGAACTTTGCCCGAGGCCTACACTACCCGCAGACTAATACATGACTTTTTGAATAATCTTTTAGGCTGTTCGGGTAAAGCAACCTAGTACATAAGTAGCGTTCTGATCCTCGTTTTCTGGTAGCGCTTACCTGGGTTTAAATATTATGCTGATGTTGTTGCAGCTTGGAACAGCGCGAAAATAGCGGGAAAGGAGGGGAAGGATTCTATACGTGTGCTCAAGTGCTTACATACCTCGCTTGGGGTCGAGTCGGCCTCGCATCTGGGCTATGCTTTAGATGGGAGCCTACTAATTTATACAATGAAACCTCTGTATTGGGCAACTTGAACGAGCTGTCATCAATTTGGAGTCATGCATATGTGAAGATATGAGCCAATCGGCTGGATAGACAATGTGGTGACATCGGCTGCACACGGCTGCAAATAGAACATGAAAGGGCAAAGCACGGCTCAAAAGAGATGTGTTATAGGTCAAAGAGTGCAAATCTGCAGTTCCTTCACATAAGAAAGCTGCTGCTGTAAGCACCTTGCAGTTCAGCACTTTGAATGCTGACTTGAAGACTTATCATTGTCCTGGGTGCGCAGCACTTGTTTATGGTCAAGAACATTTCAATGATCACTGCTGCACAGCACATGGTGAACAGTTCGCTGTTCAAAATGCACGTTTTACTTCAGAAGACGATTTCTACGTGAGTGTTTAGCGCTTTATCCAATATCAAGAATAGCTAGTTGACTGATTTAGATCTGGAAGAAACGTTTAGAACATGAACAACATAGTTCCTGGAAAGTTGGAGAGCGCCACAACTTTGGTCCAATTTTGACCATACATTTCGTTTGCGACAGGTTGTTATGATGTAATTAATTGATTCAAACATCACGTTTCCGATAGAAATGACCAGTAACTTTTCAGTGTCCGTGAACTAAGTGCCAATAAGAATCCTCAACTTTGCACGTCTTTCATCAGAGTAACAACTATCTTTCGTTCTACCACTTCTAGGGATGCGACATTCTATTCTTAGGCAACCTTTCATAAGGAAGTCGCAGTTCGTTTTTGTGTTGTTCACTTCGGTCATCCGAGGAAACATGAGCACGAAAAAGTTTCGGTTACTCGCGTGAGTTTTGAATTAGTACAGCATCAATTCTTATCCGATCAAGTATTTAACTACTAGATACTGTCTTGAAAAGACACGTGCGCTATATACCAGTGTGCATGAACATCAAGACCTAGTTTTTCCTGTTCAGCCATTTTGCATCAAAGAGGAGCCAGAAACTCCTGCCTTCGAGTCAGCTTCTCCACAAACGATGCAGAACGAAACGAGGGACGCCTTACCTACCGACAGCCGTGGAAACACACTCATATCAAATCCAACTCGTGCACAGGATGACTGGACAAAGATTTTGGATGCAGCTCTGGCAGATCCATCACTTCCTGTTCATTACAAAATGCTGATTCGATGTTTAGTAGCTAGTAACAGGGATTTGAAAAATGTTATTGATACGATGAGATCTGGTAGAAGGTAATGAGAATATAGGCGAGTCATCGTACGCAGAAACATGACGCGAAAGTTGTCGGCGTTGTCTTGCATGTACAACTTTCTTGCCATCTGCCGTCTCTCCAAAACAAGAACTGTCTAGTTCAGACATTGCAGTGTCAAGCTCTGTGGGTAAAATCGGCTATATATTTATAAGATCGCTTGACTGTTCAAAATTGTAAGTTTTACGACATCTCCTTCAGTATGTTGTTCATACTCTCTTATCATCTTGGGTGTAACTTATTCTATCGAAGTCTTTTTATAGTTGTAATGTGGTGAGTAGTTAGTATGCCTTTTTATAGTTTTTTATGACATTTTTTTGTCTTTCTATACTCATTTGCATGTTGTAGGTTTATCCCGGTAAATAAAATTTTGTTACGTTATCAAGAAATTTCCGGCTTTTATATGGTCTTCGTCTGGACTAAATAGTTTGATGAAACAAGAAACTCTGTAATGAGCCGATGGTGGAAGTGCGCCTAAGATTGTCATTCTATCACATATCGAATTTCTGTCAATTAAGCGCTTTGGTTCATTATATCCAAACATATCGAATCTCAGACGTTCACTCGAAAATGCTCAGATGTGAAGGGAAAGGAATTCGAGGTTTTTTGGACGAGCTTGGTGAGGAGATCAATCATTACCGGTTCGGTTTCGTGAGTTCAATTTTTACTACGGTTTTGGTTTTGTAATCATGTAGTACTTTTCAGTTTCGCCAAAGTGGTGTTGAATTGTTGAAAGCAGTTGTACTTGATGAGCTCCTCGTACGCATCTCTGGAACTGAGACTGACAGGGTCCTGACAGCGGCTATATTTTACTGCCAGCAGTGTGTCAGCGAATCCGGTTTCCAAGAGGGATTGAGAAATATATTTCCACAGCGTCTGTCCAGCGCACAAAAGTTTATGAGGTGAGTTTCGATAAAGCTAAGTGAATGAGCTCCCAAATCTTGCTCCTACGTTAATCAATTGCCGTGCGTAGTCTTCAAAACGACGAAGATAGTGACAGACCGTACCTTGCCTTAGTTGAAGTCTATTTGTTCTTTTGCCTTCATTAGGTTGAATTTGATAGTCTACAATTTGCGAACAAAATGTTCTATATACATATAGGAATGCCAAATTTTGGATCGCTTTACTATATTGATCGAGTCAGGTCCATTTAGCCAAATGACCAATTATTGGCGCGTTTGCTGCTTAGGCTTCGTTCACGGTTGTCCGTGCCAGGGCCGTGCTAACGCCGTGCCGGAATTCCCCTAAACACGCTCGCACTGATCGACCGGCATCGACATGGCGCTAGCACGGCACCGGCACAGCACAGTCACGGGTAACTCTGTATGCTGCCACAAATTCATCATGCGTTTAAACAGTCAAACATCCAGGTTTTCTTAATGGGAAATATGAAACAAACTCAAACTCCGCACAACTACGATCTAATTCTGGATATTATTATCTACATTATATCTCAAGAATACCAAAATATTGCTCTCAACTGATTATTCAGCAAATTCTGCAACAAGAATGTCTTTGCTAGCAAAACATAATTTCGTTCCACTATAGGAAACAGATAACGGCAATTGTGTGAGAGATGTTGCTGATCGTGGGATGCGGGATCCTCTGAGAAATTTGATAGCAGCATATTGTCCCTTTAAAGAAATTTTTTTGTTTAGGAGAGGTATGGCCAGCGTACAACAAGTGCAGAAGTTCTTGGAAGAAACCGCCAGTGTCTTTCCCCGCGGATTTCTTGGTGCTGCAAACACTGCAAACCTTGTGCGGCTTACTTCCGTTGCGATTTCGTCTTGGAGTCTCAACAAGGCCCTGGTGATCTCTAAGCTTCCATTGAAAACGTTGGAATGTGAGTGTTTGCATCATTTCTGCTTAAAGTCCTCTTCTTTGTTTTTGTTTTCAAGGTGATGCATGTCGTGCACTTCGTTCGCGGCAGATAGTATTGTCTGTGCCTTTGTCAGTGCTGCAGCGACAGCTGTTAATCAAATTAGCACGCTTTTTGACCAAGTTTATGCTAGTGAATTTACTGTGAGTGAGCTTTGTCTTAAAGGCTGCTGATTACAAAAGAACTCTACTAGACTAGCAGTTATTGCAGGGATTTTGTTCAGTTTTACGCAGCTTCACCCACTTTCCCGTACTTGCACTACGACAGGACTAATTTTGTATTCTGGACTGAACTCGAGAAACGAAAGTTTGTAAGGGATTACGACGTGCGACTTGGCGACCATGTTGAAATTATCGACTCTGTTGGTCAACTGTGATCCGTAAAATAGGGCTTAGTAAAGTTCTTTTAGGTACTCAGCGCTTACTCGACTCCATGTAGGACTGTTTTGCGTGCCACGTTCGAAGTAAGTTTTTTCTTGATCATCGTGAACACTGGTAACATCATTCTGTAGCACGGAAACGCGAGAAAAAGCGAGATGAAGATTTTGGCAGCTTGTCTTGATGGTTACATCGAGGCAGCCGGTTTGAAGCCAGCTGGAGGTAAGTAGCAGATCATATTCTGTTGAATAAGAAATTACTAACGAGCTCAACAGATGGCGGATCGAGGGGTCGTGGAGGGAGACGTCCTTTTTCGAGCGTAGGTCGCAATGAAGTCACATGTAAAGATAATGTGTAAACAATTTGCTACTTTTGAATAATCAAATGATTTTTTGAATAGAAAAAAATGCAAGTGACTCCTTGAATGAATTTTTCCAGGGTTTTTGTAATCTCGGGATTTCGAGTTCATAATTCAAAAAGCGGAAAAATTTTTTGTGGGCGTACGAACCCCTTGAAGAAAATTGTGTATCACCTTCTTAAAACTTTTTTAACTTTGTGACTCTCAAGTTCTCATAAACAGTGTAACACGACGAAACTGTAAAGAAAGCGATTGCACAGAACCTACTAAAAAGCCTCGGATTGCCAATGATTGCACATCATAATGACTTTGCGTCATCATGAAAATCGATTGACTGATTATTTAAATACATCCAATGAGTATAGTCGTTGTGACTCTAGAATTTCTGAATAATTCACTGCAAATAATTTGATTAGGTCTAATGTAATGTTAAATTTACTTGCGTAGTTATATAAATTGACCGCTGAAATAAGGAAGGCTAGCTCTGTACATCCTTTTGCTCACTCACTGTTTTAAAAAATTTTTTAGCTCTAAAATTGGAAGTGGTACGGTTGCATAGATTTTTGAAAAGGTGTACCACAAGACGCAGATGTGGGAGGGGTAGAGGTAGATTTTTCTTCTGTTCTGATGCCTTGCTGACGTGACAATTCTAGGTGTTTCGAGACAATCACGCAGGCTTTTCTTTGCTAAAGCAGATATCTCCAACTGCTTTGCAGCTGTAGATAGAGTCATTCTGGAAATGGCATTGCGAAAACTTGTGGGCACTCGGTAAGCAATTAAACATTTTCCATCTGGGAATGAAAGTTGCTAATTGCAGAGCAATGTTCATCGCATTTGGATTTTGTGAGACCAATGACCGTAAAAAAGTTTGCATTGCCAAAGCTGCGGCGACTGCTGAGGCAGCTATGAATTTGATGTTTCGAGCAGTGACGCGAAAAGGTTTGCGAACCTCTTCGCAGAATCGAGTGACTATCGAGGTAAAGCACGGTACTTATATAGGTCATTTATAAAATCGTGACGAGGGATTTGACTGCGGTCTTTGCGCCCACAGAGCAGAAAGCATACAAAATGGCATCACCTCAACTCTCAGTTCAGTAACTTCCAGTTTCTGAATGCTATCATATGTAGGCAGAAAATAAAACATCCGAGTAGAGGTGAAAACCAAGAAAATAGCAGTTGTTGGGTATGCATGCGTGTCGTTCGCGGTCGGCCATCGTCACGATTTTTTGAGTGCCCAATAGCTTGTATGAATTTGGAGTGTATGGTTTTACAGATGCGCCAGAGCATGGAGGTGGTAGACACTATAATGGGACTATTGAGCGATATTAGGGTAATTTATAGTTAGCTTTTTCATTTTTCCAACTTCTGATTTTCAAATAGCATTTTCATCACAGTTAAAGTTTGTTCTAGTTGAAGCTAGACAGTACCGATGCGATCTACACAATGCAAAAAGGCGTTCCACAAGGATTCGAGCTGTCGTGCCGTCTAGCTCACGTAACTCTCAGCATCGATTTTGCATTATCATGGTTTCTTTACCCAAAAGATTTAGATTTACTTGCTATATTTTGAGCATATGACATGGAACAGAATGTCCAGTCAAACTTGTGTACTTCGTTATGTTGATGACTACCTGGTTTGCTCGTATTCGAAGAGAGGAGTACTGGAGGTAAGCAGGAATTCGACATCATCCGCGTTCAGCGTTATTTGCAGATCCTACAGAGATTGCAAACTCAGAATGATTTCGGAGTAATGGCGAGGTTGAACAAATGTCAGGTACATTTTGTCTGTTTGTGCCATATTTATAACTAGCTGGCTTACCCGGCTCCGTCGTATGTTCCAAATAGAAATTCCATTTCTTAACCGATCCGGACCAAACTTGGCACACATACACTTCGGGCCCCGGCGGGTGTCACAGTCCACTTTTCGTTATCGATCGATGTCGACTTTATCGATTTTTGGCAAAATTTGAGCTAGGGGGCTGGAATTTAGCAGAGGGGTGTAATACCCCCTGTGCCAACTCCCAGCCCCCTAGCTCAAATTTTGCGAAAAATCGATAAAATCGATATCGATCGATGACGAAAAGTAGCCTATGACACCCGCCGGGGCCCGAAGTGTATGTGTGCCAAGTTTGGTCCCGATCGGTTCAGAAATGGAATTTTCTATTCGGAACATACGTACGGACAGACATACATACATACAGACAGACAGACAAACAAACAGACATTCAGCTTTATATATAAGATCAGCACCATGAAACGGCCTAGATAAGGCAAAGAATTGAGCGAGAATCGCCTAGATGCTGCTATAAGCACATAATAAATTTGAATGTATGGTTTTCCTTATCCGGTAATTCAGGCTTCCTTTGCGATTTCAAACGTGTTGAGGAGTGGACGTTACATAAATTGGTGTGGATACGTTGTTGATACGAAAAAATTGGAGGTGAATTTTGTATCACAGTGTTTTATAACATACCCCTCTACCTAGACTTGAATAGTTTACATTCCTGTCGTCGCTTTGATTTATCAATTACAGGTTCTACAGCAGAGATCGGACATGCAACTTCTTCGGATGAAAAGAGGATTGCCGGTTGCAGAACATATTCGGGTGAATTTATACGCAAAATTATTCTTTTGATCAGTGTCCGCTATATGAGCTTCAAATTATGCCATGGGAATATTTCAGAGGCGTAAACTCTTACGAAGAATGCGTGCGAGACTGACTAGATCACATAGTCGTTGAAGTTACGCCGTTGTATTGATGGACATTTTTTGCTTTTTTCTATTATCTGTCTTGAGAAGCATGCTTTTGCTACATTGAGTGTAAGTTACGTGCTTCTGCAATCCCCTTCAATCATCGAACGAGTTTCAGGTCTCTCATGGTGCTGACAGATGCGGTGTCCTTTTTGTAAGTGTACTTTCAAAACTACTGTCGAATGCCAAAGAAGCTGTAAATGTGTAGCTGACGCAAAGGGAGAACAACCATAAAAGGTTAGTGATAAGACTGTTAAAAAGTAGGAAGCATTTGGTAGCATGTGGACATCTTTGTGATCACTGATTTATAGAAGCAATATGTACTTTGGTCTATCAGGTCTATAACAACTCATCTTCTCTATTTTCATCATGTTCTGTCTTCTTCGTGCAGGCTGATCTTTATACGTTTTGACGAGATGATGGAAATTTTATTTTAACTCTATTTTCATCCAGAAATGTTATCTTTTTTTCCAATTTGTTTATAACTCACACCCAATAACGTCATCGATCTCATTCGTCACTAGACTCCGGAGACCTTCTTCTGCAAAAGAGAATGCGATGGAATTTCCCATACGAAGAAATAAACCGGGTGCTTAAAATGAATTGATACGGACTTCGCCTTCTTTCATCTGTTCTATCTACGGATATTTCCCTTACTTAATGTATGAGGGCGTAACTCATATACTTACGTTTGTGAATGAGCTTGAATTGAATCTCTGGCGAGTTGAAAGCTTTTGTACCGCTCAGTTATGGTCGCATGATACCTCTTTTGCTCTTAACTCTCTTTTTAATTTGTTTCTTCGCTTTGGCAACATTCGAAAATGGGAACAACTTGGCATGTTGAAGGACTTCTGGACGCAGTAGATCTCAGAAGCTGGCTCCAAAACGCGCATTACGTGAAATCATACTTAAATTCGGCAATTGCGGTGTCCACATGTCTCAAGCGATATGCCGTGTTGGTCTGAACGATTTGCTTGAAGGGGAAAATGTTGCAAAGAGATTAAAATGTTAGGTTGGTCCGAAAGTTCTGTCACTTTGATTTTGAAAATTTCGTAACAGCTCCCTATGTGAACATTTACTTACAAGAAAAATCTCCAGATAGAAAAAATTCATCTACTTTTTAGTAACAACTTTGCAGCTCTTTGACGACAAGGAACTCCAGAGATAGAAATTTAAATAGGAAACACGCTTTAACTCCTGATTTTCGAGAATAATCGAAGTTCTGGAACGCTGCAGAAAAATTTTGAAAACATCTATCATCTCTTAAAGTCAACGTGAGCTTCTCTTTCTAATAGTACAAGTTTGTGCTGATCGAGTTTATCTCTAAAAAAAAAGTTGTGATTTCCATGAGAAATGCAAAAAACGGCAAAAATGATTTTTTTAGCATTTTTTTTGCACTTTTCACGAAAATTACAACCTTACATAGAGAAATTCGATCAATGCAAACTTGGCACTATTAGAAAGAGCAGCTTAAGTTGACGTAAGAGACATGCTTTCAAATTTTTTTTGCAGAGCCAGAATCTTGACAGTTTATTCTGGAAAATCAGGAGTAAGAGTTGGTCTCATATTCGAATTTTCATCTCGAGATTCCCTTATCGTTGAAGAGCCTCAAAGATACTTTTAGAAAGCAAATGAATTTTCTTACCGGAGATATGGGAACAGTTACGAATTTTTGAAAATCAAAGCGACGAGCTTTCGTATCAAATAAATAATCCATGTTATCAGAAGTCCAGAGTTCAGTACTCAAATTATCTCATGGAAAACCTCGCAGGTATCCAGGAAGGTTTCTGGTTTACCTTTGGGCTGCTTTATCATACTGTAAAGCGGACTTTTGTATCGTCTTTCGCATACTTAAGTATATATCGGAGCCGTACTACAGGGCGCTGGAAATCTGAAATATCAGCAGGCTTTAGGAAGGGAAAACTTTGTCATCGCGATTCATCTTCAAACACTTCTGTGTAGTTTACGATCTGCAATTCGATTATGAAGTGTATGTAGCTGCTGTGCGACTATGCAGAAGAAAGATTTTATAGCTACGTAAAGGTGTTTCCTATGAAGTGTATGAAAGTGTGAGGCCTAATGGAATATATCTGATGAAGACTGATAAATGAGAGGTAAATGTTTTACAATCAAACACTTTCCATTTGGTAGATCTGTTTTTCATGGCTCTTGGATAGTTCTCGCATAAAATTATGGAAGTTCGCCTCTGATCAGATTTTCTGTGTGTCGTTGCCATGTTTTTCTGATCATCCCCAACTTTTCTTTTTTTCAATGCACGCATTGTTGATTTTCTCTCTCGACTATGCGGTGAAGCTTTAGTTTTATTCTTTTTTTTTGCCTTATCACATGAGTTCTGAATTTGCGGAAATAACTGATCTCTAGTTGTAAGTAAAAATATTAAGAATTTGCTATGTTTAAGATGTGTTAATTTTGTCAGAAGAAAGCATCGCAGTTCTCACCTCTCTCTCTCCCCGCCCCCTCCTCTCAAATAAAATTTTTCTGTGGACCGCACTTGGTATGGAGTAAAAGAGTTGTTTGTGGCACCTCAAGATTGAAACAAAAATTTGGTTATCAGTGCATACAGTGCTTTCTTCAATCTGGCTCTTATAGGATTGACATTCTTATCATGTCGCCTTCTTGTCTTCTGTTATGTTACTGGAGTTCTTTTGTCAGTTTTGCTGGCAGAGAAGTTAAAATAGTCTTCATGGTAAAAATGGGTAAAAAACGTTTTTTTTGAAGCTTGTTCTAATACAAAAGGCTCTGTCTAGTAAGAAACTATTCTCACTTTATCATTTACGTAGCAAAATCACTTCGAATTTTTTCGTGACTCAGGGTAATCTAATGCTGCCCACTGGACGCAAATCAGAGTGAATGCCTAACAAAAATTTGTAGAACTCAACACTCTTATTTATTACTAGCCGGCGGTCCCGGTTTCACTCGGGATTCCAGTTTAGCTAACCAGAAGTTACCCATACTTACGCTTTTGAGCTTTTTCTGCGCAAAAAGGGCTTTGAAACGAATTGCCCGCATCTTTCCGACATTGAGATTAAAATGAGCTTTACTATCCCCTGACTACATGATCATGGCAAAATGATTGGTTTGAGCATGTCAAGCTTCATTTTCCCAGATGTAAGTAAACAAATCAACAAATCAATAGAAGGATCTAGTAAATCGCTGCGAAAAGTAGCCTATGTTCTGCGCCGGGGTCCAAAACATAAGTGTGCAAAGTTTCAGCTCATTTAGTCCACTCAGAAAGATTTGTATAAAAAACATACTTATTAACAGACAAACACACTTTGAGTTTTATATATAGAGATTTGTGGTATGAGAATTGGTACATGCTCGCTCTCCATAAAGTTAGATACACGCCAACTTCCGCATTTGCCAAAGAAAGGAAAAATGATTCAGAGTGTTGCAATAGACTGTATAGTGTGAGAAAGGGTATTATGGCTATATTTGTTGACTTAGCAAAGAATGTCTGAGAAGAGTTTAAGAAGAGTTCGCTCAGAGATGTATAGAGTTTAAACAAATTAGTGACCGGTTTATTGAGTGCCTATTTCCATGTTTCAAACTATATCGTTGTCAATACTGTAGGTTTTTTTTCAGTCAGTAGTTTTCAGTGTTAAGGGTTATGTGACTGTTAGGTTTATAGAATAGAAGAAGGAACCAGAAAATCAACTATACATTTTTTGCTCTCATTTTAATTGAATTCTGATTTGTTCCTTGCAGATCCACATAAAACGAGAACATTCAAACAGTCGTACTCATTCGCATATATCTCGATTTCATAGGTTTTCTAACTAACTTCAAAGTTTAGAATTTTTTTATTCTCTTTGGAATAATGGGAACCAGATTTGTCTGAATGTGCGATATTTGACGATTGTCTCTCACCCTTAGGTAATTTATACTCTCTGACTGATCTTCCCACTTGTTTCTGATAGCACATCTCTGCTCGAAAGTGGCATTTCCAACACATTCATGACAAGGTCGATTTTTGGATTACTGCTGGGTTTCGGACCAGAGTCTTTTTCGCCTTGTCAAACTTACGAACCTCCGGTGGGTCGTATTGTCCAAATTGGTAGTCTTTTTGGAAAAAGTTCAAAACATGTCTATGAGAATTTTCCCAGAGGGGGTAATAGAAGGCGCTGATTATCAAAAAAAAAATCAGTTTTTGGCAATATACGGTAATATTAGGTAGTCATTCTGTGCGAAACCAACATCACGGATTTTCATTAAAAATGTTTTGGGGTTATTTCACGTGCTGATCACGATTAAGGATCCACTTTGTTCAACACTCTCCCACAATGGGGCTACGGTAGCAGTAGGTGAAATTTTCGTAAAAATCAAGAAACTGACGTACGAAGATGGCATTAGAACTTGAGAGTATCAGTTTTTTGATGGTGTAACGTCAGTCTCTTGATCGCCGTATCACCCGCGCATGTACACTTGATTTTCCAGTAAGAGCATCATTCTGCGAAGAATTTGAGCTAGTCTGTGCCTTATAACTATCTACGGTATAGCGTATATCTTCCGTAGTATTACAGTATCTCGACCCCGGATCACTCTGGCTGGAGCCACGCCCAAGTGTCCCCAATCATGAGCCAGAACCCCGAGAACATCGTTGACTGGCAGAGCTAGAGCTTCAGGAATATTACGATCCATCGGTGGGTCGTTTTGTCCAAAAAGGCAGAGCACATAGTTTTGTCCAAAATGGCACAGCACATACAACTCACAGTGGGACGTTGTCGTGAATGTGTTGAGGATTTGGGATATTCTACATTAATAGGTCTTTAGCTGATCAAAAAGCTTTTGCGGTTGAAGAAAAAGTTATTCAGTTTCTTGGCAGCCGGTGCAGTTGTCTTCCTCATTGTCAGATTTGGGGCTCACAAAATTCCCTTATTGAAGTACCATCGCAAATTGTTCGCGCTGGTAGCGTATTTCCTCTAACAACGAAAATCTGTTCCCAAACCTAAAATCGGTCCTCATATCAGATCTAACAGAAGCTTCTGCTGTCAAAATCTGACAACACTATCGCTTCTTCAGAAGGGAATGCAATTTCACTTTCTACTGATAAAAGTCAGCGAGAAACAGAGTTGGTTATGAATGGAATGAGTGCTCATGTCCTTCTGTAGTACTATCTGTACGCTGTGGCTTTATCAGACCATTTTGGTGATTGACATGATTGGAATGTATTCGCAAACGAACCGAGTTGATCTCTGTGTCCAAGTAGTAAACGTCAAGGAAGCGCTATATTCCTGAACTTGGAGTAGCCGAACTGGGGCAAACGTATTCGAAAGATACCGAATAGGATTTCCTTGGCGAATGATTTTTTCAAGTTGTAAAAAAATTTTTGAGCGCCGAGATAAAATTCGAAGTTCCAATATGATTCAAAGCAGAAATAACCGAACCGTTTTTCTATCCGTTTCCCTTTTTGTGCAACGCAGCTGTCTGCAGTCGCTTTTTTAGCTGTTATAAATTATAAATAGCGACAAGACAAGCAAAAGGGGAGTAATCAGAAAACTACGGTATCGGCATCTCATGACACCAGTTTTGATAAACGTTTTGTTACTTAATTTTTCCAAGTTTTGAACAATAGGCTGAGGTTCCAATAACAAGAATCACCAACGCAGTCATTGGGTACTCAATGAGCTTATAAAGGGAACCTTTATGTTATTTTTACACCTTTTGAGTAATCGGCAGAAACTGCTAAGCTTGCTTGTGGCTGTGAAGAATGATATTTCCAGCATTCAGTCATCATTTAGTCTGAAGCTGGGTTAAAATTACCATTGTCACAGTTACCAAGATTATTAGCAAATGAGGTTGAAGGTATTACTGCGTTGAACATATAAGGTGGGTCCGAAAGTTTGTGCCGTTTTTAGACCTAAATTCAAATTATTCACCATAAAGATAGACAAGCACAAAAGGTGTTCTATGCAGAATTTCTTCCTCCTCTAATCTCCTTTCGAATAATCGCCACAATATCCAACCCATAAATTTTACGTACTCCAATTTTAGCTATTTTTTGAAATTTTCGTTCTGGACTTTTGGTTATGCTTTGATAACGGTTGGATTGCATAAACAAAATGCTACAAAATCCATTTTTTGGCATCGATAGCTGGCAGTTCAGTATTTTCAAAAACAAGTTTTGCAAAAGTCCTACATTTGCGAAGTCGTGAAATATACAAACGCTTCAAACACTATAGAATATTAACAAAATGGAGCTGCCAGAAAGCGATCATGATCAAACACTAAGTTTTGAAGGTGAATAAGTTTCTACCGTCTCGAAAGATTGATTTTTGAAGTTTTCGGGTGCAGCCTGGGACGGACCAAAAGACTAGAATTATGGTGATTTTTTCCTCGAGATCTCAACGAATAGGAAAGAAAAATATTTATCAAGAAGAGGAGAAGAAATTGCATCGAATGACGCCTAGCTGTTTGCGGTTATCAAAGTATTTCCAAAAGTCCAGAGCAAAAATTTAAAAAATAGCAAAAGTCAGGGTAGGTGATAACCATGGGTCAAAGATTCTGACGTTTTTCCAAGCGAACATCAAAGAAATTTGAACAGAAACACTACTGCTGGAAATAGGAAGAAAATCTGCATTACATCCTTCTTAGAATGTTTGTCTATCTCTATTCCGAATGACTTGAGGATAGGTCTAAAAAACAGCACCAACTTTCAGTTCCACCTATGACTTACGATGTGTGCTGAAGATATGTTGAAAACATCAAGCTTGCTATTACTTTGAAAAATTAGGTCATAGGATGGATTGTTTGTTTAAAAAATTTTATTACTTACAAACAAATGCATGAGTTTAGTGGACCCGGCTTTTGCCAACACGGTCTTTTCTTAGCGTTATCAGTGTAATTAAAAATTTAATTACCCGCTTAATTGCTTGTTAACGAAGAACTGCTTGTTTGCTAAATGAATCTAATTAATCTACAGGAGTACCTATCTGCATAAATGTCCTTTTATTGTTATTTACAGATGTAGATATTATCATTGGGTCAATAACTTTATCACTAACTTCAGATGGTTTTCTCGTGCTGTTTATTGCGCTAAGGAACTCCATCAATGTTGACTTTTCGAAGCAGAACGTACAGTAGCAAAGTAGCTTTCTAAGCATTTTTTCTACTCAACACCAACTGGAATTATTACCACTTTTTCATGTTTCATTTTTGCTTGCTTCACATTGTTCTCTGTTCTCTTACTGCAAAACATACCAAAATATGTAAGGAAGAGTACAAACATATTTACGTCTTTGAACTCAAGTATCCCTTATCAACCCAAATTCCCAAATATGGCGGTTCAAGTGCTAAAGGAGTTTGTGCTATGTTGTTTCTTAATGTTTCGCTTCTTCTAATGACACTTTAGGTTTTGAACTGACTCCATGGTTGTAACCAAAGTAGCATACCCGACGGACTCAAAGACAACTCCCACCAATGCAGAACCTCGAGTGAGTAGCCTTCCTAGGTGATAGCATTTATATGAATTTACTTAAATGCTGTTAATTTTTCGAACAGCATTTCGATTGTGAAGAATTTGATGAACTTTTGCAGGTTTCATTTTTTCTGCCAGATGATCCATCGTCTTCTCCCAGCTCTCCTAATAAAGACAATAACTCATCAGCGCCGAGTTCTCCTAATTCGCTGGCACCACCATCAGAGAGGTCAGATTTTTGTGAGATTGCTGTCAATTATACTTTTCTTTGAAAAGCCTTGCTGTACACCACACTTAGAATCCTTTTTTAACGTTTTGCCTAGGATATTTTCTTTTACCATCTGGCAAAAATGTGAGCACTTATTCGAATGTAAACAATGCTGTTATTAGGTATCAGTCCCGTGGTTCGATATTTGATCAGACCAACTGGCTGAAAAAGCGCGCATCACAAATCATTTTGGAGGTCCCAGCAGCTCACTTGAGAAAAATCAACGAAACAGAATCAATCAGTTCGATAAAGCGGGAGTCCAAACATTTTTCAGGTTAGCATAACAGAAAATTTCAGAGTATATTTTTTGGGTAGAAATGTAGTTTCTCAGCGTATCAAATCAAGTCTCTAAATTTAGACAATACAACTTTACATGGTCCGAAACGTATCTACTATGGAAAAAAGTGCTCGTTTGTCTTCTGGATAGTTATGATGTGTACGTCTATGATATTATTAGTTACCCAAGTAGTAACTCTTGGATCGATGTATGCTAGTCATCCTACCGTATCGCAGGTGGGCGCCGAGTCCTAAATTTCTTTTTGCAAAATTTCATTTGTGCATACCATTTCTATTTTGAACATGCAATCAATCCATGCTTTTTAGTTCTTGACTCTTACTGGGTAATTTGAACGAAGAGAAAGATGAATTTAGAGTCATATGGTTCTTTGTTTTTTTTAGCTGTATTCAGGTGTCCTTCCTTATCAAAGATGATGGGATTGAATTTCCGATGATCACATTGTGTAATTTCAATCCCATAAAGAAATCCTACATCAAACGTAAGTTGCTCGAGCTTTTTCAGAAGCTAAATTTCAAAATATGTAGATATCAAAAGTCTGAAGTTTCTTGCGAGTAAAATTCCTTCACCGCCTATAATTTTTTTTTCGGAACCTTATGTGAAATATTTGAGAAAAAATTGAACCAAGAAGGGGCTTTGAAACAAATCGCAATCATGTTGCCTATTCGAATCTTTTTTCCAGATTTGAACAAAACGGGTGATTTTACTGACGATTTGCTCGACTATCTCATGGAGTTCTTGATTGATCCAAACACACTCTATGGAACTGCTGATAGAGAAACTTTGCATGTAGGTGGGCAAATTATGGTTGGAGCTGGTCTTATTTCAATAACAATGGGATTTACGACGTCTGTTTACTTATCTCCGATTCTGCAAGAACCCTTCACCCTACACTTACGAGCATTTTTCATTTCAGGTCAAAAAGCCTTTGAGGTATATCAATCGGCTCATCCAAACTTTACCGTACGGGACTTCTTCATGAATGCTGGGTTGGGTTATTAGTTCCTTTTACTATAGCGGAATGAGGTGATTTGATAATCTATAAGTTACAGATTTTCATGTGAAGAAACAATGAAGCTCTGTTCGTTTGGTGGGCGACAGTTTGTTTGCTGCCAGCACATGAATGCAATATTAACAAATTTAGGAAAATGTTACACGTAAGTATCACCGCATTTGTTTGATCTCAGTTCTGACACTTTACTCTACTAGGGGGCATAAGATTTACCAGAAAAAGGAAACTTTTTTCAGATTGGATATGCAAGGTTCCGGAAAGGACTGGATGCAAAAGCAGTTGGAAGCCGGTGTTACCGCAGGGTGCGTCTTTCAGAAAAGTTATTCAACACTTTGATGATATGGTATTTCAAGCAATGACTACCATGTGGATTAAGGTTAAACTTTAGTAAAATGACGGCTAGACGTCATTTGACTAAATCTGTGAATTGCGGTTTGGGACAAACTCACTTCAGGAGCTTTCTTTTACGCTGGTTTAAAAAACCTCCATCTATTTTGTCCCATAGGTACTGTACTGCAGACGTCATTATGATGTAATCTGAAAAATATTGACTGATCCGTGACAGACCCCGGTTGCAAGATGCAGAAAACTCAAAATCTGCATGGTCCTTAATGAGTTAGCTTGCATTAGTAAGTTCTTATGGCTTTGCGTTTCTGATTTGGCTAGATTCTTGTGTAATTCTAAAATCTAATTGTAACATACACATAAGCTTTTTCACAATTGCTATAACATTCTCATTTTGTTATAGCTTTTAATGAAAGTATGTATAGTGTGGACCCCGGCCAGGTTCCCATAGGTACTTCGGCAGCGCGCACGCAGCGCGCGCCCTTCTCAATGCCTCTTGCCTCACTCATGAGCAGTAGAGCATATTTATGCTCACAAAGGAGAAAAATGTAATGTGGAAACTTCTAGGTTCCCTACGAAAGAGAAGTATGCAAGAATGAAACGCAGGCAAGTTCCATGAATACCTCAAATTCAATGAATGGATGCATATTCCAAACTTGCACTGATGGATAGGTTGTAATAGCTAAACGTAGAAAAATTAAAGAACAACGGCATTCTTAAAACATTCCTCTTTGTAGACAGAAACTAGAGTGGTCAAAGATTCCAAAAAAGTGGATATTTCAGTAAACAAATGCCTACTGGCTTCTCGGAAGGCTCAATTTTGACTTGAAACATGTCTACACCTTACACGTCAAACGGAAGGGGACTCTTATTATATACAAGAAGCTTTTGAAAAGATATCATCTCAGTATCCAATCAAATCTCAATTTTTCAGAGAAAAAAGGGAAAACACAAGACTACCACACAAGACTGAAGCTCTTAGAACTGTTAGAGCACGTATAATCTCGTCACCGGTCATCGCGAATTGTTTATACCTAAAATAGAGGGAATATAGTACACCAAAAACAAAAAAAAGAGAAGGAAAGGAGGATTTCCATCAGAAGCTAAGACACGAGACGCACTGAAGGCGTGCGTTGCGGGTGCGTCGCGCAGGTACCTATAGGAAGCTGGCCGGGGTCCACACTATATCCTTTGCTTTAATTCGCTTGGCGGCTGGAAGGCGGGGCTTCGTGACCTAATTGGGGCTAGGTGATGATCAGAGAGCACGCGCGCGAGAGACAAGCAGACTGCGTCGCGGGCGCGAGCGGCTTTGATTAGGTCACAAAGTCCCGCTTTCCAGCCGCCAAGTCAGTTGAATCAAAGGTTTTAAGACCTTTGCAAGGTTTCTTGCTGTCATTCAGTGATAAAGCTGAGAAAAAACTTTAAGGTTACAAATCGTTCTAGATGCACATCTGGAGGAGCAGTTTGATGGGACAGGAGGTAAGTCCACTCTGTTTTTTTTTTTCATCTACTATCAACAAACCTTTGATGATCAACTGCTTTTGCTTATGTCAACTCCATGCCCAAATTAGCTTTGAATTTTTTAGATGACCCGGAACCAATATTCTCGGATGATTTCGAAAATGGTTTCCGCTACTTCGTGCACGCGCCCGAGACGATACCGTATCTCGTTTCTGAAGGAATCAGTGTTTCGCCGAGTACGAGAGTATACTCAGCAATCTCAACGAATACTGTAAGTGGTCGATTACGTAGCGTAACAACGAAACAAAAGTCTGAGTCATAGAAGGATACAGTATTCACATTAAAAAATATAGATGATGTTACAGTATATACTCCTGCCTGCTGAACGTTGGGGTAACTGCACATCAAAATGGCCGCGAGGATTTCATTCAAAGTTGCCCTATTCATCTGTAAATTGTGATTCCATATGCAAGGCAATGTTTTTCAAGCAGAAATGCGGTTGCAGCCCATTTACATATGATATTGAACACTGTAAGTTAAATCATGTTTTCTTCTTGATTGTGAGAATTTATTGTCAATTGTTACAGCTTTCACGATGTGCACACCATTTCAGACGGTCCGATGCATTGATGATCACATAAGGAAGACTGTGAAGGGTATGCGCAGATTAATCCATTGTAAATCTTTTAAGTTTCTCAGAAATGGTAGGTCGGACTAGCGAGTTACACTTTCATGTAAGTTTTTGGCGAAACTGGAGTAAGAATTTTATTTGCAGATGTTGATTACTACGATATTCCAAGATGCAAAGAATGTCAAATCGAATGCGATAGTATTGTTTACCATGCTTACAACTCCTACGGGCATGGATTCAGTAATGGTGCATTGACCTGGCTCAATAAGAAAAACAAATCATGGAGCATACCACATATGAAGTAGGCATAACAGAACTTATGTCAAACATGAAACCTCCTGGGACGTTTCAAGCGTCGAAAATATAGAAACAAAAAACATTGCCACCATCTGAATTTTTTTTCCACATTCGTGTGAATTATTGGTATGACCAGAGGTGCGATAGGTGGAGCCCTCCAAAAGTGAAATTGGTTCCAGCTACCTCTGGCGGCCAAAAGTGAAGGTAGTAGTGCCAGACACTCAAAGACGTCGACAGGGGGGGGGGAAGAAAGCACTGCTCGACTTTTTTTTTCGCAAAAAAATTTCTTCCTCAAAAGCTCCATTTACTTCTTTATAATCGTATTTTATTGAGTAAATTTTGCTATAACGTACTGCAAGAAAGTAGGTCGATCCAGGGAATAAGCGCCGAGAACCAGAATTTTGAATAATAAAGTAACGAAAAATTATGCGAAATTTCCACTGCTGTAAATCTGGTGTTTGAAGATGTCAGCAAATGCGACTTCATAGGTTTAAAGGGTAAATGTAGTTCTACTAGGATAGTAAAGGAATTAGATCGATTTGAGCAGTGGGCGCCGAGAACGAAATTCAAAAAATTAAGCGAATTTAGGTTACTTAGTGACAGCTGACGTTTAGACTTCTTCAAATCTGGAATGTGAAGGTGTGCAATGTTGCGATTTCATAGGTTTTGTAGAGTAAAATTGCCTGATCGGAATATATCTGTACCGATCCACTGAAACAGTGCCGAGATCCAGGGTCTTGAAAAAGCAGGTAAAAAACCGCTTTTTGAAATCCAACAGCTCAGACTTCTCTAGAATTGCATGAATCATGTTGAGACTTCATAGAAGAAAGGGAAACTATTAACCTAATAAAAGAATTTCTTGAGATAGTGTCGTCTTAGGTTGGATTCTCCTCTTCACTTTCAGTGATCTATAACATGTGGGGGTTTTGCGCCTCTCACGGCATAGACTTTTACAAAGTCTCCGCTGGCGGCCTTCAGTCATACATTAAAATGGGCGAGGTGGAGACTTTGGTATGAAAAGTCTCCACCCCGGGTTAGGGCCGCAAAAAACATCGAACCTCCCACATATTTTAAATCATCTGAAAGCTCTTGAAGAGTAGAATCCAACCTATGAAGCCTCAACATGATTCATGCGATTCTGAAGAAGTTATGAGCTGTCAAAGTTCAAAAAGCGGTTTTCTACCTGTTTTTTAAAAGCCTGAATGTCGGCTGTATCTCAGTGGATCGGTATGGCTAACATACAGTGCTGGCCAAAACTATAGATCCACTATAAAAAACTGCCGTAGTTCATCTGCTTCTCAACGAATTGATCTGAGATTTGGTACAGTTGTGTGTTCAACAGGCATTCATCAGTGACCGGAGCGGATTCCGCTTTCGTTAGATTATGCAGGAAAAAAATTAAAAATTTCGAAAAAAGCAGGCTCGAAGGCTGGCCAAAACTATAGATCCACCTAAAATTTCTGTCTGCTAACGTGACTCTTAGCTTCCAAAATCTTTTGTGCATAAACCTAGTCGAAAGTCAAAGCAGTGGGTTTAGTTTAGCTGCGTCATACCTTTATAAGAAACGCTTATCTGCTTTTTTTCCACTCAAAAACTGCTCTCATGCGTATTTTGTTCCCGAGAATGTGTTTTTGTAGAGAATTCCGCACTTTTTTGACTGGTTTGAAAGTGATAGGACTCCATCTATCTTGTAGATGCTTAGTAGCGTGAGCAGCAGAAAAAAATTCGGGTTTTCGTATCCAAAGCGCACCTGACACAGACATAACCGTAGGCCTGCGCTCGAATTTTTGCCTTCAAAATTGGTATCCGCTATTTTTATAAGCTCAAAATAATGTAGAAGCATTATTTAGCATTATTCACCTAAAAAGAAGTTTGTAAACTATAGTTACGATTGCTTGCGAAGTCGCACTTTAATTCTTTTTCAAAGCATAAGTCTTGCGGTGTGTTCGGCAATCTCAAAGTACTTACCAACTGGTACCTTCTTTGAATTTTGCCACTTTTTAGCTGCTAACTATTGAATACACCCTGCAATATATGTTGCCTTGTGATTCACATGAGCATTATGGTCAGAAGCAGAAATAACTTCAAGGCTTGTTGCAAATCACTATTTGCAGGATGAAGTCCTCAATTAGCCTGCATACTAGGATCTGCAGAAACCTGCAACCACTGCACACGGACTCTCATACATACCAACAATGCAACTACTCCAGTTCACGCTCATGACAACGTTGCAGAAAGAGCTTGAAGGCATAAATTTGAACGCAGGTCTGCGGTTAGGTCTATGTCAGGTGCGCTTTAGATACAAAACCCGAATTTTTTTCTGCTGCTCACGCTACTAAGCATCTACAAGATAGATGGAGCCCTATCACTTTCAAACCAGTCAAAAAAGTGCGGAATCCTCTACAAAAACACATTCTCGGGAACAAAATACGCATGAGAGCAGTTTTTGAGTGGAAAAAAGCAGATAAGCGTTTCTTATAAAGGTATGACGCAGCTAAACTAAACCCACTGCTTTGACTTTCGACTAGGTTTATGCACAAAAGATTTTGGAAGCTAAGAGTCACGTTAGCAGACAGAAATTTTAGGTGGATCTATAGTTTTGGCCAGCCTTCGAGCCTGCTTTTTTCGAAATTTTTAATTTTTTTCCTGCATAATCTAACGAAAGCGGAATCCGCTCCGGTCACTGATGAATGCCTGTTGAACACACAACTGTACCAAATCTCAGATCAATTCGTTGAGAAGCAGATGAACTACGGCAGTTTTTTATAGTGGATCTATAGTTTTGGCCAGCACTGTATTAGGTTGTCCCGAAAGTTCTGTCCCTCCATCAAAAAATCATAACTTCTTTCGGTCACGACGGTTTGGCGCAATTCAAATTTTGCCTGAAAGCGTAAAGCATGTAGTTTCCAAAAGTTCCCTGGGAAGTTCCCGACATGCTCAGGTTGCAGAGATAAAAATGAAAGAACGAGATCATCCGAAATTAGGAATTTTTAAGCAAGAATTCTAAAAATTCAGAAACTGTGCGATAAAATCCAGAAAAGCCATTATCTTAATTTTTCTTAAATTTGATCACTAACTGAGTCAAGTTTGTGCTGATCGAGCCCTTCTTTTAAAAGTTATGATTTTTTGAAAAATAATGCCGAAAAATCAATTTCCTAAGAATTCTTAAGAAATGGGTTTTTTAGCATTTTTTTTCAAAAATTCATAACTTTTGAAAGGAAACCTCGATCAGCACAAACTTGACTCAGTTAGTGATCAAATGTAAGAAAAATTAAGATAATGGCTTTTCTGGATTTTATCGCGCAGCTTTTGAATTTTTGGAATTCTTGCTTAAAAATTCCTAATTTCGGATGATCTCGTTCTTTCATTTTTATCTCTGCAACCTGAGCATGTTGAGAAGCTCCCAGGGAGCCTTTGGAAACTACATGCTTTACGCTTTCAGACAGAATTTGAGTTGCGCCAAACCGTCGTGACCGAAAGAAGTTATGATTTTTTGAAAATGGAGGGACAGAATTTCGGGACAACCTAATATATTCTGATAAGGTAAACCTGCGACTTCATAGGTTTTATAGAGTAAGGTAACCTTACTCTATAAAACCTATGAAGTCGCATTATCACATACTTTCACATTCAAGAATCATAGGACTTTAATTGTCAGCTGTCACTAAGTAACCTAAAATCGCTTAATTTTTTGAAATTCTCGTTCTCGGCGGCCACTGCTCAAATCGACCTAGTTCTTCAATTATCTGGTAGAACAGCACCTGCCCTTCAAAAAAACCCTATGAAGTCGCATTTGCTGACAGCTTCAACCACCAGATTTATAACAGTGGAAATTTCGCATGATTTTATGTTACTTTATCATTTGAAATTCTGGTTCTCGGCGGTTACTGCCTAGATCGACCTACTACATAGATATATGCCCTCAATACTTTCTTTTGCTTCCTTTTGCTTATTTTCCTTCTTTTATTCAGCAAAAAAAAATTTTTCAAACCCAAAAGTGAAGGTGGTCGCCCTGTACCAGCTCAAAAGTGAAGGTAGGCGGAGACTCGGCTCCGACTCTATCGCAACTCTGGGTATGACCATTTGAATTGATGGAGTGCTAGGAAACGCAAGCAAAAGATTTTTTGAGGAATCATAAAGTCAATCTATCTGTTTCAGATCAAATTTTTTGACAGTAAATGTGTTCTTCCGCGATATGTCCTACATGGAATATGTACAAGTGCAAGGCACCACTCTTACCGAAACTCTTAGTAGGTCTATTTTCTCTTTGAGACCTTCGTGCTCAATAAATAGTTGCATAGCTTGTTATAGGTGATATCGGTGGAAATATGGGATTGTTCCTAGGAATGAGCGTAATTACTGTAGTCGAGATTTTGATGTATTTTTCAAAGATTGGTTGGATTACATTTTCAAGCAAGCGCAGACTTTACATGTATCGGAAAAAGGAACACGAAAAGGTGATCTTTCCTATTCAAGGTGTTTTGTCCATGAGGCTGCACCCCAGTTTTCATATGCTGGCGCCGTTCCAGTCCCGCGCCAACGCCATTCTATCGCCGTGCCAGCGCCGTAAACTTATGGATGCAGTGCACATTGTCCGATCGATCTCGCCGGCATAGTTGTGGCACGGCGCTAGAATGGTGCTGGCACGGAAACTTCGGAAGTAGCGCTGATAATTGTTTATTATTTAGGAACATGAAAAACAACTGGAAGAAACTATGAGCGGTTTTAAACTGTTCCGCATTCGTAAGGAGGGAACAGATATGAGTCATACAAGAGCACGATTACGAGCACTCACCAACAAAGTGTCATCCGCAGACGCGCCTGTGAGCTTACCGATTTTTCAACATTTCCTGAGAAAAAAGAAAAGGTTTAGGAGAAAAACTCTATGTCATCGGAAAGAGAATGCGAAGCGTCGGATCGGAGATCACGGTTTATGAACGCTAATTCCGGAGTGAGTTTCTGAGCAAACTTTCTCTGTGGTAAAAGGGCAAATATCACGCTGCCTTAATAAGTTAATAGTACTTCCATATGATTTTTTCTTCTTTCAGTCCTTCTACAGTGACAACCCGAGAAGAAAAAATAGCGTTGTAAGTTGCACCATTTTGTATGTTTCTATAATAAAAAATCAGGTTTAGGTGGAACTAAAAATCGATCTCCGCGATCTGAAAGAAATGAAAGACGGCCATATGCAAATAGAAGCCGATTATAGGAGTAGACCGAGATCTTCCACAGCACCCCCTTCTTCGTTTGTAAGGGGAGTTGCAAAAGATGAGTGAAGATGACCTTGTGAAATGGACATTATGTGATGCCTTCATTTTGTGAATATTTGCAACATTACTCGGTGTACGTGTGATCTTACAAAAAGCCACTTATTGTTTGATTGACTACGTAATTTACAAAAAAAGTTATTATAATCTAGTAGTGCCTCATCTGAGCAATAACTTAGCAAATATTTTGAGCCCATTGATTTGTAATATAAATACTCGTAAATTCTCGAATTATGTGGTAAAGTATTGCGTCTGCACATATCATTCTACTGTATATGATGAATAAACCTATCGGATCAAAACTTTTACAGGAAGTAATGTGTTTTCCGACTTACTACGTATTTCTCATCAATGCCCTCCCTCCAGTGGTCGTATTCATCAACGAAACCCGTGGGTTCCGGAACCCACTGAGTTAGTGCTTTTGAATTCTTCCCTGGAGTAGAATCGATATTCAAAATCATCAAAAGCACTAACCCAGTGGGTTCCGGAACCCACGGGTTTCGTTGACGAATACGGCCACAGAAGGAACTTGTCAGCTCTAGAGACACCTACTCTTGATTCTGGTAATTCTAGAGATTACTTTGGCAGTGCTTAGAAGCCGATACATCAGAAAAAAACGCTGATGATGAAGCTTTTGGGCTTTCGCATTCAGTACCAAGATTTTCACCAAATGGTCCGAATTATTTAGTAAGTCTCATCATTGATGTCCTTCCAACCTTTCTGAAACTGTTGCTAAATCTGTTCCTAATTCAAGAGATAGTGCCAATGTTATCAATGTCATGAGTGTAAGTAAAAGCAGTGGTCACAAAAGTAGAGATGAAGTGGAAAGTTAAAACTGCTCAAAGGCACCGTCCACCCTAAGAGGGTCTTAAGCTTTTAGCAGCATGTGCTAGTAGGGCCCCTATCAAGTCAATGCTCAAGTCGCGGCGCGAAATGTGGCTTCGGAAGCGAGAAAATCTCTTCGGAATAGCGAAGATGCACGAGGACCTCCATCCATGCCCAGTCACCATGCTCCGTATTATATTTTTATTTCTCGCATCTCGAGGTATGCACTGCTTGAAATCAAAGAAAATGTATGGAAAATGCTCGACGCCCTTGCCGCCCACCCCTGACTTTGGATAGCACAAGGGCATTTGGATTGAATTCCAGGTGTTTGTAGCTATACTATGTAAGATAGAAAAAGTAGTTGTTTCTGAGATCATTGATGAGTTCCAGCAGAAATTAGTTTGCGATTTGCAAATCGCAAGCGCATTTATTTAATATCTAGGCACAGCGAACTAACATGTACACGCAATGAACAAAAACTATTGGCCACAAATATAGTGGACAATCCTTTCGACTGACGTGCAACTACACATGACAAACTGTAAATTGATGAAAAGGTTAGAAGTCAGTTGATGTATCAGGTTGTTACACAAGTTTTCTTACACTCGACTGAAAAAACTCTCATAACTTTGCAAAGGATTTTTCTTTATCTCCCAACTGTGTGTACTGTTGCAGATTTTTGATATATACATGTCCCACATAAAAAGTCAAATTTTCGAATTTTTTGGAAATTTTTTCGAATTATTTCTGGCGAATTTCCAATTTTGGTTATGAAAAAGCTTAAACTTCCAGATTATCTGAGTATAACAATGCTCCTAGAAGTCCACAAAAAATCTAAAAAGGCGGAAAAGGAGAATAAGAAAAAATAAAAAATAAGGAAAAATGGAGGTTGGTAGTGCCCTTATAGAGCTGCCTTTATATTCTTGTAAGTCATTTCGTTACGGCATAAATGATGATGCCAGCGGATAGCCCTTACCCCCTTCCCCGTGTATGCCAAATATTAGACCTTGCCTTTCCAGAGTTTTCCAGAGGAAGACAAAGAAAGTGTAACAAAACTTATGTAACAACTTGATAGACTGACTTATGACCCATCATTTTATGTAGCTTCCATGACTTCTTTTGTCGGCATTCCTATGTGTATGTGTAGACCTATATAATCATCACATCCAGGCGGATCCACTTTTCTTTTAGAGTCGTGATCTTCGTTTCTTACGTTCGTTTACCCCTTTCTCCAATTATGATACGGCAATTCATGCATTCATACAAACCCATACTTTGCGCCGTTACATGTCCTTCAATGGGGCGTACAAAGGCTCGAGAAAATCCTTCCGGCCTGTTCCCACCTACCGCCTCTCGATGTTACCTGTGAGAAACTTTATCGTAATATTATTCTGCAGTTTTTGCACTATGCTGTGTTTCTATACTACGATGGCTTCTTCTGAGATGAATGGTAGAGGTGAGCTTCGTTGGCATAAATTTTGTACCGAAAGTGTGGATACTGGCATGAAGAAAAATGATGGTAAATGTAGCTCGAAATGATTGTTTTAAAGCGAATCTGTAGTAAAGGATTCATCGCTAAGAAAACTCGCCATTTCTGCCTCAGGGCCTGGCACCAGCTGGCACGGGGCAAGCTGGATATCGTTTTTGGGGCAAAAAGCAAAGGGGGTTTCTTTTTATGGGCGAAGACACGTCAAAAATTGGCGACCTTTTTTTTAGTCGACATTTCGTTTTTGGGGGGATTTTGGGGAATTTTTCAGGTTTTTGGAGGGGATATCGTTGAAGGTCAAAGGGAACTTCGTAAAATTTTGGGAAAGTCAAAGGGGACTTCGTTTTGAAAATTTCCTGGTGCCAGCTCGTGCCGAGCCCTGTTCTGCCTTCAATTTTAACCTAATCTCATCGTATCCACATCTCCCTCCATTCTTATTTCTAGGTGACTGCTCATTTTGACCCAACTCCGTCATGCTGAGTAGCCCTTTCAACTAGAAAAAAACTTTTCAAACGAATAGAAGAGATGCATCGCTACAACCACGCATTTGTGAATTTAGCTACTTTTACTCATTACCGCCATTCCCATAGCTCATTACACTTCGCGCATGTATGATATCTCTCAGAAAAAGAGAAAAGAAATTTGATAAAACATAAAGTTCGCTCTCTTCAAGTATTGTTTGGCTATCTGCACCTAAAATTTAGTTTTATAGAGTAGACATTATCAGCTTTAGTTTTGAAGAAATATCCAAGGTCTGAATAAAAAAAAAGGTTGCGCATAATCCTCATGAAAGCTATAAAAAAATTTGGCTAAACTTCGAACAAAAATTTAACTCTGTGCTAACACAGAGTATAACAGGACAATCATGCCCAGAATCACTTCACATAATCAAAGCTTCTGTTCAAAAAGAAAGTTACATAGTGAGGTTCTAAAGTTATTATGTTGATGCAAAATTAATGCACGTTCCTTATTCTAAAGCGGCAGAGGAGATGGAAAATGTCTGAAATACATCACTCGATAGAGCAAAGGTCCGAGCAATCGCAAAAATTCGATCTGCGTGAATTTTGAGGAAAAGATCTAGAAAATTTTAAATACCAAATTAGAATTGTGTCTAGAATGATCCTACAAAACCCCCAACGTAGCAAACATATACTGAACACATGAGATATGTGTTGCCGAATATGTACACTTGCCGTACTTTTTCGTAACTGGAAATTTAAATAACAATTAAGCCAAAGGTTCGAAAATATCGCCTTCTTTGGGTCCATGTTACATTTAATATTTCTAGACAACTAACCCCTCAAAAAGGCTAAAAATTTATTTTAATATTAGGTTGTTGCAAAAATAATGTCCGTTTTTCTAGCCTCTATTCCAAACAACTTTTTTCCCATCAGACTTCCTTTTTCGATATAATCTCTGCATACCATTGGAAAGCCCTCTTCATGTACTTTCTCGTGGCGGTAGAAATAAGCTGCTATCCTCACTTGTGAGAATTTCACCAGCATTTTCCACATCCGCGCTCAAAATCAGAATCTCATAGCTTCCACTTTCGTGACCACAATTTAGGAGCAAATCAACGAATTCTTTTGAAAACATAGCAAATGTGTTGGATAGAGATTGCTTACCTACTGCGTGCTTATGTAGATTTTTGGAGATATGTGGACTGAGAAATTGACGCGTCGAAATAGACACTCACTGCTGGCATTCTATGGGTCAGAAATTTCTCATAATTAAGGCAATCGCCAAAGCTTCGCCCATTTCTGTAAGCTTGAAATTAGCGCACCTTAACTACAATATTTAAAGAGAAACTCAGCTATTCAGTGTGCGAAGAATTCCAAATTTTCAAAATTAGGCACTTACAAGCCCACAACAAATAGGCTCAAAAGAGTGAACATTTTTGAATTTTTATCTTTTCTTTTCGCAGAACTCCTTCGTTGGAGTTTTTTCTATACACACGTATACTATTGGCCTGCGGCTACAAAATAAGCTAATTAGCAGACATAAGGACAAAGCTTGAAGGGAGTTGTAAGCTCTTGAAGACGAGGTTTTTAAGAGAAAAACTTTCAGTTTTCTGACGCATGGTTTTCTTCCCGTTTGCGATATCAGTATATGCAGGGGCGCGCCAAGTTAAGAAATGTTTGATGTTTCTGATGGTCTTGACTGCATTCAAAAATATGGAGACTGAACGAAGTTATAGCCTTCCAAAGTAAAAATTTGCAAAACGGACATTATTTTTGCAACAACCTAATACTTGCGAAGGCTTGTAGTAGGAAATTATCTATGTCAGGACAAAACATATTTGGTGGGATATGCGGAATTTTATTATCTCAACTTCTTGCATGGATAAAAATACAGCAGTGTACATATGCTCAGACAATCGACCGGACCCCTCCGCCGGACAGTCGGAATCTGCCAGAGTCGCGCCGGACCCAGTTGACCAATGAGAGCGGGGCGATTGGGCGGTCCCTTCTTGTAGGTCGCGGTGACATCACTGGCAGGCAAGTGGGACCCTTCTCCGGCCCTGCTGCAAAGGTACGCCATTTCTGCTCCGGAGGTACGCCAGATTTGGCAAGCCGCGCCGGAGAAAATCGGAGGGATCCGGAGCACAAATGCGAGGTCTTCGGAGCACAAATGGGAGGGCTCCGGAGCACAAAATGGGAGGGCTCCGAAGCAGAAATGGGAGGTCTCCGGAGCAGAAATGGGAGGGCTCCGGCGGACGAGTGGCAGACCCACCGCTGGGGAAACCCCGCGACCCTGCCATTTCTCCGCCGGAGGGGTCCTATCCGCTGTCTGAGTGTATAGCTGATGCGATGAGTGATTTTCGTGAACAGGTGAGAGGTTGTAAGAATTTTCTGAACAGAGAATCGATTTCTAGGCACTAGAGAAATGAATTTTTCTTCTTGATTTTCACTATCGAACTTTTTGAGACTACTTGAAGGCCGTCTTGTAGATTCTTTGCTTTATTGAATGATATGTTTCTTAGATTTTTATACATTTTTTGCCGCTCAAGAATAAGTAACATGCATTGATTATGCATCAACCTAACAACAATATTATTTCGAAAAATTGCCTTTTTAGCAACATCGCAATTTCCAAATCATCAGAGCTTCAACAAGGCCATTCGATCATCCTCAGTGGTGCGAAATTTAGTTGAACTTGAACATATATCCATCGAGAACGTCTCCAAAGAACAAGAAGAACTTTTGAGGCGAAGTGATATTCCACCATTGTTTTGGCCTTATGTGAATATCACTGCGGTAGAGCAACGCGAAGGAAGACGGAAAGCGAATGATGTGAGTTTTTGTCATTCACCTACATGGATATAAAATCATAGTGGCTTGCCCGTGAGTAATTGAAAATATTATTATTATTCTTTCTCAGGAGAATTAATTATGTAGAAAAAGCTTTTTTATTCGCTATCGCCACGCCTTCCTTTCAATGTTTGTTATGTGGTCGCGAACAGCGCGGCTATAGTTCTATCGTAGAAAGAAATAAAGGTGAAATCCCCCTCCACGTACTTGAAAAAAATTTTGCCAGATTGTATATCTCATAGGAGTAGGGAAGTTGCTAAGAATCTGTAGCTTAGAAAAGATTTTCTGAATGACGTAGGTGTTAGATTGGGGTTTAAATAAGATCGCAGTTTAGTTTGTTATCAACGTTTGAAGCATTTATACATTTGTACATGTTTGTCTCCACTTCATCTTTTCCCTTTCTTCTGCCTCCACCTGCCCCTCCTTACTCTCACTTTCTAGAGCTTTGTTTAGAGTGACGTAGTCAGAGATAAAGACGCCAGTGACTTCCCTGCTGATGATCAGATTTCACCGAACTCAGTTCAAAATGATGGGAAGAAGATCGTCATTACCATAACCGAAGAGGCAGGAAGGAAACTATTACAGCACTGGGCTGACCAAGCGTTGTCTGGACTCATGGCAGCCGTAGCAAATATTAAGTGAGTACTTTACAAATTTCTCCTAGAGGATGGATCTAAGTCAGTATGTCATATTGAATCAAGGCTCAGACATGTTGGGTATAAGGAAAAACTAGCACATGAACGATGCAATAAAGGAGCTACATCGATGGTGGCTCACGCAAATTGTGTGGTGGCTCTGCTGGATGCGGAAAAGAAATATCAGTGGTTAAAGAAGTTTGAGAAGAAGAACAATAGAGGTACCCTACCGAAGTTACAGATGAAATGGCTAGTTGACCATTGCTCTAGAACAACTCAAAACAATGGGAGCGAGGATGGCTAGAATGTCCACATTAAACCTTGGGAAGCACACGGATTTTTCATGGAAGAAACCCCCCAGAAGAGTTTGGCAGAAGCAACTAAAGGAGGTATTTTTCGTAAAAAGAGTGCCAGCGTAAAGGAGATAAGATAAATTTGTTTCGATGTTAGGACGACGAAAACTGGATAGGCTCGTTCAAAATGCGTACTAAACGTTCTACAAAACGAATCAACATGCGAGTCAAACCTATCACAAAGAACAAATATGATCTCTTAGGAGGTACATATTACAAAATGGACATGATATTTTTTTGTCTTTCGCAATATGTGCTTTAGAGCGAGCTGAATCTCCTCTGGGCATGGTGGCAGAGCATATGCTTCGAGCAATGAGAAGGCTGAAAAACAAGAAAGATGACGATATCAAATCGTGAGTTTTTGTCTCTTCGTAAAATAAGAAAAATTACACCCACCAATGCCGGAACGCATTCTGAGATTTTCTCGAGGAATTTCATTTTTGATTAGTGAAGCTCTCACTGCGAAAAAGGTTCGATAAGAGTCAATGAACCCACAGTGAAATCATGCTTTTGAATGTAACTAATCTCATTCAAAATTCTCGACGAATCGTTCCAGATGGGCACAAGTGGTTTCCGAAGTGCGTGAAGAGGGCAAAAAGATGCAAAAAGAGAAGAAAGCTAAGCGAATCCTCGACAGACGGCTAAGGACATTCATGAGAGTGTTGCAAAAAGATGAAGGTGTAGATTTAGCGAAGGTATCTGTCCGGCTATCGTGTGTCTCCAAGTGGGAACCCATCAAATTCAGAAAATGAATATGTTCGGTGATAAAGAACTTTCACATATGAAGAAAATGATGTTAAAAAATGGAGATGAAGGAAAACGGAAGATAAAAGAGGAAATTTTGTTGCGAGCACCGATTGAGCTGCTGAAACGAGGTAATTTTGCATTTAACAAGCGTTGAAACAGAAATTTCGTTTCGTTTAAGAATTTTTTGCCGTCTAGGTGTGAAAATAGGTATGATGCTGTCTGGAAAAAATCTGACGAGCTTGGATAAGAAGAAAATCAAACTACTTTCTCCGAGACTCTTCCCAGTGGTTCCTGAAGAAAAGAAAAAGGACTCGGTACTTTCTATTCTGCGGCGAAAGCGCCAGAAAAGGTGTAGTACATCTTACAGGTCAGTCTTATATCACCTTCACTCTTTGCTTTGCACAAAGATGGACAAGGTCTGGAAAAGCAAACAAGTCTGGGAGAGGCTTTGAATCTCTTTGGAAAGAAGGATTACTCGGCCTTGCTCAACTTTATTATCGAGGTTTCTGGTGTCTCTGACGCGGTGGACAAAATGAAGGTACTTTTTGTAAAACTGATCCTTCTTTTCTGATTACATGTGCTTACAGAAGCATAGGAGCAGGTACAGTTCTATTCAAAGAGATAGCCCTTTTGATCCAAATAAGGAACAACGTCTATGGTTCACTAAGGAGAATATAACTGAGATCTACGGTGAAAAAGAAACGAAAAAGGTGGAATTATTCGAAGAACTCCACAGAACCTACTCCGACGAACAGGTATTGGCTTTGGTTCACAGCAGAATGTGTAGTATGAACTTCATTAGAATTGTAGGCAGTGTACACGAAATCTGATTATCTGGAATTCTTATGCTTAAAAGCATTGGGTGTTACAAGAGTGTTATAAGAGTGCAGCAGTAGCTTATACAATTCCGTCGGCATGAAATTACTCTAAACTCACGTTCGATCTAGTTTTTGACCAATCAGCGTCGTCGAGTACTGTATTACGGAAGAGTTGATCCCCTTAGAGAATATATAAGGTTGATGCACAATTCGTGCACCAAAAAATAGAAAAAAAATTGTTTTAAAAATGCTTGAACAAGCTAGTCAATTTGCCGAACATGCTTATTATTATATAAATCAAAATAGTATTTTCTGGTACATTTTAGAAAACAACATGAAACAAAATCAATAAGTCAATTCAAAACAAAAGTCATAACTAATCCGCGGAGACACCAATCACTACCAACTAGTGGCGGTCCCAGGATTTCGGACCGGGGGGGGGGGGGGCGACAAAAATTTTTAAATGAAGGTGCGTGACATTAGCCACGAACTCTGAAAAAAATTTTGGGGTGCTTCTCAAAATTTTTGAGAAGTTTCCAAACCCTAAAATCTGGAAAAAGGGGGCGTGGCTGACGCCACGCCCCCGAAAAAAATTTTTTTATAAGGCTAATTGAATTTTTAAAGAATTTTAAAAATTATTTTGATTATTTACAAAAATAATCAAGTCGTTTGCACATTTTTATAACCCATATAGGTAAATTTCAAAGATTCGCGATCCATTTCGCGGGGGGAGAGGCGCCCCCCCCCTCGGTCCGCCACTGCTACCAACTTCTCCTTAAGATATGTCACAAAACTAACACCAAAAAAAGCTTTGAATTTTAATAGAAGTTTTAGCAATTTTAGTGACCAAGATCCAAAAAACCACTTTGGGTATTTCTCTTGATTAACTTATATCTTTGACGTATGCCCTCAACATTTGAATTGAGCACTTTCAAAAAGCGCAAGATTTTCTCACTCTAATATGAATCAAACCAGAAGATTTCATTGAAGCTGGATGAAGTAACAGAATTTCAAATTTTGGTGCAAGAATTATGTATCAACCTAATATGGGCTGCCATATGAATGACTGGCCCTCTCCCAACCAATTTATGTAGAAGGGGTCCATTACTCACACTTGACTGACAATGAGTACTGCCTTCAGTACCATGTGAAAGCCGTTTTGAAAACTTCGTAACTTCACAGACAGCAGCTTTGAGCTCTATGGGGTATGCGATCCTTAATCAGAAGCAGGTGCACTTGCTCTACGGCCGTGGGTCACCTTTTCATGACCCCGAGATCCACCGACGTCTCTCAACCATATCGACTACGGATGTTCCTGCACTGCTCGACAGAACAATTCGTGGAATTGCTGCTGAGACCATCAAGTTCAAGGTATCGCGAAGAAAGGACATTACGCTGTCGCCAAGCGTGTTTGCTCCGGTAATCCTTAGTCCGAGTGTTTCTGAACCGTTCATCTTGTTCCCGCTATTGTTTGACCCTGTCATATTGTCACCAACCATTCTCGGCGGTTTTATACTTTCGCCATGGGTTTTTGTGCCCACCATCCTTTCTTCGAAGGTACTTTGTCCTACAATATTGTCCCCATATCTTCTGTCTCCTGTTATTCTCAACCCAATTGTTTTGGGCCCTACTGTCCTGAGCCCAGGCGTGCTTTCGCCCACAATTCTTTCTCCTTTGGTATTGTCGCCGGCCGTGCTTTCGCCTGCAGTTCGGAATCCTATGATTTTGTCACCATACGTTCTGAATCCATTTATTCTCAATCCCAGCGCTCTATCACCTGTAATTCTTTCACCCTTTGTTCTTTCTCCGGCTATCTGTTCATCGCCATTCTTTTCCGCAACAGTTCTATCACCACATGCGCTTTCACCTTCAGTACAGTCACAAGGCTACGAGTCTGTTTCGATTCTTTCTCCCAGTTGGCTCAGCTAGGTACAAGTTTATATAGGTTTACTTCTGTGCAAATGTGACTTGTTGATGTTTGTGTTTCAAATGGCGATGCAAATGTGTAAAATTTCTTCTGCCCATGTCCACTGACAAACGTTAGCCCTCCGCGCCGCCGCACTGGACGCAATTCCTGCGTTGGTGATGTGCAAGATTTTGTTCAGTCTGGAGAAAAAATGAGCTTTCTCCGTTCTTATTTTTGTTGTCTACATTTTCAGGATGACACATGTATATACAGTTATTTGCTGTAATAAACAATCATGCCTAAATAAAGCATTTTTCGTCCTGTGATTTTCTGTATATAGGTGATTCACAGCACAGACTGCGGATGTTCAGCGCCTCTCAGATCAAGCTCTCTTTTGTTTCTCTTACCATTCATTGTCTCTCCCTTGCAGTAAATATCTTAGCCGGAAGCAACGGCGCCCAGTCTTTGCGTGTCATGAATCCCGTATACCTTCTAGAAGGAAGCGTATGTCACGAATCTGCAAACATTTACATGGGTTATGAAACTGTGCAAGCAACTTATTTCCAGTCGTAAATGACTGATATGAAAACTAGTTTTGAAAGAATCCTAAAATTAATCCTAAATGCCTCTTCATCGGAAAAATGTATGCTCTGGACAGCCAGCTTTCTTTGTGGACTCTAAAGATGTTTAATAGAAGTAGAATGACTGTTGTTATATGCTGCTTTGTATAGGCATCCAGCAAGCTTACCGCAAGAGTTTATCAGCTTGAAAAATAAGTAGCAGGCAGTAGCGGGTGCTGGAATGAAATGGAATAAAGTAACAGTATATACAGTGACATATAGCACTTTTGCCTCCGATATCTACGGCAAAACCTATCTTTTGCATATCGCAACCAGCGGGAATGTAGCACCTTGCCGTGTCCTGCAGCGAGTCGCATGTGCGAGATACCTGTGGTGGTCCTGCATGGAGTCACAGCAAGCCTGTGCGTTTCACGAAGCAGTTTCGTCGCATTTCTAAATAATAACCATTAGTTATTGCTTTGATTTATTGGTCCGATTTTGTCCTCCTGTGATAGGTGAGACATACGTCACGATGAGATCGAAGAAGCGACCAGCGTAAGTTCTAATTTGCTTTTTTCTCATGGTGTTGGTTGTTATTACAGCAAAATGCGCTCTTTGGGAGATGATGCCGATTGTATCTCCGAGACGACTTCCAGAGTTGTTTCAAATCCAACGCAGCAGAACGCAGAAAACGCAAGCGGCGCAGGCGTCCCAGTCGGCTACAGTCACACTAAATCTGTGAAAAGAAGTGCGTAACAGAATTGATTTATTGCTGCAGCGTCTGGGTAATGATATATCACTCTATAGAAAGCGTGGGGTCGTAATACAGATATTTGTTTGTATACACTGAGAATATTACAAATTTGAAAGTCGCCCAGGATTCAACTTGACTTCACCCAGATTTTGGTTTGGTTCCAAGCTTGTTCGGCGCTATTCCAGTATCCGGGCCCCAAAATTTTTTTGTCGTGGATTTTGTCGAAACTTGGCCCAGGAGGGTTATTCGGCCCGCTGATGTCGAATATCATATTGGTTTTGCACGGTAGCGTCATTTCCTCGGGTTACGGTGAGTATACGGTACGGGGTCAAAATCACGGAATTCGCTGAAACTTGGCCCACGGGGGTTGTCTGACATGCTGATTACGAATATCATATTTTCTCCGCAAGAAATCGCCTCCCTGTAAGGTTACGGTGGGTACACGGTAGGTGGTCAAAATCTCAAAATCCGCTGTAACTTCGCACAGAGGGGTTATTCGACATGCTGATTAGAAATGTCACACTTTCTCTGCACGAAAACGTCTCCCTGTAAGGTTACGGTAGGTTTACGGTAGGGGTCAAAATCACAAATTGGCAAATGTATCTTTCCCCTGTGCTTTGCTTAGGCAAAAGCCGCAGCAGGGTGTGTAGCGCGCGGCGGTGGTTGTGTGTGTGCAGAGCTTCACGACGAAATCGCCATACACCCGTTTCAGGCAAAACTATTTTTTACACCCGTTACAGTGTAGCTACCGTAACTCGAGAAAATGACGCTATGGTTCAAAACCAATGTGATATTTGGCATCAGCTGGCCGAATAACTCCCCTTGGCCAAGTTTCCGCGAAATCCGTGATTTTGGCCCCCTACCGTACGCCCACCGTAACCTTACAGGGAGGCGATTTCTTGCGGAGAAAGTATGATATTCGTGATCAGCATGTCAGATAACCCCCCTGAGCCAAGTTTCAGCGAATTCCGTGATTTTGACCCCGTACCGTATACCCACCGTAACCCGAGAAAATGACGCTACCGTGCAAAACCAATATGATATTCGACATCAGCGGGCCGAATAACCCCCCCCCCCTGGGCCAAGTTTCGACAAAATCCACGACAAAAAAAATTTGGGGCCCGGATACTGGAATAGCGCCGCTTGTTCTTTGAGTTCCACTTCCCTGTTTAGGATTATTTCCAGCGAAGAATGAAAAGCCCGGGTCATCAGAGTCAACCGCAAAACGCAAAAAGGATGAGAATGTCAAAGAACCCGCTTTAGGCGTCGTCGAACCAGATTTAAAACCTAGTGGGTTTGCTGGAACAACGTTCCATCTCAGCCGGAAATTACTGTATTTAGATCGCAAAATTGGAGTGTCACAAGCAGACATATCGTCGAAGCTTTGTTCGAAATGCTCCATGGAGTTGCTCACAAGCAAGCAGTCGGCTGTTAAACATAGTGGGTTTGTGCACCATTTAGACATTTACCATTATGGTATCTACAATTTCGGATAGAACTGATCTTGTCATTCAGCACTTGTTATGCAGCAAAACAAGCTGAAGGAGGATTGGCGGCTACACTCGATTGAACGATGCCAGTCTGGCAGTGCGAAATCGGAAGATCCGACGAAAAAGAAGAGGGGTGGGTTGAGCTAACATTTTTATTTGAGGCCCAAACTGTAAGCCCTTTTACTATCTTTCAAATGTTGTGTAAAAGGCAGTTGCAGATATTCTCAGAAATGTTCTATAGAACTCTAAAAGAAACTGTGTCTACGAGCCAAAAACAGTGAACTGTTTTTTTCTCAATGAAGGCCAACATATGAAAAGAAGTGGACAATCATGCTAATTCATATATTAGGTTCTAAAGAAAGTTTTGCCAATAGTAAGTTAAGTTGTTCTAACTATATCTTCATCGTGGCTGTCAATCAACGATATCCTGGTGAGTGCACTGATACTTGGACGATTACGTAAATAATGCTCTTTTACGAAGAGCGCCTGCTGCGTCTAGGAACAGGTGGGGAGTTCGTTTTTTTAAGCCTGAAATCCATGGGCCATTTCTTGCTTGAGAAAAGGCCCAGATGTCGGACAAGTTATAGTCGGATATTGGTTCATCTAACCAATACAAAGGGTATAAAACAAATTTTCAAACCGAGCTTCTGCAAGTTCTGCGCCTCTATAATTTGAAAAATGTGCCTTTTCGCACAGCTGGGGGAGGATTTTTCTCCTTTTTTGGGCTCTTCTTGTTTGGTTTCCTTGGTTCACAATTTTTTCAAGCTGAATAGTGTATTTGGTAGTTGAGGCCATCGAACACAATCTAAACCTCCCCTTGCATTCGCATTCATTTTCGGTAATTATAGTTTTGGCCATACTTTGCCCGTGTTGCCGGTGTTGAAAGTGTTGCCGGTGTTGAAATGTTGAAAGTGTTGCCGGTGTTGAAAGCGTTGAAAGTGTTGCCAGTGTTGAAAGTGTTGAAAGTGTTGCCGGTGTTGAAAGTGTTGAATGGAGATCATCAGTCTAGCAGTTTCATTCTTTCTCGAATGATCTCACCGGTTGGTGAATACGTTGGAAATGGAATTGGGGAATGAGAAATGAAATTGAAATGCGAAAGATCTTCAAACAAACTTTTTGAAAAGTGGACGGCTTGTCTGGAATAGGCAGTCTCCAATATTTGAGAAAGCTGACGTCTGAGTAGTAATGTGCTGTAGTTCGAATCCTGCCGCGCTTGCGATTAGTGAAGGGACCTAAGTGAGGTCTGCAGCGCTTGCAGCGTGCAAATATTGGAGATTGCCTATTCTAGACAAGCCGTCTACTTTTCAAAAAGTTTGTTTGAAGATCTTTTGCATGCGAAAACATTCCCCATCTCATTTCAGTTTCATTTCTCATTCCCCAATTCCATTGCCAACGTATCCACCAGCCGGTGAGATCGTTCGAGAAAGAATGAAACTGCTAGACTGATGATCTCTTCAACACTTTCAACACCGGCGACACTTTCAACACTTTCAACACCGGCAACACTTTCAACACCGGTAACACGGGCAAAGTATGGCCCCTTAGGCTTAAGATTAATTGGCAGAACTTTCTTTACAACCTAATATCTATGTTATATGATGAACCTATCTAAGAAAATAAGGACGAAATGTCCTACCAGGTGTTGGAACATTTTTACCATCACTCGACGTTGTGGGGTTTCAAGGAGGAAATATTCGCGCTGAATGTTGGAAGAGGCGTCGTTTAAATGTTTCTGGTTTTGCAGAAATGCTCTATCTTACGCGCATTTTTACGCATGTGGGGATTTGAATCAATGCATTTTTTGAATTCAGCTGCTCTGTCTATTAGATCGTTCCGAAAGTTCTTTCCGTTTCTCCAACCTACCATAAAAACACGTGGAATGAAGGTAAGGAAACGCTTCAGGCACTATCCGACGCAGCTTTTCTTCCTCTTTTCAACTGTCATATTCATGTGCCGTGCTCTATTGGTCAGTGAGGTAATGGCCGAAATCTCGAACCAAGTCTTTACTCTGTCCAATTTTGGCAAATTTACAATCTTTTTTTGGATTTTTGGAGAAGTTGACAGCAGTCAGAAAGAGTAAACAAAGTGTAATTTAATGCAATTTTTCGGCGTCTATAGCTAGCCTCAAAAATTCTTTAAAATTGATTTCTGATGCTATCAACATCCACTTTTGGTGATGACAAGGCCATAGAACTTAAAACGGCCACAACTAAGGTGTCATTCGATGCAGCTTTTCCTTCTCTTTCTATTGAGTTTTCTTTCCAATTTGTGGGGGGGGTTTTTGGCGATAAAATTTCCATAATTCTTGATTTTGAACCCGCCTAAGGGTGTGCACGTGAATTGCGAAACCTGATATTTCGAAGCGGTAAACACTCATTTACTTTGTAAAAATAGTGGACAATCATAAGCAACTATTGAAAGTGTCGAAATCAGAAGATTTGTTAATGTTCGGAGCGTTTGTGTGTTTTGTGACTCTGGAAAAGTGAAAACTTCTGGAAAAGTTATTTCAAAAAATACTGAGAAGCCAGTTGAAATTGCCAAAAAACTCCATTAAATTGCATTTTGTTTGCTCTATCAGACTGCTTCAAAGCTTCTCCAAAAGTCAAAAAAGAAGATTGTGAAAAATTGCCAAGTTGGACGGTAAAAACCATTGGTTCGAAGTTTCGGCCATTACTTCACTGACCGCAAGAGCAAGCGGCACATGAAAATGACAGTTGAAAAGAGGAAGAAAAGCTGCGTCGGATATTGCCTGAAGCGTTTCCCTACCTTCATTGCACGTGTTTTTATAATAGGTTGAAAAAACGGAAAGAACTTTCGGAACAACCTAATATTTTGTGGATTTTACTCTTTATGAATTGTTTTTTTTCGCTGTCAAGTAATAAAGTATCTTTTTGATGTCAGCCCACGGATTATCAACGTATCGGTATCTTACTTAGCCTATTGTTAGTTATGGTTAAAAACTCATCGGCAGATATATGCAAACCATTTACACTAATTTTGAAGGAAGAAGAGTCTTCCCCTGTTCATCTGTAACTGTTGTGACTTTTTCAAGATTTGTTTGCCTGTTGTTCATCTGCGGAAGTGTCCTCAGCTTCATTCCCTTCCATTTCTTTGAAAAAATTAATCCAGTTGAATTTTCCAGGTATGGATACCAAAGATCTCAAAGGTTTTTTGTACGGCTGGTTGGGAAAGCAGAAGATTGGTGCACCCCAGTACACTGTCAATCCCGTAACTCGCGGAGGAACACAACGCTTCAGGTGTGAGCTTCGCGTCCCCGGTCACTCTTACGTCGGACTTGGGAACTCGCTTAATAAAAAGGTGAAGAACTTTGTTCTACCTTCGATGTCTTTGCGTAAAACGTTAAGTCTGTTGAGCACGCATAGTTAAACAAACAAAATTAGTCTTTGCAATTTTCAGGATGCAGCTACCAATGCAGCCATGGACTTTTGTAATTATCTCGTTCGCCAAGGGCTGCTGAAAGCTTCGGATGTCCCCGCTCTAGAGGTAATCCGCATCAGATACGCTTCTAAGTGATTTACATTATTTTTCATTTGAATATGATCTCGTGTAGGCTTCTTCACTGGAAGCAACGACCGCAACCCCAGGTACAGGTACCGATTTTGGTGCCGACCGAGGCTCATTCTTCAAAAACGATGCAGCAAATGGAAGTGGCAGCGCGGAACAGCAGCTTGGGGTGAGTTTGCACAATTCAGTTTTTCCAGCCCATGTGAAATTCCCAAGACGAAACTCTTTTTAGAGCTGATGATGTAAAATCCAATTTCGTTGCAGGGAAACACGGTTCCGTGGAGCAGGGCTCCACCAACTGCTCATGATGCTTACGTGACGCAGAAAGCTGAAGAAATTGCCCAGGTAATGTTATTTGCGCCTGCATTCTTATATTATTGTAGCATACAGTATAGTAGTATATGCTAGTTTAGTTACTATCCCAACTATCTCCGTTTTCATATGCAAACAATTGCTTTTAAGTCAGAATCTGTCGATCTGAAAGCCGAAATTCACGGTGGATGGACGATGGACAATAGCAAACAGGCACTCAATGAGTTTCTGCAAAAGATGCGTCAACCAAGCATTGCCTACAATACACATCTCAGAGAAGCGAATAATTGCAGGTAGTTGAGCATTTTTTTTTTTCGAGATAACTCTGTTTCACACATCTCAATCACAGAACCTATGTCGCCGAAGCGTCCGTATTCGTGCCTCAGCTCCGTAGACGTAAGTTTCAGAGCAAGCGTGATGAAATTGCGTGACTCTCTTGATTGTTTTTTTTTAGAAATTTCTGGAAGAGGGCAGGGGTCATCAAAGAAAGTTGCTGAGTCGATCTGTTCGATGGGCATTGTTCGGCAGCTATTCCATCTTGGGATTCTCGCTGAGTTCAAGGGTGAACGAAAGAAGACTACAGCTGCAACAGTAGGAGATTATCAGTACTTGTTAGATCAATATCTTTAATTTTGATCGTGTTCCAGCTTCCCGAAATTCCCATCAATGTTCCCGACCACTTAGCTGAACGAGTGAAGGCTTTTGTGACAAGTTCTGGAGTCCAGCCAATCACCCTTAAACCAGAGGAAAAGCCGACACCAGAATTGCCTAAATCCATTCTTACCAACATCAAGCTTGACGAATTCCCCGAGTCTCAAGTATGTTTTGCGAATTCAGTGTTTTGTAGTTCAGTTATGATTGCGATACCTAGGTAATGCCAGCTGGAAACATTTCTTGGGCACCCCCAATGCAGAACTGGAACGCGTGGCGCGCTAGCAATATCGATGAACCGCCACTGGCTTTTGTAATTGCTGCTTACTTCTTAGTTTTTCATTTTGTGTGACATACTCATGCACTATTTCAGATGTCCTTGCCCGAGATTAGTGCAAAGTTGAAACAAATGGAGGAAGCAAAACCGAGAAACTCTGTAATGTCTAAAACTCGTGATGATTTGCCGGTTTCGCAGTTCAAAGACGAAATTCTGCGCGTTGTGCGAGAAAATCCTGTGACGCTGATCAAAGGTGAAACTGGTTGCGGAAAGAGTACCCAGGTAGGAAAAGTGACTGCATTTTTTTTGCTAAGGGTTCTCTTTGAAGGTTGTGCAATATCTGCACGAATCGTATGTACGCTCGAATCGAGGCGCAGAGTTCAACGCGTTTGTCTCTCAACCACGTCGCATATCAGCAATCTCGCTTGCTGAAAGAGTTGCCGCTGAAATGGGAGAAGAACTAGGAGAATCAGTTGGTTATGGTGTTAGGTAAGGGCTCTCACATTCATTTTTCTACCTCTAATCCAACTCTACCACTAATCGATTTCTTCAAAAGAAGTCCGAAGATATCATTCATATTTTGAGATTTGATGGAGTTTCGCCTCGGCCCTATGGAGCTATCTTGTTTTGCACTGTTGGAGTGCTTCTGAGGAAAATGGAAAGCGGGCTCCGCGGCATTTCCCACATAATTATTGACGAAATTCATGAAAGAGATGTGAACGTGAGTTATTGAAATCTGTTTCGACCTGATTTTTCTAATGATGATCTTTAGACTGATTTTATCCTGATAGTGCTGCGAGAAATGCTGCGTGAGTATCGCGATCTTCGCGTAATCTTGATGTCTGCTACCATCGACACCAAAATGTTCATCGACTTCTTTGGTGGCTGCCCAGTCATAGAAATGCATGGTCGTACTTTCCCAGTGCAGCGTGAGTGGGAAATTTTCATCCATGTGAGGATCACCCGTTGTAGTGAAAACATCTATGTAGATTTCTTCCTCGAGGACGTCATCGAAATGCTCAAGTATATGCCACCTGCATTGGAAAAGAAGAAGAAGGAAGATGCTGATTTGGAAATAGACGAGAAGGTAATCTTTACAATTGATCTGTGGGTGCGTGCATGCTATGTCAGTCTATCTGGTTTGCTCTAAACACTCTTCGCATCACTTGTTTAATTGAAGGTATTATTTTATTCATTTAGGAGAGGAACTTAAATATCCTAACTGGTGATGTAAATCCAAATCTGCAAAAGGCTATGGCTAACATTAGTGAGAAGGAAATTCCCTTAGGGGTCATCGAGGTCGGTTCTTTCGAAGCACGTGAATGTTTGTTTGCTTGTCGCCAGACCATGTTGAAAAGCCATTTTTCTACATTTTCTGGGCATAAGAGACGATGGAATGGCTGGTGCTATCGATTTGCTATCGATAACAGATAGTTAATCGTGACATTAATGAAGTAGATCCTGTCAGTCGTTGCGGTTGTTGATGTCCTACATGTACACCAAGAACCTCGAACAGGATGATCTCTGCCTACTTTTCGAAACTGACTGAATTGTGCCAGCCATTCCGTCTGATTTCAGCTTTCTACGATTGGAAAACCTTTGCAGCACTTGCTCATATACCGTGCTTATTTGGTCGAATAGGTGAGTGGGTTTTGTTCGCTTCAGGTGGCGATTGATGGCTCAACATAAGCACAACTTCCATACCGCTTTTATCCGAATAACGCTGTTATGCTGTCGAGTGCAACTTTTAGGCTATCTTGATGGATATCGCTACGAGAGGAGAGCCTGGAGCTGTGCTGGTGTTTTTACCTGGTTGGAACGAAATCATGCTTGTCATGAACTTTTTGACTTGTCACGCGGAGTTCTGTGAGTCTTCATCTTAATCGCGAAACCTTAACATGATCCCCGTTTCCATTTTTTTCAGCGAAGTCATCCAAATACATAATCTTGCCACTTCATTCTCAGTTAACTGGAGGTGAACAGCGCAAGGTTTTTGATCATTATGGAGATGAAATGCGAAAGGTAAGCAAAGACATTTTTTAAGTCAGCTTATTCAAATTATTCTTAGATCATCCTGGCCACAAATATCGCGGAGACAAGTATCACCATCGACGACGTCGTCTTTGTGATTGATTCATGCAAGTAAGTCCCAATGGCTTCAACTACACTCATTTTTCGTCATATCTCCTTTGGTCTGGAACGCGCTAATCAAATTGCTCATTTTAGAGCAAAGGAAAGAATGTACACTTCCAACAATAACATGGTGCATTTTGCCACTGTGTGGGCTTCTCGCACTAATTTAGCTCAAAGGCGTGGTCGCGCTGGTCGTGTACGAGCAGGCTTTGCATTCCATCTATGCAGTAAAGCTCGTTATGATGCGTAAGTCTTTGTTTCTCTTAAAGGCAGTGTCCAGGCAAATCTAGACCTATGGGGCTTTTACGTGCAAAGTACTTTTGGGGCCCTAACTAAGGCACTGCCCAAGCGGCAGCTCAGGTAGTGCTCCAATGGCTGAGATATTCCCCTGGAAACTGGCCCCCGCGAACGTAATCGCATGGATTCATGGCAGTTTCGCGCCAGGATCCACGCCTTGCGCCATGAATCCATGCGAAACACGGTCGCGGGGTCCAGTTTCGAGGGGAATATCTCAGCCGTTAGGACATTACCTGAGCTGCCGGTTGGACAGTGGCTTAGTTAGGGCCCCAAAAGTACTTTCCACGTAAAATCCCCATAGGTCCAGACTTGCCTGGACGCTGCCTTTAATCTGTCTTTTCAAGAGTGAGTTTATTTACCCTTGTACAGACTTGACGAACATCGTACTGCTGAAATCCTTCGTACGCCGCTGCACGAAATAGCGCTCACCATCAAATTGCTGAGGCTAGGTAGTGTCGGTGACTTTTTGGGTAAAGCACTGGAACCTCCTCCTTATGATATGGTCGTGGAAAGTGAGGCTGTACTGCAAAGTAAGGAAATCTTCTCATTAATAGCTCTTTCATAATCGTACTATACAGACATGGGAGCTCTTGACAAACATCTGGAGCTAACAGATCTTGGTCGCATCCTTGCACGTTTACCTATCGAACCAATCCTCGGTAAAACAATTGTGCTGGGTGTTTGCCTTGGGTAAGGTCATTGCTTGCTCAGCAAATGTTTGCTACTTATGCTTTGAATTATTCTAGTGTTGGAACACTTATGTGCGAGATTGCTGCAGCATCTTCTTTCTCAACTCCGTTTGTCCCCCGCGAAAGGACGCATACTCGTTTGAACTCAGCCCAGCGTTCTTACGCTGGCAACCGCTGGTCGGATCATATCGCTTTGGTATGGAGAGCATCAAAATTCGGTGGAAGCTGTTGTCAGGAATCGCAAGACCTTTCCAGATTGCTGTGAACCAAGCATTTCAACATGCAACCGAGATGGGTACAAATGCGGAACTATCCCTGTGCAACCGGGTGTCCCTGAGCCAAACAATTCTGAAAATGAGCGCGTAAGTTTGCTTCGTCTTTTTTCTTATAAAATTGAAGCATTTGTTTGCTTTATCCTTTCTTCTCCAGAGGAGCTAAGTATCAGTTGATTGATGTTCTCACCAATCAGTGCGGGTTTGCCGGCGAGTTATTCATGGATGGTTCATCCGCACCGGAATGTGACTACGATCTCTTACTATCTCTTCTGATCACCGCTTATTATCCAAATATCTGCTACTATAGAGGGAAAAGAAAGGTATGGACGTTTTGTTGTTTGTGTATAGATTACATAATGTCTTATTACAACAGTAACATTTCTGCTTGCTATATTCATCGTCTTATTTGAGGTGTATACTCTGGAACAAGCGTCTGCGCTCATCAGCAAGACATCTGTTCTGACTCCATTCCAAGGCGACAATTTTGAGTTACCGTCACCTTTGATTGTTTTCTCAGAAAAGGTGCGTTTGTCCAAACAGGCGAACTTTCCCGAGATTCATAAAGTTTTAGCTTCGCACAAGAGTGATCTCTTGTAAGCAGTTGTCTGTTATTTCTGGAATACAATTGCTCATGTTCGGTTGTAGAAAAGTTGAGTGTGTGGGAGAAGATCTGATCAGACTGGACGACATGTAAGTGCTTTGATTTTTGAAAATTGATCCAAACTCGTCGTGTCATTGTTTTTCTTTTGTAATTACAGGATTACACTGAAAATGAATGTAGAAGTGGCAGCATCTATAGTGGCACTACGTCCTTGCATCGAAGCCATGCTTGTTAGAAGTTGCATAAATCCCGAGTCCCTCATGACGGCCACCGAACAAGGTTAGCAACATGTTCCTTTAATTGCAACAAATTTTCTCTCCGTGTGAAATCTGCCCATCGAAATGGGGTTTTCTAGATCGCGAACTTTGCACAATCTTACGGGAGCTCTCATCACCTGAGTTCTTTGCTGGTGGTGGGCCAATGAAAGATGCGTTGTTGACGGATGCAGCTCTGGTAAAGATCTTCTGCTACATATTTCATACTTATACATTCACTCTTCTCATTTCTTTTTTGTTTGTGCGGTACATTCTAGCACGACATTCACATGCACTGCTTGGGTATATGAATAGGAAATCGTTTTTGTATTTTCGATACCGCTTAGTAGTCTTGTTCGGTTTGAAGATACCATCTTTATGAGACTCAACGGCAGTGCAAATATAGCATTCTACCATTCAGGTTCAACCTATCACTGCTGGAAGAGGGCGCGGTGGACCACGATCAGGTAACTAGAAAACTGCTTACATCTTGCTTCCCTTGATTTTTCACGGTCTCTGCATATATCATAGACTCATTTCCAATATAAGCGTTCTAGGCCCTCGCGTTGATCGTGGAGGACCTAGAGGTCGTGGATGGAGAGGAGGTTCATTTGGAGGACCGGGACCAAACGGTAGGCTCATATCTTATTTTAAGTAAGCTTGTGTTCATCTGCCAGTTCCCTATGAGAAATGCATTTCCAGGAGGACCTGATCGTGGCAACTTTGGCGGTCCAACTCCACTATTCCAGGGTAGCCTCATAAAAGGTAGCATATCTGCATCTTTTCGTTCATTGATATCGTTAAAATGCTTCACTTCTAGCAGAGATTGATGATGGTGGCTATAACGGGTCTTCAAGCGAAATGGATTATTCAGCAGGTATCATCGACTACGCTAGTCCGATAGACTATGAACCATTTACTATTGTGCAGGTGATCGAGGTGACAATGGCTGGCGTGGTGGTCGCGGTAATCGCAGAGGAGGTGATGGCTGGAGAGGAGCTGGAGCTCCATGGCGAGGTTCCAACGGTTTCGATCGAAGAGGAGGAGGAAGAGGTCAATGGAATGGTGGTGGTGGTGGCGGTCCCATGAGAAATTCTGGCTGGAGGGGTAATAGGGAAGGTCGTGGTGGTTACGGTGGCGGAGGTGTTGGTTACAGACCATATCCCCCAAGGGGACAGCGTTGGTAATTTATGTCGGGACATTGTGTTTTTGTTATTCAAGTGTTTCGTCTTATTTTTGACTAGTAAATTATGCATCTCCTCATTCAGGGTGTTTTGTTGCGTGAAGTGATGAGTTTATTTTTAATTGTGACATGTGATGAATTATGTAATAAAGTTGCTATTTTGGCTTGGAATTTTGCTCCCTGGTCTTATATACCCTTTCATGTACCTTTTGGTATTCAAATAAAGGAAAGAACAATGTAATAATTGCTTTAGAAGTGTTTAGAGTTTAGAAAAAATATTCACTACTCGGTTTTCTGCACTCTAGAACGGTGAAAATATGTGTGCCGCAGAGAAGGAGAAGCCATCGGCGCCGAAAGGCACAAAGGTGGGATTGATCTGTAGGAAGCAGCAGAAAGCTCTAAGTTCAAACCCGTTAGGCTTTTTTGCTGAAGTCACTGCGTTGATGAGTATCTGTGATTAGTTTTTAGGTAGTGTTACGAAGGCTCCCCCGTGACATGACAGAAGCTGAGCTAATGTCGAAATTGGGGCAGATTCCTCCTTCTATCTACACGTACTTTGTACCAGCTGATAAAGAGTAAGTTGATGTGCGGTCTAACCGTTTGCCTTAAAGAATCTTTATGATTCAAGAACTGACATATAAAGTTATATTGAGTGCCAATGGTCATTTCATACGACGGTGAATCAGCTTCTTCCAGCATGGAACCATACGCGTTTTCTCGGTGTTACTTCACATTTGTCAAGAATTCTGAAGTGCTAGAATTTAGTCGCAAATGGAATGGGTACCGATTTACGGACTCCAATGGTGAGTCCACTGTGCTGTAGTAAAAATTTGTATTTCTGCTTTAGGCAACCACTCTATAGCTATGGTGGAGTTGACAGCAAATGATCGTATTCCACGTAAGCCAAGAAGTGATGTTGCTAAAGACCCAAAGTGTGGCACCATAGAAAATGGTGAGACAACCAAGTTCTATCTCGAAGTCTCAAACCTTTTTATTTTATCTAAGAAGTCGAATACAAGCAGTTTATGCATGATTTGGAAGTGGAATACGAAATGGCGAGACTATCACTTGATGAGCAGTTGCTGCATGCACAACAGCTCAGATTGGATGCTAAAGGTAAGCTTGGGCACAAGTTGGATAAGCAGAAGCCTTTTTCCAGAGACACAAGACTTGAAGTCGTGTGTTTTTTTGGAAAAAGGCAATTGCGTTGAACTTTTATATTTGTACGCAATCAGAGGTGAATCTTTAGCATCTGCTGTACAACCCACACCACTGACCCAGTACATAATTAAGGAAATGGAAGCAAAAGCACTCCGTAAAGCGGTAAGCGTTAGGGAGCTAACGCTGCTCTATCAAAGGCTGAGACCCATCGATTTAGGAAAGACGTCGCGCAGGTCGATCTGGCTTTGATCGCTATGAGGCTTCGAATGCTGAGAGGAAAGGAGGTGTCCTTGAAATCAAAAATAGTTCACGTGGATGGGGTCCTAGATCTTCGCGGACAAGCGCTTTGGATGAGAAGGGAAGAGGGGAGAGGTAAACATATTTTCTTTTTCTTTGTACGAAATTTACCGTTTTTTCAGTGGTAGCAAGGATACAGCAAAAGATAAAGAAGCTAAAGACGAGGAGGATCCTGCAGATCATTTGGCGAGACTATTTGCGAATGCTAAGAAAGTACCAGCTAATGAAATTAGAGAGAAAAAGGCACCTCCTGGAAAGTTCGACAAGCAGTCATTGAGGCTGAGAAAAGAGCGTGTGAAAGCCAAACCAGAAATTACAGGGGATAAAGAGGAGGGAGGTGAGGTTTGCTTTCTATTAGTTCTAGTGCTTTTAGTCATTTCCAGGTGAAAAAGCAGAGGTGCAAAAGGGTCGTGATGATAGCGAAGTGAAGGGGACTATGGGTCTTGATGCCCCGTTGAAAAAGATACCGCCACCAAAACGTGATCCCGCCGAGAGACAGAGAAGGAGAGAAGGTATGGTTGATAAAAATTTGAGAATTCTTCGAAAAGTACAAAAAGTACTCTTCGCTAAAATTCTTCTAATAATCTACAGTGTTTTGATTTGTAATTGTTTTCTTCTATGTCATTTTTATCTGCCTCAGTTTGAAACTAGCTGGTATCGCATTAGTTCGAGTTCCTTTTTTTCGGCGCACTTCAAGTGTATCTATAAATAATTGAATAAAAGTTGATTATCTTAGGTCAAGCATCTCGTCCGATCAAAAAGCCATCGGAGAGATTACTGGCAGCACTAGGCGCAGCAACAGCATCAAGCCGAAGTGGGACGGCCACATCTTCGGCTGACTTCAAATCAAAAAAGTATTCGGAGAGAAATAAACGTAAAGGTAGCCGTTGTTTACACCATAGTTACAAGAAATTTGTGGAGCACTTGTAGTTTCATTCGTTTGAATTTAGACACCTTTGTTTTGGCTACTTAGCTAACATCTGTCTACTACACTTTTAATTTTGCATTTTTTGATCCTTAGCAGGAAATACTGAATCGATTTCATTTACTCCGGCCGTAGTCGTAAAGACGACTCAAGTGCTTAGGGCTTCATGTCGGAAAGAAACGCAGTCGGTGCGCAGTAAGTTAAAATTGCAGCACCGGTGCGTGCACTTGTATTCTTGTCGTTACGGTGGCTATAAGCTCTGAGTTGCTTGTCGCTTCGTTGATGATAATTTTGTCCAATATTTTGTTTTTAGATGATGAGAAATCCAGCAAGGAAGTGAAAGAACCAGCTTCTCCTACGAGCGCTAGCTGAGTGAGGTATTCGGTCAGTGGAAGGGGATGCGAAGACTGGAGCGTTGTCCATTGTCTAGAAAGTCTTGCTTTTGAGCAGGCTGTATAAGTTGCCTGGGGTTGGATATCCTTTTGGTCGACTTGGATTTTTTTTTTGCTCGTTCAACCTTATCAAGTAATTTCTCAATATATAATGAGAACTTTTGGTCACAAACCTTGGCATACGCAATCCTAGGATTTGTAATTCTTGTTATTTGTGCAGAATTGTTGCTCATGATAGTCCTGGTTTGGTTTCTTCTATGGATGCGGAGGGTTTGCTGTGATAAGTATTGTGATATCTCGTCTTTGTTTGCCTGATTATAAAAAGAGCTGTGTTTGTTGAAGTACATTGTAGGAGATGTGAGTAATGAACCGTTAAATTGTGATTGATCCAATTTCCTGCCAATGGTAATCGTCGTAATGAGAAGGTAGACAAAACGTCTTTCCTGCAGTAAATAGGTGTGAATCTAGAGATAACCGCAAAGGCATGATGGTTCGTTTGAACAAGCTAGATGAGATCGGAAATACCGCATACTAGCTGGCTTACCCGGCTCCGCCGTATCCGGACCAAACTTGGCACACATACACTTCGGGCCCCGGCGGGTGTCACAGTCCACTTTTCGTTATCGATCGATGTCGATTTTACCGATTTTTATCGATTTTTTTGCAGAGTTCACCTACAGGGCTAGGAGTTGGCACAGGGGGGGAAGTGAGCATGGGGATTCCGAATACAATATTAGTTTTCAGAATCATCGATTACTTTTATTGATTTTATCGATTTTTTTGCAAAGTTTGACATGCGAGGCTGGGATTTTGCACAGGGGGGTAATCGAGCATGCTGATTACGAACACAATATTAGTTTTCAGGATCGTCCACTACTTTTATCGATTTTATTGATTTTTTTGTAAAGTTTGAGCTACGGGGCTGGGATTTTGCATAGGGGGGTAATCGAGCATGCTGATTACGAACACAATATTAGTTTTCAGGATCGTCCATTACTTTTATCGATTTTATTGATTTTTTTGTAAAGTTTGAGCTACGGGGCTGGGATTTTGCATAGGGGGGTAATCGAGCATGCTGATTACGAACACAATATTAGTTTTCAGGATCGTCCATTATTTTTTGAAAATTTGAGCTAGGGGGCTGGAATTTGGCACAGGGGCGTAATCGAGCATGCTGATCACCCCCCTTGAGGATGATCAGCATGCTCGATTACCCCCCTGTGCGAACTCCCAGCCCCGTAGCTCAAACTTTGCAAAAAAATCGATAAAATCGATAAAAGTAATCGATAATCCTGAAAACCAATATTGTATTCGGAATCCCCGTGCTCGATTACCCCCCTGTGCCAACTCCCAGCCCCGTAGCTCAAACTTTGCAAAAAAATCGATAAAATCGATAAAAGTAATCGATAATCCTGAAAACCAATATTGTATTCGGAATCCCCATGCTCGATTACCCCCCTGTGCAAACTCCCAGCCCCGTAGGTGAACTCAGCAAAAAAATCGATAAAAATCGATAAAATCGATATCGATCGATGACGAAAAGTAGCCTATGACACCCGCCGGGACCCGTAGTGTATGTGTGCCAAGTTTGGTCCGGATCGGTTCAGAAATGGAATTTTCTATTCGGAACATACGTACACACAGACATACAGACATACAGACAGACAGACATACAGACAAACAGACATTCAGCTTTATATATAAGATGAAGGATGTTTATTTTTCAAACCTTTTTAATTACAACAAGACTGACTAGAAGACCTTTTACGTACGTAAGGCCACTTTTGAGTAAATTGAATTGAAACCAAAGAGAAAAATAATTGACGTAGATCTTTGAACACATATTATTGAATTTCCGTAGGCCAGGGTAACTTTGCCCATTTAAGCAATGAAACAGAGGAATTTACACGGCTTATCAATTGCAGAGTCAGATGCACCGCATCTCTCCTCCCGCGCTGCCGCCTCGCATTTACTCTGCACGTTCGCGAACATGCTCTCTTATCAGTTTCCCATTAAGAGCTGGGAAAGGCGGAGCTTCAATCGCTAATTGAGCGTGCGACTATGGCTAGAGAGCATGTTTGCGAAAGAGGCGCAGAGTTTAGACAAAGCCGATTTTTTTCTTGGCATACAGCAATGTAATTGTTTCGTGAGACTTTTCAGATTTTTTCACTTTATTAGGTCTTGCGAAACATTCATAAGCACTGTAAATTTATTATAAAAATTTTTGTTATTCTCTTGTCATATCATTGTTTTGCCAATCGAAATATGCAAACACAAAAAATAATCAGTGATCTTCCTTTGCTTTCTGTTCTCGTTCTTGTGCTGGTGACGGATACAGTAACTCGGCCGTTTTTTCTAATGTTTCCTGGGATTTTACTTTGTCGGATTTCGGAGTGACTTCCACTTTATTTGCTTTTGGACGCAGCGCTGCTCGCTTTGATTCTATCTTCATGGTCGGCTTCATCGGTTGTTTTATTGGAGGCATCTTGGTCACTTTCGGCTGAAATCAAAGATCATCGCTAGAAATGCCTCTTTGCTCATCTCCATAGGTGAATATCGTGAGGCAGTTTTGATTTGCTTGTAGAAGCTGGAATTTTTTTTCTTGAAATCTGTCGGTTCTTCCACAGCATCTCTCAGCCACATTTTTCTAGGTTTCTAAGTCACCATCATTCACATTTCTTAGATCCCTCTCAGAAAAAAATTCTTAAAGTTTTCAGCCTCATTCATTTATTTTGTCAGAGTTAATCCAGAATCTATCCTTTATTCATAAAGCATTTCCTCAAAGTATCAGCTATTCCTATCAATTGTGAAAACCTCCACAAAGATTGTCAAATATTTGTTCATGATCTCGTTCCCTTTTTCACTGTCATGATGATCTCGATAATTGATTGTAGCATTCACGTACCCCGCTCTACGTGATTAGTCAAACATTTTTTAGTAACCTCACTCTAAATACTCCGCGTTTCCTAGTAAATTACATTTTCTCAAACTCACAACTCAGATATAATTTTCTGCAGTGTGATGTTTTTCTTTGGTGTCTCTTTCACTATTAAATTTGGGTCTTTCGAATTGACTTATATTAGGTCGTTCCGAAAGTTCTTTCCGTTTTTTCAGCCTATCATAAAAACACGAGGAACGAAGATAGGAAAACGGTTTGAGCACATCTTGACGCCGCTTTTCCTCCTCTTTCTAACTGTCAAGTTACTATGCCGATTACTCTTTTCTTCACTGAGATAAACGCCGAAATTTCGAACACACGGTTTTTACTATGTCCAAGTTTGGCAATTTTTTACAATCTTCATTTTTAACTTTCGGATAAGCTTTGGCAGCAGTCAGATAGTATAAACAAAGTGCAACGCAATGCAATTTTGTGGCATCTATAGCTAGCCTTAGAAAATTTTTAGAATTATTTCTCTGATTCTATCAAATTCCACTTTTGATGATGCCGAGAGCCACAGATCACGAAAGAGCGCACAATTAAGGTGTTATTCGATGCAGCTTTACCTCCTCTTTCCAGTGAGTGTATTTTCCTTCCAATTTGTGGGGTCTTTAGCGATATCCATAATTCTTGAATTTAACCCCGACCCAGCCTGTACACGTAAAATGCGAAATCTTATATTTTGAAGCGGTAAACGCTCAATTGCTTTGTAAAAATAGTGAAGAATCGTAATCGACCTCTGAAAGCTCCGAAATCCGATAATTTGTCAGTGTTCGAGGCGTTTCTGTATTTTGAGACTTCTCAAAAGTGAAGACTTTTGGAAAAACTATCTTGAAAATACTGAAAAGCCAGTTGGATATGCCGAAAAATTGTATCGCATTGCACTTCGTTTACTCTATCTGAGCGCTATCAAAGGTCTTCGAAAAGTTGAAAATGAAGATCTTTGAAAATCGCAAAATTGGGACATAGTAGAAACCATGTGTTCGAAATTTCGGCGTTTATCTCAGTGAAGAAAAGAGTAATCGGCATAGTAACTTGACAGTTAGAAAGAGGAGGAAAAGCTGCGTCGAGAAGTGCTTAAACCGTTTCCTTATCTTCGTTCCTCTTGTTTTTATGATAGGCTGAAAAACGGAAAGAACTTTCGGAACGACCTAATATGTATAAGTGGCGTACTGACCTTCCTCCCCAGAACGGGTCGCGAAATTTTCAAAAGTACTTACTTGAAAATGTGCAAATGATTTGTTCAAACCTGGGCCTGCGAAAATCTTGGAAAACATAAAAATTTTTTGCCCCCCCCCCCTCCGGAAATCCTGGACGCGCAACTGCCACGTAGGTGTAAAGTTTACTATAATTATCTTACCTTTGCGGGTCCGGCAACTACATACTGTTTGGAAGCTTTATACGCGAACTAAAAGAATAATTTTGACCGACGAAAACAATTGCATGTAAAATTCTCACTTTTTTCTTCCTTCCAGGCGAAAATTTTGTGATTGGTGATTCTTTTATGACCTGAAAAGAATTGAAATATACGAATAAGTGAAAATATATAGAGTGGTTGCATCGATCCTTCATTTCGTTCTTACTATTGATACAAGTAGAGCAATTCAGATCACTATCAATTTTTCCATATCTGGATTGCTAATGACTCTTATATACATCTTGATATCCTCTTATAATATAACATCGAAAGCGGTTTGTGGGCGGCGTTTCGCCAGAAGTAAAACACGCACGAAGTGAGGAGCGAGCTCGACCGCAGAGAATTTTGGGGGCGTGATCTCGCGGGGTTGCATTCGCAGCTGTACAGCCACACAGTGCTGGCGTTCTTTGTAAAGCTCAGCAACTCAAGGGGATGGGGGTATCAAGCGCTTTTCCACTGTATGTAGCAAATTGTGCAATGGTGCCAATAATTCAGCCCAACACTGCTTGCGCTTTTCTTGCTCCGCAGATACTTCTGTTCGTTGCCTTCGAATTGTTACAAAAACCATCATTCACGTCAACGTTCCCTATTTTTACCACTTTGATGGGAGCTGAAGCTTTGATCTGGCATACAGACAGTCAGCAGCCTCTTAGTTCCACACCTCTGCTTACAAAATCATTTCGTTTACAAAATTTGGCCAGATTTTTGCCGAGCTGTGCCATTGATACGTTTTTTCATGACAGTGACAAAGAAACACCAATTTTTGATGATTAAGTTCCAAAACGTTCTTAGGAATAACCTGTTTCTGATACAAGACTGAGTTAGAGCTTTTTGATGAAACTTAACGCAAACAATCACAACTAGATTCACGGTGCTCACTTCCAGAACTTATCTTATTAGCAAAAATACATGAGCTTCTGTTTATCGGCCTCACAGATCACTTTATAAGCGAATTGATCCTGCTCCCCATGTCATAATGGAAGATGAAGTTTTTTGATATAATATAATATTAGATCGCATTACAGCTTTTTTTCAAAAAATCTTTGTTAGACTATATACATGTTAAATTTTAGCAGAGTTGAACGCACTTCGCTTAGTAGTGTATAATATTCTCCCAGACATTAGCGAAAATTTTGAGAACTTGGCGATGACTGCTGTTAAGTGATCCTTGAAATAACACCAATACTCGACCGTCGACCACAATGGATGCTGACTCATCGCGCTTGCTCTTCGTAGTAAGCTGGGACGGGTCAGCCAATTTACATGTCTGGACCGTTGATCACGCCAGGAGCTGACTCATCATAGTTGATCTTTGCAAACCGAGCCAGCCATGCATGCTCTGAACATTAACACAATAAAATGGTCATACTAGGGGTCAAAACAGCTGCCGAATTCGCTGGGAACTCTAATGTTGTTTAATAGAAGTGTTTTGATATAATATAATACGCGTAAACTAGCTCAGCTTTGAAATGCGATTCTGTCACGCAATTATTTTGCAATCAAAATTTTGTAACTTTCACTGAGCTGTGCAGTTCTTGAGCATTTTTCCATCAGGCACACTGCCATTAGATCGCATCACAATTTTTTTGTCAAGAAATCTTTGTTAGACTCTATACATGTTTGATTTTAGTAGAGTTAAATGCACTTCGCTTGGTATATAATAGGCTCCTAGATATCAAATTGTGAGAATTTGGCGATGACTGCTGTTAACTGATCCTTGGAATAGCACCAATACTCGACCGCCGACCACAATGGATGCTGACTCATCGCGCTTGATCTTCGTAGTAAGCGAGGGACGGTCATCCAATTTACATGTCTAGACCGTTGATCACGCCAGGAGCTGACTCATCATAGTTGATCTTTGCAAACCGAGCCAGCCATGCATGCTCTGAACATTAACACAATAAGACGGTCATACTAGGGGTCAAAACAGCTGCCGAATTCGCTGGGATTCATGCATTGCTCAGATCAAGCCAGAATTGCAATTTATACAAGTGACTTTCACATTCTGAAAAGAATCAGTCAAAATGAGAGGTACGACGATTCTCACTTTATCTTTTTCTATTCTGAGCAAAATATCAAAACAGCTGTTAATCGCGTTCAAGATTGAAGGTTTTTATAATAGAACAAGTTTTGGTCGAACTAACAAGCTAAAAAAAATTTCAGGACACATCCTCAAAATAGAGAATACCTCCATTTGTTTTCATTGACTTCATTGAAAAATTCGATGCTTGGGTGGATTTATAGAAGAATTTGAGTTTTGTTCTACAAACAAATATGGCGAACAAGCACTGGTCTCATTGAAAAGACGGTTGAGCGAGTTCTATGGAGGGACGTTTCAAAGGATATTTTCCCTCAACAATCCGCTAGAGACTTAATGAGAAATGCCCATCTAAGAGAATTTCCTTGAACAGAAATTCAACGTTAAAGAAAAGCGGTGCACAAGTTCCTTCATTGAAAAGGAGCTGGAACACTTTTACAGATATATTTCGCGATTCAGCTTTTTCCTTTACCTAAAAATCTGACGTTGAAAATTTTTTGAGAACTCCTATTCTTTCTCAAAGAATTGCTACACGCAAGTTCAGTCTATATGGAAAAACACTCGGCAATTTCTACAGCAGAATTTTGCAGAAAGCATTTTTTAGTCGATCTTCATATATCCCTGGATACATTAAAATTATTCTATTTCTGCTTTCAGAATTTTGCAACTGCAAACTTTTGTCACGCTGGGAAGTTCACTCAAACGGTTTTCAGGATTGGCCACTTTTACACAAAAAATCATTCGTGGTTTACCCGAGTAGTTTGTAGGGGCGGTCCTACAGATCGAAGATATTTGGCATTCTTTCTGCTCCGTCCATGAGATTCGAATACATTGGAAAAACTCTACTTCTGCCTCAAGAACATTGCCTCCTGCAAACTTTGGTCCCGTGGGTACCTGAATAGTTTGTAGGTCGGTCACTTTTACACAAAAGATGTCTTCTGATAATTCTTCAAACAGATCGAAGACATTAGAAATTCCATTTTCTAATCCGAGCATAAAAATCGAATACATTGAAAAAACTCTACTTCTGCCTCATGAACACTGCAAACTGTGGTCCCGCGGGAACCCGAGTAGTTTGTAGGGGCGGTCCTACAGATCGAAGATATTTGGCATTCTTTCTGCTCCGTCCGTGAGATTCGAATACATTGAAAAAACCCTACTTCTGCCTCATGAACACTGCAAACTGTGGTCCCGCGGGTACCTGAATAGTTTGTAGGGTAGATCACTTTTACAAAAAAGACTTTTCGCAATAATTTTTCCTACAGATCGGAGATATTCGACATTCTATTTTTGCTCCGAGCATAAAAATCGAAGACATTGGAAAAATTGTACTTCTGCGCCCAAAACTCTACCACTTGCAAACTTTGGTCCCGCGGGTACCCGAGTAGTTTGTAGGGTAGGTCACTTTTACACAAAAGACTTCTCGCAATACTTTTTCCTACAGATCGAAGATATTTGACATTCTATTTTTGCTCCGAGCATGAAAATCGAAGACATTTGAAACTTTTACTTCTGCGCCCGAAAGTCTGCCGCTTGCAAACTTTGGTCCCGCGGCTACCCGAGTAGTTTGTAGGGTCGGTCACACGAAAACTTTGAAACTAAGATATCTCGCTCACTGCTGGAAATCGTTGAACTGTGAGTACTACTTGCTCATTTATTAGGTTGGTGCAAAAATAATGTTCGTTTTGAAAGTTTCAATTTGAAAAGTTATAACTTTGTTCGGTCCCCCTATTTTTGAACATAATCAAGAATATCAGAAGCAGCAAGCCTCGCATAACTTAGCGCGCACCTGTAGTATACGTAGTATCTTGTCCTTTAGTCCTGTAGTATACAGGAAACATCTCAACAAAAGAGTTCTGCGAAAAGAAAACATAAAGTTTCAACATTGTCCATTTTTTTGAGCCTGTTTATGGTAGGCTTGAAAGTCCCAAATCACGAAAATTTGGATTTCTTCATGCACTGTATGGCTGAGTTTCTCTGCCAAAATTGTGGGCAAGATATACTAATCTCAAGCTTACGGAAATGAGCGAAACTTCTTCGATTGCCTTATCATGGGAAATTTTCTGACCAGCAGATTGCCAGCAGCATGTATTTATGTTGGAGGCGTCGATTTCTTAGTCAAGATATTCTCGAAAAACCTACTTGAACACATGCACTGGGTAAGCAACATTTATCCCCTACAGATGCTATGTTTTCAAAAGAATTCTTTCGTTTACGAATGAATTATGGGCAAGGAAGTTTAAGCAATGAAATTTCGATTAAGTGCAGTTGTGCGAGATGCTGGTGAAATTCTCACAAATGAGGTAGAAGCTTAATCTCATCACTGTTGGAAAGTACATGAAGAAAGCTTCCCAATTTTCTGCGAAATTTATATCAAAAAAGAAATTTTGAGGGAAAAAAGTTTTCGGAAAGTAGGCCTAGAAAAACGGACATTATTTTTGTACCAATCTATTATTTTTGTTGAAAGGAATAACGGCTGTTACTAGATTTTTGGGAGGCGAAAACTGTATGCGGGTTGCATCACTTTTGAAGCGAAGCCGAAGTGGAAGCATATTCGCTTGTTCTGCTGTATGGAAAATGGTTGTGACTAAATCGCAGTTTATCTGCAAGGAGAGCTTTGAAGATGACTGAGAACTTATGCGTCATTTCTGGCATGGAGGCCTTAAAGTGTTGATGACATTCGTTACTGTGGGTTCACTGTGGATTTTTCGGGAATGTACAGTCCCGGTAGGAATTTCGATTCGCAAAAGTAAGGATCCTTTTGCCAGAGGATTTGAAGGGTGACCAAGGCGCTCTTAACCCCAGGGCCTATGAGTATTGAAGATATTCGTTACCACATAAACAAACAGAGATTCGTGAAATCCCTCGACTTGTAATAGGAGAACTAAGGCGTGTCTTGACGGATTCCGTCACTTCTGGAGATGCAAAGGTTTTCAAAGATTGGTAAGAGATGCCAGTGCTTCTGGTGGGAGATTGAGGTACTTGAGATCCCGCGTCTCCTCTGGAGGGAATTCTCGAAGCGTTGATGACATTGGGTGTACCGCAACATCTTTAGGATGTGGAAGAAAAGGAGACACGTTTGAAAGGGAAAATCAAGGAGTGTCTAGGTTTTTCGGCGTCACTAGAGCGAAGCTCCAGAATTTGAGAATCTTTGCACTACATGGAATTGCAGGGTGTAAACCGCTTTACTTCCAGCGAGAAATCTTGAAGTAAAGGTGAAACTCTTTGCACATGTGGAGTTTCACAGCAGAAGGTTTGATACACATCTGGTAGGGGGCCTTCAAGTGTAAAAAGCGTTTTGACACACTGTATGAACTTTGGAAGTAATTCTTGCTTTCTTGGTAAGAGAACTGGAGGGTATCTGAGGGGCTTTGTTTTCTTGCCTCAGATAGCATTGGAATAAAGGAATTGACTTACTATAGTGACTGTGAGACAAATGGCGGCTGAGAAGAAACTGAGGGGGGGTCTGAAGCGTTCAGCGTCACATCTAAAGAGAAGCTTTAAGAAATCCTCTTTGCATGGAATCCAAGGGAGGAGGGTGAGAGGGAGGGTCCGCATCATTTGACCTAGAAGATTCACTGTGCAGAGTTTTTAATTTTGAATAAAATCCGTATAGTTTTATTAAAAAAGGGGTGTCTAAGGGTTCCGCTTCATTCTGTAGCGGTTTTTTTTGCAAGGACTTTTGAGGATGTAAAATTATACTCGTACTTCTGGTAGGATACTGAGTCTGGAGGGAAACCTGGGAATGACAAAGGCATCGGATTCACTGCAAAGAATTTCAGGATGTGGCGGAAATGGCGGTGCATCTGAAAGGGGAAGCGAGGTGTTTGGAGGCTTCCGCCTCACTTCTAGAGAGATGCCTCAAAGAAGGAAATCTTATGCATTTCCTGGAATTTGGGAAAAGGGAATGGGGGGGGGGTGCGTCACTTTGGCAGAAAGCATTGCGATGAAAAGGAAAATTCTTTGCACTGTATGGTATTCTAAGGAAGAGAGTTTCGCGCTAGAAGGTCTCTGAGTTTGAACCTTTGAATTCCTGACAATCACTGGAACTTTAGGAAAACACTGTCCTGCTCCCCGATCAAATGTGCAAACCTTTTTCTTGTTGAAAAAGACCTGACAATTTCTACGACAATGCACGTTCAACGAAATATCTATTGCAGCTTTTCATGAGTTTTTCAAATAGTTTGAAGTAATTCTATTTAACCTTCCAAAGCTGCAAATTGTACACTTTGATCTCGCTGGACATTTGGCTATGAATTTCCGAAAAGCCTCGTCTCTGAGGAGTACCACATTAAATAATCTCAATTTCACACCCAGCAGTGAGCAGATTTTGGCTAAATGACTGCTCAATGATGACTGAGGCGGGATACTGTTATAGAGAATATTTTAGCGGCAGTCTTCAGAATGTGAAATTAACTTGAAGTTTTTCATGCCACGCAGGTTTGTCAAGGAAGAAATGCCAGATTTTACGAACAAAGAACACACGAAATACTTAAAATTAGTTCCTGAATGTTTGCATTTTGACGATAAGTCTGTAGCTACAGAAAAAGCGATGTGCAAGCTTTAGTCGAATACCATGCATAGCCCTTTTCCGGCTGAGAGGCACACCATTAAAAGATGAGCTGCGTATCGGCTCGGATCAGATGTGCTACATAATATAATAGATGATTGGTGGTGATTTCAGATATAAAAAAATGGATCCAGCTCTTGCTAAGATGCTTTTGCAGTAAGAACAACAAAGGTTGAATTATAGCTATCCATTCATTGCTTAATGCCTGTTTCTTTAAAAGTACGGTATTGTGGCAACAGTCTCGAACTCCTGTTTTATCATATTAGGTGAAAAAAAAATCGTCAAATTGATAGATCTGCTTGTTGTAACTCATAGTCGCAAGAATGCTGCAGCTTCGAATGTATCTGCCCCCAACCCACTTGCTAGCGACCCGTAGGGTCGCTAGTTCACATATAAAGTAACGATGGAAAGCTCGAGTTGTGTTTGACTACACCGATCGTCTTACAGATTCATACGGTCCATCCCACTTACCTCATGAGCTCCAAACCAAACCTCTCTCATCTCTATATATATATATAAAACTCAAAGTGTGTTTGTTTGTTAATAAGTATGTTTTTTATACAAATCTTTCTGAGTGGACTAAATGAGCTGAAACTTCGCACACTTATGTTTTGGACCCCGGCGCAGAACATGGGCTACTTTTCGCGGCGATCTACTAGATCCTTCTATTGATTTGTTGATTTGTTTACTTGCATCTGGGAAAATGAAGCTTGACATGCTCAAACCACTCATTTTGCCGTGACCATGTAGTCAGGGGATGGTAAAGCTCATTTTAATCTCAATGTCGGAAAGATGCGGGCAATTCGTTCCAAAGCCCTTTTTGCGCAGAAGAAGCTCAAAAGCGTAAGTATAAGTAAGTTCTCCTTAGCTAAACTGGAGTCCCGAGTGAAACCGGGACCGCCGGCTAGTATTATAGTAAGGATATACCTGAGCGATAACATTTTCACCGCTTCCGTTCTTTGGTTTCTCATTTGAGAGTTTTTCCTATAATAAATATCATCAGCATCCTATGAGCTTCAGACGCAAATGGTTGCTTTTTTGCTTATTTTTTATGTTCAAGTATATCATCACAGAGGCTTTAAATAAATACTTTTTTCATATACAACAAAAAGTAAGTTTTTGCGAAATATATTCTAATCTCATTAGTATTCTGGTAAAGCAGTAATTTGCTATTCTTTGGAATAAAGACAGTGCTTAGCGGACTTCTACTATCTTTTTGAACTCAGTTTGAACACTTACCTGTGATTCCATTAACACTTCCGCAGATGATGCTTTGGGCGGCAGCTGTTGTTTGATCATATCATCATTCTAAATGAAGAGTATTCAAGATGACCAATTTTCGAGTAGTGCTATCACCTTGACCATTGATTCTGCAGAATTCGCTTTCTGTAGTAGATTTTGTTTAGCCTAAATTGTAAGTACTTGTGAACTAAATCTAGGCATTTTCCGTGCATATAGCGGGCGTGGCCCTGCAGACATTTGAACACTTTGAAAAACTTGTTGAACTTCCACTTTAAAGCATTGGTTTTTATAATCTCTAGCTACCAAAAACTGTCACGCGCATACGTTGGCAAACGTCGGCAAAGCTCCGCCCGCTATCTATGGGGAATAGACGATATCTCAAAAATGCAACTATGCACTTACCTGCATATTTCTCGCGCTCAACATCCTCCTTGCTTTTACAAATTTCTGAAAATGGGATTTTTGCCGACGTGAAAACACATCTAAGCGCATACCGGATTTCTCTGTCGGTCAAAGAATGTCGCTTTCTTTTGTTTTTTCTTTTTCTGAAAATTCAACAGACAAACTTACGTTATTGTGATCTCTTTTTCCAATAAAAAATCTTGGGAGGGAAATTATTATGTCTTACTTAAACACTCGAACAGCTACCGCCCTCTCAGTTTATTGCCTACACCAGTAGAAGTAATGGAAAAGATCATAAGGGCCAGACTGCTAATATGGCTCAATAGGTTTCATGTTATTCTTATAGAACAGTATGGTTTTATTCCCGGGGCGTCTACCGTGCTAATTTAGCGGATATTTTATTGGATTGGGGGTTGGCATTGAATAAGGGAAAGTGTTGATGTTATTTATGTTACCTATCAAAGGCGTTTGATAAAGTTATCCACGGAAAACTTCAAGAAAACTAAAGTATTTAAATATAGATGGCAAATTATTGGAATGGATTGCCTCGTACCTAGCTGACAGACATCTGACGGTGAGAGTTGGTCAATGCCACTCGCAAAGGCATAATGCACCACCAGTGGAGTACCTCGAAGGTTGTCCCCTCTCCCCACTTTTGTTCCTGCTTTATCCAGTTGATATGCCAAGTGCTATAAACACGTCTACATACGTTGAAGTTAAATTGTACGCCGATATGCAGACCTATGGGATATATGGGGATGAGAACTCTCTTGAACTAAGATCGGCTCTGCAAGCATCTTATGTAGACTTGCTGTGTGGGCCTCTGCTTGGTGCTTACCGATCAAAACCTTGAAAAATTCTCTTCTAGGCGGTGGCCAAAAGCAGACGTACAAGTTGAATGGTGCGGACTTGAGACAGTGTAGTTTCATCTATGATTTGGGTGTTCGTTCCAATGAGTTCTGGATCTTACTGAGCATATAAATGAGACTGTTACCAAGGCATTTGACTCGGTTTTCCGGATACTTCAAAATGTCTACACGGATAATCCAACGATTATGTTGCGACATTAAAAATCTTTTGTTTTACCTAGACTTGAATACTGCTCACAACTCTGGAGTCTGAGTAAAGCTAAACATATTAAAAAATTTGAAAGAGTTCAAAGAGTTTTCATAGAATTGTGATGAGAGATGTACCCCTGATTGTACCGCTCTGAGTTTTCATGACCGCTTCAAAAAGCTGGGATTTGAATCTCTTGTTAGCAGAAGAGCTAAGTCTGACCTATTGTTTTGCTTCAGGGTTCTGAAAAGTGAAGTCAAGTTGAAACCCAGCGATTACTGGGTCTTTATGCCTGCTTACGATAGACACGGTGATTTCAACTTGCATTACCCAAAAGTTGAGAGGAAACATGCCAACCAATTCAATCAAATTTTTTGTCGGGAAGCTAGTTGGTTACGGTGTATATACCTCGCGAAGTTTTGAGTCCTAACTGTGAAGCATTCAGAAGGAAACTGAGGAAAGTTGACATTTGCCAGTTACCGAACAGTCCCCCTTGTTTCTGTTTCCATTTCTGTTTCTGCTTGCTTCTGGTCTATTCTTGCTGACCCCCGCTTGTCGACTCATTGTTTCCGACTTTGCCTTCCCCACTTCGCTTTACGACAGCCGCTTTCGTGAAGCCCTTTGCTGCTACGTTGGTTCGCGACTTAATGTGTTTTTCGATTTATCGTGTTTCGTGTTTCTCGGTCTATCGTTTTACTAAGCGCACTTTGTCTGCTTGTCACCCACTTTCGGATGAGCAACAGCACTGCTCCTTGGGACTATAGACAACTGCGTTTCATGCATGGCTTTCCCAGAATAAGGCAGGTTGGATACCTTGCAGGAGCCAATCGCTGACGTTTTGGACAGCCCGGAAATGTGGCAATGGCATTCCCCAATGCCAATGCCAATCACTTGACCTCTTTCGACAAAATAGAAAATTTTTTTCCTCGACACCTGAGGCCCTTATTCGCTGTTTATTCCGCTGAGGCTCAGGCCAGAGTGCCGAAGTTATGCCAGCGCTACGCCAGCATTTCGATCGATACACGTGTATTTCGTTGGGGACGTCAGCTAGCCCCGCCCCAACGAAATACACGTGTATCGATCGAAATGCTGGCGTAGCGCTGCTGGCATAACTTCGGCACTCTGGCGGGAGCCTGAAGTTGACAGGCTAGTCTATCTTACGTTAGCAATGTTTTCTTGACTCAAAGCTTGGCTCACGTTTACGTGTATGAGATAGATAAATAAGATAAATAAATAAATACTTATTGTTAGATGACCCGTCTTTATATGACGTGCGCCCCAGCACAGGAATGGAGACTCCCTCGGAGACGCTTGGCCTCGCCTCCACTAGATGTTCGTAGTGCCATCTGTCGTCTGTTCTTCTCATGATTTGATCGCCGTACTAGATGTTGCTTGTGTCGAGTCATCTTCAGAAGAATACGCTTAAGCGCTCTGTGGGTGGTCCGTAGACCTTTTAATGTAGCTACTGTGTCAGCCCAAGTCTCAGCTGCGTAAAGAGCGTTGGGAGAGCGGTCGAGTTGAACAGGTGGGCACAAAGCTCTCGGTCCGTTGGTCGGTTGGTGGATTTCCTTCAGAGGCCGCCCAGGTTGCTCTTCTTATGTTGTATTCCTCCCTCAACATTCTTCATGTTCATTGAACGTCCAAGGATACAGGTAAGAAGACGTCTCCGAATTAAAGGTGCCTTCTAGTTCCATTTCCGCATCTTCGCAAAGGCGTTCTTCATGAACTGAGTCATCTTCGGATTATTCGCGACCCGATCTTCCCTTTTCTTTAGTTCTTTCAGCATCGTTTCTGCTTCAATGATAAAGCTCGGCAAGAGAAGATGTTGCCCGCCCACCAAACGAAGGTTCGACAGGAATCTCCTATCAACTTGTATGCCTGTCTTGTCCCAGTTCAGTGACTTCATCATTCAGTGCAACGTCGCGGTGAACAACTTCGGCAAGATTGTGTTGCCCTGCCGGACTCCCTTTGCAATCGAAGTGGTCAGGGGGCGATGGAATAACTGCGTCGTCGTTCTACAGTCCTTATGGCAGTCCGTTAACGTCCTGATGTAAAGCTGGGTCACTCCTTGATCGACTAGCGCTGACAGGATGGCGTTGCTTTCGACGCTATAAAAGGCTTTCTCGTAACAAAGGTCAGGAGGATAGGCAGCCGGTATTCCCGGCAGATTTCTAAAGTGCGGTTCATAATTATATGAACACCTTAAATTTTGAAAGTTTTTGGACTTTTTGGAAGAAACTCAAACAGCCGTTGTTACCACGCGATAGAGCACAGCCGAAAACCGTATATGATCTAAAAGAATGGAAATCGATGTCAATCTTGGAAGTGTTTTTGCACCTAATGCGATTTTTTAGCGGTTCATAATTATATGAACACTTCAAACAACGGTCCATTTTTTATTCAAGATTGCGATCTATCGAATCCAAATTTTTTGTAGAGTTACATTAACAAAGTCTGACATATCTGCTACACACTAAACTCAGTGCAGTTCAAAAAGAGGAACTTTACTTTTTCCAGATGGCTCCAAATGCTTTTGGAGTGATTGCGCTCCAGAACCATCCGTTCTTCTGTAGTTCACGCACTCTAATTAACTTCTACCAAGGCTATGAGGTAAAATAAGCTCCTTCGGTAGGTATTTTGTTTAGCGCTTGGAAAATCTTTGCGTTTCCGTGCCGTTTTTCAACCAAGTTCCAACCTTACCCTGAAGTCAGCATAATTTCGACTCTCAAAACTCAGCTTTTCTCCCGCGCAAACATTTGATATGAAGCAGCTGCATTGTTTGCATGATGTTGTATCCGTGCTGAAGTTTTTGGGTTTTTTGCACGGCTAGTCTTGAAGCTATGGAGCTACAAACCAAAAAATGCGTGATTGCAATAGTAAAAACAAGGGTTTTGATGAAATGACGTCTGCGTGGCCGAAACAAACGCTCAATGCTGTTGATTTTTTCCAATCAAATACACAGTCTTGTAAACTTCTACATACTATAAGCTTACTTCATTGTAGGGCTTCAGAAGGTGTTTTTGGAGGTTTTAAATCGCACCAACTCCAGGGTAAGGTTGGAACTTGGTTGAAAAACGGCAAAAAAATATTAAGATTTTCCAGGCGCCAAACAAAATGTAAATCGAAAAAGCTTATTTTATCTCAAAGCTTTGGTAGAAGCTAATTAGAGTGCGTGAACTACAGAAGAACGGATGTTTTTGAAGCGCAGTGACTCCAAAAGCATTTGGAGCCATCTGGAAAAAGTAAAGTTCCTCTTTTTGAACTGCACTGGGTTTAGTGTGTAGCAGATATGTCAGACTTTGTTACTGTAACTCTACAAAAAATTTGGATTCGATAGATCGCAATCTTGAATAAAAAATGGACCTTTGTTTGAAGTGTTCATATAATTATGAACCGCTAAAAAATCGCATTAAGTGCAAAAACACTTCCAAGATTGACATCGATTTCCATTCTTATAGATCATATACGGTTTTCGGCTGTGCTCTATCGCGTGGTAACAACGGCTGTTTGAGTTTCTTCCAAAAAGTCCAAAAACTTTCAAAATGTTCATATAATTATGAACCGCACTTTACTATGACTCTCGAAACTCGCTAATGTGGTTCATGCAGGTAAATCCTCTGTGAAATCCAGCTTGTTCTTGAGGCTGGGCTTCATCCAGTGTCCTAGATGAACGAAGATAATCTTCGTGAAAAGCTTGTACAGCACACTCAGCAGACATATTGAACGGTAGTTCCGAAGGTCCTCCCGTTCACCCTTTTTGAAGAGAAGGACGGTTTTTGATGTGTTCCGATGGTCGGGAGTCTTTTCCTTTTGAGAGTAAGACTTAAGGCATATCTCGCACGATTCCGGTCGCTGCGCACTTCGTCACAACAGCGACTTTTTGTAATTCGTCGTCAGTGCGCTGCCTTTGGTCAGAAATTGCTGTGTTTGCAGTAACTTACACAAGCTACCCAAATATGCGTCCAAGAAGCGCGCACGATGAATTTGTAGAAATCTGACAAGTTGCCAAGTCGCGTGAAAGTGGCGATTCGACCGAATCGCGTGAGGTATGCCCTAGGCCTAAGATATTAAATGCGACGTGATATCTGGCTATAAAATCGACGGGGTGGTCTGGTTGGAGCCGTAGACGTGTTTATGGTCTGAACCGCGGTGCACACTTTGGCAGGTAGAATTCGTGGTGGCGTCCAGTGGGAACAAGGGGCATCGGCACGGGTGTTGATGAGCGGCATATGTTAGTGTAGAACTTCTTCGCGATAGATTCCATCTTATATCGGGAAGGAGTCGAAGTGCAATCAGCGTTGGCTACCAATCGCTCGAAATGGGTTGCATTCGGATCTTGCCTCAGAAATCTTCTTTCGAGCATTTCCTTGGTCGTCTTCGAAATGCATTAGTTGTCTCGAAAGTCACTGAGGCGCTCTCTCCGCAGGCTCACAGTCCTTTCTGAAGCCGGTCGTAGCCCGTTGGGTCCTTCTCGATGGGCCAGTCACAACTTAGAAATAAGCTTTTCCAGTCTGTTGACATCAAACGACTTCTTTCCTTCCTGTTATACTGCGGCAGACCTTCTTTTCCAGCATTCTGAATCGTATCTTGCTCGAAGGAGGCGGTGGTCGCAGCCGCTGGAGAAGGAAAGAAGTCGTGAGACACAGACAGGAACTACTGAGACATCGATCAAGCTTCACCTTCGGTTGGTAAGAATGTGGTCGATCTCCGCGTGAGTCGTACCTTGGCGGTTGTCATCCGTCGGCGATGTCCTTTCTGAAGATGGAATTTCCATGCAAAAGTCTGCGGCGGAGAGAAGCCCAAAGAGACAGTTGCAGTTTTCGTTCCAGGGCGCATAGACTTCCTGAACCTATATCCTAATTTAGTGGCATGGCGATTTTCGCGATGAATTCGCCCAAAACAAACTTGTAGAGGGACTTATCGTTCCGTGTCCTCCTCCACGTCGTCGTAGAAAGCATCTAGCTTTGAATTGTCAGCTGCTGATGTTGGTGAGTAGCAGTTGATGATGCTGATGGTCTTCTAATGTGGAGGTTCGCATTCGTAAGATGGCTGAGACATGAGGTGACAGGATTTCATGCAAATCATGGACGGTAGATGGGTGAACGACAAAACCAACGCCTCCAACTTTCGTGATGGACCATCAGCACGAATGATGAGGATCCCATCACTCATCTGTCGCACGTCCTTCTTTCTGGACTTCTTTCCTGCAGAGCGATGACGTGGTACTTGATGTGCTCTGCAGCGTCGAGAAGAGCGTGGAGGTCGGTGTTTGTGGAGACTGTCCTGACGTTGTAGGTGCAGAGCATGAGGCAGTCTCCATGGCGTGCCGTCCGGGCAGACGTTTGGTTTTGTGCAGTCATCATGTCAGTTGACTGTTTTTTCCAACTATAGAGGTAAGAGGACGAAGAGGTACATGAAATACGGTCCCAGTTATCGGCTTGTTTTTTACATGAAACAATGCGCCGCTAAATTTTTGTGGGAATAGGAGGAAATTAAGTACTTTTCGTTTTGCTTTCGTTTCATATTACTCTTGACTTTGGTGAAAATGCTAAGGTCATCCTTGAATAAAGGAAAGTGAATCACTGCAGTTTTAGCTGATGATTTTCGAACTCGTCTACTTGATGCTTTTTTTAGCCGTAGCATCACGAAAAAAATCTAGCTAAACGGGGGGAGACATCTCATTGCTCATTTTGATGGGATATTGTTGACTATTCATATTATAAAATTTTCTTCTCATCTTCAAGCTTTCTCTGGGAGATGGTTCGTTCTTTGTACTTCTGGCGTTCCAAGCATGGCGAAGCAAATAAAATAAAATATTAATGGCTAAAGTTCCATTCTCTCCTCTCTTTCTTCAAAAATGTTTCCAAGATTGTTGTGGTCACGATGAATGATAACTCTAGGAGTTTACATTCAAGAAAGTAGAACCACAACAACTGGCACCTTATGGAGCTCATTTTTTACAGTTCTAAAGAATAGCCTCTATACCAACTGTAGAAGTACGTTCAATTTTCTAGGACCACCAAAATATTTTTATTATCTATGACTTCATACCTGTGACTTTTCAGCTTTTTCTGCGGAAAGACGCTTCAAGGTTTGATTAGCGAGTATTTTCGCCTGTAATGAGTCAATGTTTGTCTTTCTATGTCATATTTATGTAGTAAAACTTTACGCATTACCTTTTGTCGTAATGATGCTTTTGCACTCGATATCCTTCTTGGACCAAACAATCGTCTACTTCTGCTCTTAAAGCTTTGCTTTAGAAAATCTGAGGTTTGTTTATAGCAAATTCAGTACCTTCGGTGTTGCCGATGCGGATGCGGCGCCTTTTGTCGCTGCCTGCTGCTTTCCACCACGAAATTTCTGTCTTTTCTGAAATAGAGCATTTTCCCATGAAATTTGCAGGGAAATGCAAACCTACCCATAAAGCTAGACCAGCTCGTGCTTGGGCATTTTGAGTTTCTGCCGATCCTACTCGTTTTTGACCACGTTTGGAAGAATCTAGTTCCTTGGGCTTTTTTTCCTCTTCAATCTTCTCTTTACTGGGTAGGTCAGGTACAATGTTCGGCTCTTGCACTATTGAGAGAACGACTCTGTCGTCCCCAGCTTCTGTAGCGATCGCTGTATGCATGTCATCTTCTTTTATTTCATCTACTTTTTCCTTTTCCTCATCCTGTTTTTTATACTTCTTCTGTATTCCTTCAGGATTTGTCCAGTAATCTATGACTTCATCTTCGGAACCACTGTCACTTGTTCCCGGCTTTGCTTTCGCCGAGTTGTCTTCTTGCGATTTGATTTTTTGCCGTCGTTTTCTGGACGAGCTTATGGAATCTTTATTTCGCTCTGAGCTTCCCTGCCGTGAGACTTTATGTGAAGAACCCGCTTTATATCGTTTTCGCGTCCTAGTCATTTCTCTGGATTTGTTCTGAATAGTTTGTTTTTAATACATATCTGGGAGCATAATTTTCTTTACTAAGATTCACCTTCTTCTTCGTTTTATGACTAGCATCTCCGACTAGTTTTGGCTTTTCTTCCGATTTTGAGGAGCTAACACTGATTATTCCGCTTGATTTTTTCTCTGAAGAGCTCCCTGAAGAGCTCGATTTTTCTGTTCTGCCTGCCGTTTGTCTCGAACTCTCTTCTTCGCTCAGGCTTGATGGGGATCTTCTTCTGACTGATTTTCTCTCTGATTTTATGCTGTTTTTGGCCGATTTTTTCGAGATATCTGCCTTTCGTCGACAACATATGGCTGTTAACCCTTTTAGTGGATTAAATGGCATAGGTTTCTTGAATACCTAAACAATAAGATACAAATTCTGGATTTACATTGTTAAATGAGATTTCGTGGAGCGCAAAGGGGAACAAAACTGAGGATCACTCCCGGAAACCATTAAGTTCGAAAAGCTGCACATTTATGGCTTGTAGCGGGCAGGCAATGGATAAGTGATGGGACTGTAGGAAACTAGAAATGGGTAAATATCTTGTGCACAACTCTTGCAAAGAATAGTCAATTTCGGCTGACGAAGGATGCTGTAGCTAGAAATTGGCCCTCACGATGTAATGAAATTCTCGTCATTGGCGGTATAACAGAGATCACTGTAGGAGAAGTACAGGGCTCCTAAATTGCAAAGTCGTTTGCACCAGCGGTCGCGCGACCGCGTCGCGCCCGGGCATCAATGGCGCCGCCTCGATCGATGCCGCCGGCGTCGGCAAAATGCACGGGCGCGACGCGGTCGCGCGACCGCTGGTGCAAACGACTCTGCAATTTAGGAGCCCTGTACAGGGCCCGGCACGAGGTGGGCAAACGGGGTTTTCCAAAACGAATTCCCCTTTGATCCCAATAAATTTTACGAATACCCCCTTGAGCCCAAAAATGACGTTTTGTGCTTGTGCGACGAGATTACCGGCCACACTTCGCCTAAAAGCGCTCAAAAGCGCCCAAATTGCTCAAATTCCTCAAGTTACTCCTCAGCTGGATCAAGATAGAAAACAGGAAGAAAAATAAGCAAGAAAATGATTAAGGAATGAGAAAATATCAAAGAAACGCATTCATAGGAATGAGAGACGCCGCTCCCGCGCGTATCGATTGACTGGAGCGCGCTTTCCATCTTAAAAAGCTAGGCTGCTGATGCGATTTTGGGCTCTAACAAGGTCAAGAGGAGGAGTTTCGGAACCAAAATTTCACCATGTAGTAAACTTTAGGTGTACAACAGATTTATGTAAAAATTTTGAAAAAATTATGTGAACTGAGAGTTTTGCCGACCTCAGGTGGGAATTAGGTCGGCAAATGCCGACCTAATTTGGAAATTAGTTAAGGAAACTTTTCATTCACATAAGTTTTTCATAATATTTCATACTTAGTTACCTAGTCCTACTGCGCATACACACACCGAATCCCGCGCGATTTCGTTACCTCTGCTTTGCAAACGAGCCATTTTTCCATTTCTTTGGTAGCGCAAAATTTTTATAAAAAAGTTTGCCACAACCTTCAGTCACATAATTTTTCAATGAAACTCCTCAGTTAAGCCCTGCAAGTCCGTGTGCATGTACTTACCAAGTTTCATGCCATATCGTTCATCTGCGCGTTCCAAACGAGCCGTTTGAATTCACATCTTCATTTAGCATTTTGCGAAATTCTCGGAAAAAATGCTAATTACTCGTTCCGTTCACATAAGTTTTTCATAAATTTTCATACTATGTTTCCACTAGCCTCTCTCCGTTCGCACACAAAATTTGGTGCCATATCGTTACACATACATTGAGAACTAGTTATGCATGCTGTTACAAATAGCGCAATTAGCGACGGCGCGGTTTGACGCGCGCGAACTCCAGTGTTCGCCTGTTGAGGCACATAACATGTCAAGATAAGTAGCGAGCATGAACTACCAATTTTTTTCCGGGGCTCCGCCCCGGACCCCGCAAAAACGATTTCCCCTTTGCTTTTTGGCCCCAAAACGATTTCCAGCTTGTCATTTGCCGACCTCGTGCCGGGCCCTGGCCCTGTAGAATGGATAAGTTGGATCAATCCTCCACGGTCTCCAGCGCGAGATTGCAAAAGGTCGTGCGCAGGGGACAATGTTATTGTGTATGACTTTTGTTAAGACTACTCACGCAAAATGACCACATTCTTAGATATTGTGCATTGTGCCACAGTACGCGGATCTAGAAGATCGAGGGATTGCTCGAAGAAAAAGAGCTCTGAGGCAAAATCAACGCATCTCGAGCCACTGGTAACGAGACAGTTGCAGACGTCTTCGCAGGAGGATCTTCGGAAGTAGGCAAGCGAGGATACTGAAAGCAGCGGAAGGAAGACGTAGTCTTGGGAAGCGTAGGGACCTTTGCGAAAACTGCGTACCGCTGGCAGCATTCGAAAAGAAGACGGGCCTCTACTTTTTTCAGACAAAAGATGGAATCTATCACCAAAACTTTACACTAATCTCTTTCGCTCATCAGCGCCCATGCTAATGCCTGTTGTTCCCACTGAAGAAGTACCATCACGAGTTTTATCTGCTGAAGTGCGCTGCAATGCAGACCATGAAGACGTTCACAGCTCCAGGATCAGATCATCTTTCCGTCGAGCTTCTGCGAGCCGGAATACAACGTCTACACGAGTTCTCGGGTCGCATCTAACATTATATTTTCGGAAAGAATTTCTGACCAAAGCGGAATTTCAAGAACCTTTTTTCTTTTCAAGAAAGGCGAACGAGAGGATCTTTGACCGTCCAATACCCGCTGAGTGTATTGTACAAGCTTTTCACTAACAAGGGAAAGATACTTGGTCGAAGTGGCGTTTTCATATGAAATGTATACCGTCTTAAAGAGCATAAAACTCTAATCCCACATCTGCTTTCGCTATCTGCAAAGCGCTTTTGGGAGGAGAGTCATGGAAGTTTTTTGAAGCAAAGATTTGATCTTGCGACTACAATGAAATTATTCGGAACTCTAGCCTGTGAGCTCAAATGGGGCTGTGATTACTGCCAGGGCGCTCTATGTAATTAATAGCTTCACTCCAATACATTATGCCAGTCGTTACTTCTTCCAAGCACTGGAAAGACCTCAACGCCTGTTTTTACCTTAGCCCAACGCTTGAATTTTTGTCTAAAAACATTCCCATAACCCTTGTCCTGAAACCCTTTGCAGATTCGGAATTAGCGTTCTATGCTCTTTAAGACAGTGTACATTCCATATGGAGACTCCATTTCGACCAGTTATCCTTCCCTTGTAAGATTATCTTCGCTCGCATATCTAGTACACTGAATGAGACTTAGCCCAAAAACAAGCCGGGTTTCGTAAAGGATTTAGGTGCATGAACCATATTCAGACGGTTTTAAGGGTCATAGAAGTCTGCCGGAATTAGCGACTGCCTCTCGCCCTAACCTTCTTACAGCGTCGAAACCAGCGCTAGTCGATCAAGGAGTCTACCTAACTTACGTGAGGACATTATCACAAGGCTTCTTTAAGGTGCTTGAGCTGTGCACCGAAATTAGTGATTTCTTCATTGACTGACGTTTCGGCTATATCGCCTTCTGTCATCAGCTGTTTAGGTGAGCACTACTTTACTCGTGCATTTACCTTTGTAGTTCTTGGTTTTCTGACGCATTGAACGTCTTTTCTGTGTCTTGATGCGGTTTTTGACAGGATAGGTTACCTATGCATTCCACAATTTCAGATTTCTGAAGAAGGCGATATAGCCGAAACGTCAGTCAATAAAGATGTTACTTATCCCGGTGTGCAGCTCAAGCAGTCTCAAAAAGCAATCGAACAATGCCGAGATTGAGCGATGGTCGAAGTTGAATAATATCACCACAAAGACTGTACAACTGTCCAAGTGCCACAGTGGCATTTTTCGTATCTTATTTGAATCGCCTCTTTTGCTAGCGAAATGAGAATGTTGAAGGAAGAGTATTTTTCACACTTTTATAGCAGTTTCCCCCACAATGGTCGGCCGCCTCAATATGGCGTGGGGTGACACTGGGGCCTGTAGTAATCCCCCCGTCATGAGGGTCGCGACGTTCGAAACATCGCACGTACCCAGCACGTGTCGTTTCGGCCGCGTTTCGTCGCGCGCCTATCTCTTATCACACGCGCGGCGAAATAGCACGACGTCGTGACTGTAGGACGTGCTCGTCCCCGCGCGCAGAGGACGAGCACGTCGTGAACGTCGTCACTTAAGGGGCAGAGAAATAGAAATAGTGGGCCCAGCGTGGAGACGCAAGAAGGCGCAAGTGACTAGGGGTCGAGTACGCCGAGCTCGCGACCGGGTAGGGGACTATATGTCGCCGAAAAAGGGCGGTCCCCGCGGTCATTTGCGACAAATACGCATCCTTGTACATGCGCGGACATGCGTTCCTGCAGGGAATCCGCGCGGGACTCCTCCAAATTCGGCGACATAGTCCTCCACCCCTCGCGACCTTGTGCAAGGACCGTAGGCACACAGCAATAGGTTCAACGCACGCCGAATGCAATCGATATCAACAGCTGATAAGCACCCAAATGTAACGCGCCCAACGTCTTATTCCGTTTCCTAAGCGTTTCTACTGCTATATTTCTTGTAATTGAAAAAAGGTGAGTTTATTTTGATTATGATTTACTCCTGAATTCTACTTTCTGGTGTATTATCATGTTTGAACTATTTTCTTGTGATTCTCACATCGCAACTCATTTGTGCACCAAATTTTTCCTTCTGCATGTCTTGGTCTCTTACTTCTTTTATTTGAGCACCTTTTACAATGTTTATACGCTGAAATGCTGTTCATTGGCTGTGCGTCCAGCGTTTCCCTCGTGATTTGGGGAAGGGAACCGTTTGGCGTTATGGCTAATGAAATTGCTCATATTTGCACCAACCAAAGTAGTAATAGTTTTACAATATTCCAAATTTCTCGTGTATTGTCAGTAATTTATGTTTTGCAATGATTCCCCATTACCAAAACGCTTACAAATTTTGTTTAATTACATAAAAACTAGTAGCCAGCAAGTTGCAAAACAATGGCCCACATGGCACTCGTACCCACCGCCATTAGCTCAGCGCCAACCAACACTGGCACTGCGCTACACGCACACTCTTGTAGCGCTGCCGCCAGTACCACGCTTTGATAGTGGCTCGGAGAAGGCTGTATATACTTTTACAACTTACATAAAGGTCAAACACACATAAGGGCTTGCTTATCGATTTGCTCTTAAGCAGTAAGCAAGTGTTCTGCCTGCCGCATCTTTGCTTCGCTGGTTTTAGCTTTAATTTTTTCTGGTTCGAGGAGAATGAATAGCGCAGTGGCAGTGCGCGCCGTCAACTACCACCGAGTAGTTCGATCGCGCGTGCGGTCGTATGTTTTGCGGCGACCAAAACATGGTCGTGAGCAGCACGTCCTTCAGTCAGATACGTCGTGTTCTCGGTTTCTTTACATCACGACATATTTCGGGGGTTTACTACGGGCCTGCGCGTCGAACTGCGATGCACAGCCGAGTGTATACTCTGGTAGGGCCTCTCAAGCTATGAAAGAGTTTGATGTTTCCGGTTTCGACCAAAGGCCTAGCTAAGAGCCGGCCAGGCCACATCCACCGCCTTTTGATTTCCTCTGGTCGACAGGCAGTCCTCCCCGCTCCACACCCGGGTCAGCGATCGCCCCGAAAAAATCAAGAGTTGGCCTAGTAAGTTTGCTCTTGTGAGTGAAACATTTTTATTACTTGATCAGCAAAAAGAAGAGAAATATACCCTGCACATCACATCTCGCCGGGTGGTAGCAAGAACGATGTCAAGGTACTCAGGGCGCCTTTCGGATCGGACAAAGGCGGCACGTTTGCCCGGATGACACCCACAGAGACTGCCTCATGCTCTGCACCTACAACGCCAGAACAGTCTCCAAAAACGCCGACCTACACGCTCTTCTCGATGCTGCAGAGCACATCAAGTACCACATCATCGCCCTGCAGGAATTGAAGTTCAGGAAGAGGGACGTGCAACAGATGAGTGATGGGACCCTCATCATTCGTGGTGAGAAAATTCCATCACGAAACGTTGGAGACATTGGCTTTGTCATCCACCCATCTATCGTCCATCTTGTCGATTCACATGAGATCCTTTCACCTCGTCTGGCCATCCTGAGACTACGACCTCCACGTCAAACTACCAGCAGCATCATCAACTGCTATTCATCAACATCAGCAGCTGACGATTCAGGACTGGATGTTTCAAACGAAGACGTGGAGTAGGTCGTCCGCAGCGAGAAGTCCTTCTACAATTCTTCTACAGTTCGTTGTGGGCGACTTCAACGCGAAGATCGAGATGCCACTAGAAGAGGAATATAAGATCGGGAAGTTTGGATGTGGGCTCCGGAACAAAAACGACAACCGTCTCGTTGGCCTTCTCCCCCCCGCACGACTTTTTCATGGAGATTTTATCTTCATGAAGAAAGAACATCGCCGGTGGACTTGGGAATCGTCCAACGGAACGGCTCACGCGGAGATCGACCACATTTTCACCAACCGAAGGTGGAGCTTGCTCGGTGTCGCGTCAACGTACGACTACAACCGGCTCTTCTGAAAAAAATTGCGAGCCTGCGAATAGGTGCACCTCTGTGACTCCGGAGAAGAAAGAACTTGGAACGCATTTTGAAGAACACCAAAAAATTACTCGAAAGAAAAAGGTCCATGGCGAAAGACCCAACTGCGACCCAACTCGAGCGACTGATAGCCAACGCCAGTTGTAGAACAGCTTCGCAGGAGGATTTCAGGGAGTACAGGTAAGCCAATATACTGGAAGCAGCCGAAAGAAGACGAAGTGCCGAAGGGACCTCTGTGACTATCACGCACCGCTGGCTGTACTGTTGAACAAAGACGGGACTCCTTCTCCCCTTTATAAGATGGAATCTATCGCAAAGAATTTCTACACTAACCTCTTCCGCTCATCAACACTTGTGCCGATGCCCCTTGTTCCCAGTGGAGAAGTACCACTACGAATTTCACCTGCTGAAGTGCGCACCGCGATTCGGACCATGAAGACGTCCACGGCTGCAGGACCAGACCATTTTTCTCGAATTTCTGCGAGTCGGAGGACAACGTCCACACGAGATTCTCGCGTCGCATCTGACATCTTACCTTCAAAAGGAGAGGATTCCCGACTGGAGAACGTCAAGAACAGTCCTTCTTTTCAAGAAGGGTGAACGGTAGGAATCTTGAGAACTACCGTCCAATATGCTTGCTGAGTGTGTTCAAACTTTTAACGAAGATTATTTTCACTCGCATACCTAGGACACTGAACGAAGCCAAACCTTAAGAACAAGCTGGATTTTGCAAAGGATTCAGCTGCATGGACCACATCCTAACGGTTTCGAGGCTCACAGAAGTCTGCCGGAAGTACCGGCTGCATTTCGTCTCAACCTTCGTCGACTACGAGAGAGCCTTTTACAGCGTCGAAACCCACGCCATCCTGTCTGCGCTAGTCGATCAAGGAGTGGACCCAGCTTATGTGAGGGCGTTAGCCGACCGCTACGCGGACTGTACAACGACGATGCCTATTATATCGCTCCCTGATCATTCCAATTGGAAAGGGGGTCCGACAAGGCGACACAACCTCGCTAAACTGTTCACCGCGGCCTTGCAGTGGGTGATGGAAGTCACTGGACTGGGACGAGAGAGGCATACGAGTTGATGGGAGATTCCTGTCTAATCTTCGTTTTGCGGACGACATCGTTAGCTGGATTACGATTAACCTGGAACTTATGGACGCAGCCACCGACGGCAGTCAAGAAGATCGCGGATGTCTGAAGCGAGGAACAGGTAGAAATGAAAACTTTTGTGCGGGGTCCTGCACGTCACGTCAAACATTCAAGTATTCAAGTAAGTGAGTTATAGCAGTTTGGAGAAGCTCCCATTTTCTGCGATAAAAAGAGCACGGCACCGGCAAAGATGTGATATTAGCAATCCAGTAATTTGGTCTGCTGCGCATCCTTCATTAAGGCAGCGCTAAGTCGAATGCCAGTAATGTGTCAGCGCCGTTCCAGCGCCGTGCCGAGACTCACGTGGACAGCCAGCACTAGATCGCGCTAGCACGCGAACTCTGAACGCAGCTCAAGGGTTTGAGGGCAGCAATGAGATAACTTGCAGAATGGCAGGGACTGACTTGTGCAGTCCGCGCTTTACAGTTATTTCCAGAAATTCAGTCACACATACCGACGGCTTAATCGACCAACATAAAATAAAATAAACCTTCAATGTGGCTCTTTCTATCATCGCTTATTGACTACTGATATGTAATGATATCTTGAATGGAAAGCAAGTCATGTAGACACCCTTTCCCCTTGAGTGGTGGTCGTTATTCAGTTTTCATTTTGTCTTCACTTCTACTTCTACTTTTGCACATTTATATTTCCACATTTTGTACACCAGAGCTGCACAAACAAATCAAATGTATAACATAGAAAACCCGTAACAATGACGACATAGCAAGAGCAAAATATGTGGCGGTATCACGAAATCTGAATTAAACAGATCAGAATAAATCTATAATGCATTAATGTTGAAGAAAGCACTATGAGAATCTAATATGACTACGGGTAAGGTAGTGAGTAAGGTCTCAGATTTGATCTCTTGGGCATAGCAACCGGATTGACTATAAAGCGATGAAGCCTGAGAAATAGGGAACATGAGTTGAGTTGCTTAAGTCTTAGGAATGAGTGTTTTCAGGTAGGGAAGGCTAAGTTTAAGGTTAACGAGACAGTGACATAAGATGAGCCTTTTGTCAAGAACATTTTGGAAAGAGCTAAAATTTGGGTAAAGGCTGATCCATGAGAAAGGCGGCGGTCTTGCGAGCTCGTACGCCCTACGCCCCGCTCAAATGGGCAACCGCCCTCGTCCGATATTAGCCTTCACGCACTGCCTTTTGGCTGACTAGACCCAAGACTCGTCATCTTTCCGTTGCGGATTTGGGGACGGAACATTGGCATCCGGTTCGGTTGGGGACTCCAATGGATGAGACGTGACCTCAGGCGTTGCGATCTCACTGCGTTCATCGTCTGCCTCTGAGGCGCTGCCCGTTGTGGTGTCTGCAACCTCATCAAAAGATGGAGGAGCCTCAGTCATCGGTGATTGAGTCATGCGTTCCTGCAAAGTAGCGAATATTTTTTCTTGAAATGGAAGGAGGGAGAGGTTATAGGAAACATTTTGTAAATTCAGAAAAAAAACTACAGTGAACGTGGAAGGGCTAATCCCCGAGGAACGCGGATGGTGCATCGTCGCAAACGCGCCGACAAAACACCTATTATCGCTGGAGCGCGTTTGATGCAGACGCTCGCTGCCAATAACCGCACGCTGTTTTCGCGTGCAATGGACACCTGCCTTCGCCCGGAACTAGCCTCCAAAACTATATATTATTACCTCAGATGTTGTACTGCTTATGTAGCCACGATTCATATAGGCCGGTGCTCGCGACACAGGAACCTTAATCATAGAAAGTTAATATAAAATCCGTTTCTCTTCAATAACCCAACTTACCGCTGGGTGTTTAAGGGCATCATCATATGATGGTGGAGCCTCAATGACCGATATTTGACTCTCGGGAACAACGTAAAACCGTCTTTCACCCACGGTTTGCATTGTGGGAACGGCACTCTCGGGATAATGGGTGGCTGAAATGCTGGGTTGAGTGGAAGGCTTACAATTTCTTATCGTTAGTTGTTCTACTTTAGCCAGACATTTGCTAACCTCGCAGATCAGCTCGACTAAGTTGTGTTGCCATTCTTCGTCGGTAGAATCGACCCATCACTGCAGTAGTGGAAATAATTAGCAAAATCAATCCACAAACTCCGATCACCAAAGCGATGAGGCCGGAGACGTCAGCGTCTCTGGAATGGAGGTTCACATATAAAATAAACACAGTATCTACAGAAAAAAGAAAACAAAAGGTACAGAGCTACAAATGAATTCTAAGTTTTGGAACTGTCAACTTGCGCATTTATCCCAATTCGCAAGATAATGTGGGTATAACTAGTGAAAATTTGTACGATAAAGTTACGAAATGACGGAAGATGTTTGTAAAAAATAGCGCACAAACTTCCATCTACTTCCCGAGTTATTTTTTTGGAATGAGAATGGTGGAACCTTGAGAGGAAACTATAACTACTACTAACTAATAGATTTAGTTTCATGGATTCTTGGCTAATTCGAACACTTGTACTTGCAGTAATTCTGCCCAACAGGGAGAATGCCAAGATCAACGATAGCTGCAAAGCATACTGTACTCCTGCGGTAGTCAACATACCGCGCATACCTCTTCCTTTTCCAAGAAGAACGAAAGAAAGAAGGAAAAAGAGAAGAATGGAGCATTTTGAACTTTTAGCTTTTTCTGAATTCTAGAATACCAGAATTCGTACACATATAGACTTTAAAAAATATTTGACTACGCAGCGCGCACGGGTAGCACAAGGTTTCTTACGTGTTGGCTGCCTGCCAGTTCAATACATTCTACTCTTGCTGTAAACTCGATTGACGAGCTTAGTCGTTTTCTTAACCACTGAATATCTGCGTATAGCACCAGAAAAAAATTTTCTGTTGACTTTTGCCTGTTTGTTATGCCGTTGCATGGATTTAAGACGCAGTTTTTCCTGTATATTCCATCTTCGTACACGCATATCGATGCGATCCGTTCACCCCGTTTCATGGATTCTGCACAATACAAAATATCGCTGTGATTTACTTTGCTTGTCCCTTTTCCTGAGTGTGCTCTGATTGTGGTGATAAATATCTCATAGGGTCTGGTGGTCTACAGGAAGTGATAATAAATCGTCACTACGGCTGCGGAACACTGCGTGAGTCACAGTTTGCGATGCATGCTTGAGGGGCTTGCACAAGAAAAATGTGTTTTATGGCTAAAAAATTGATATCTCAGTGGTTGCATTTGTTTAGTGTCAATCACTCCTGAATTTCTGCATACATTTTGAACGACTTTGGAAGGTCACTGCGACCCCTAGAGAAGAATCTCGAATATGAATTGGATTCATGTCCTGTGCAAGCTCCTCATTGTATGGTTTTTATCGTAATTCATCGTAATTCCAATCGTGCTTGCTTTTTTGTCACTTACGGTTGTTTGAAATCCGAAATTGGTCGTTGACATTGTTCATCGCTACCATCACCGCAATGATTCACTCCATCACATCGTAACGTAGACTAAAAAAATTATTTGTACTACATATTTTGCAACTGAGTCACATTGTTGTTCATTGTATTCTATGCATGTATATTGTCTCCTTTGGTTAACGTTATTTATCGCACGCATGAATTTCTTATGCCGCTCAAAAAACTATTGCTATTGGTCAAGTTTTAGTAGGGATCGGGTTCAACAAAAATCGAAAACAACTCAACAATGGCACAGCAGCGGTAATCTTTCTACATGAGTTAGTCCAAAAATAAAAAAATCGATCAACTGAGAGTAAAGACCCCATCTAGAAAAATCATAAAGCGATCAATTCAGAAAGTAAAACCCCAACATGAAAATCAATAAATTGATTATTCAGGTAAGCAACCCCGCCTTGTGGTTCACTAAGTAGATTACCTAAGAGGGTAAAAGCTCAACGTTAAAAAACAAAAAGTGATTATTCGGGAGAGTAAAAGCCTCACTTTGACACATCGGGCGTTATCACAGTGATATTCTCCAGCACCTGGACAAAGCGCCGTAGCCCAGCGGTAGAATTGAGTGTAAACGATTTCCAGGCCGCTGCTAAAATTGGGAATAGATTACTCAATTATACATTGATTTGGTAAACGTTACAGATGGAAGTATAAAAAATGGTTTAAGTAATCATTTACGTTGAAATTTGTCTATCTCCTATTTTTTTGATTTGCTAAGGTTGATCTTTTTTATAATTTTTTTTCATGATCATAATTTGATTTTTATTGCTAACAGTCCTTGATTGGTGTAACTCACCTTCCCAATAGGTATCCTCGTAGCCGAATGTAAAATGCTGGCATTGAAGATGTGGTAGTGTAGCCGTGCCTAGAATGTTCTCATACTTACCCAATCAGGTAAAGCCGCTAAACCCACCTCGGTTGCTTGTGCTCTAACTGATCACGTGTTTGTGAATCGAATAGAAGCAAAAGGCGATCCGAAGTTGATGCGGCTCCTTCTCTAATTTCTAACCGAAGTCCGACACCTTTCATATGGAATTCTTCGACCTGAAACGGCATTGGTCAAGTCATCCTAACTTCTAGGTTTAAGCGCCTACCTTCAAATAGATTCTGTCAAAAGTTCGAGCCATATGTGGAAAACGTCCTATAATCCATATACAGTCCACATATGTATTAATCAAATGCAAATTGCCGTCCATTTTGATCTCTCCACCATACCCTTCGAGGAATTCGTCGCAATCTGAAGTTGTGCATGCTTAGGGGCTTTTGAGTCATATTATTTTTCTCACCTCTAGAATTTGGCTTATCGGACCATTCCTTGTCAGCAACAAACTCATAACGCGCTCGAAAGCCAACCTTAATTAGAATTTGAACTATTGTAAATCGTTGTTTGCATAAACACCAGCAATTTTGTAATTGCTGCAAAATGCAGGTCTTGGCCGGGATCGAACCGGCGACCTTCTGCGTGTGAAGCAGACGTGATAACCACTACACCACAAGACCACACAGCAGTAGTGCTCCTACGCGCTCTATTCAAACAGGATCAAAATTCTGTACACTTCATGCTTGCATTATTATCTATGAGTATAGCTGTACTGCAAACTCGTAAATATTGTTAACACCAATTTCTCAACTAAAATTTGTTCAGTTTCGTATATGAGCTCCCGATTTTGCATTTATTCTCTATTTTGTCTGCTGCTTGAATCCCCTAATGAAAAAAACATCTCAAAATTTCCAGGTAGTTGAATTTTGCATAACAATTTATTCTAATAATACAAGTGCTTACGCCGCGTCCAAAATTTTGACTATGTGAAAGCAGTACAAGTTTTGTTCTCATTTTTTCGTGCTTTTTCCCTTGTAATGTTTTCTCATAATTTTCGATACATCACTTACCGTTTGTGTAAAATCATGAGCACTGAAGCGGAGAGTCAGCTTATTTCCGCTGGACAATATAGCCGGAGGTCTACGATTTACGCTTTTGGTGTTGATTAGCTCACGACCATCGGTGTCGAAAATCTGAAACGTAGTATTTTATCGTGTTTTTACGCTTTCTAGGAGATATAATGCTCAATTTAGTCTGTCCCTGGAGCAAATAGTAGTTCTTTCTCTAAATTCGCTTTTTTGAAGCTGTCCTTATACTCTATCGAAACCAAAACTTTTGATGATGTAGTTAATAAGACAAGTTCAGCTTCAATTTGTCGTGTTTCCACTTAAGATAACATTTCTCCTTGGCGACAGTAGTCATTTATAAGCATGGTTGTGAAGAGCAATTACTAACCATACCATCCCCACAGTCTTATGAGTTTGATGTGAAACAGAAATTATGTTTTGAATGAGATTTTTGGAAGAAATTTCGCAATGAGTTTTCGCTTCAAAAATAAAATTAACTCAAGCTTTGGTTGATCGTTTCTCATCAGCCAAATTTTTACAAGAATTCAAAATTATTATGTACAGTATCCACCTAAATCCCTTTTTTCTTCAACCAAATGAAAAAAAAACTGCTGTTTCTGCATCCAATCAGATGATGTCAGCATGAAATTGTTGATCCTATACTACGCAGCTTTGCATAATGCCAATATTTACGGGTAAAAAATGCAAATTTGGGATTCACCAAATGCATGACGTCTTTGGAAACAAATTGAACCTAAACTTTGACCACGAAAGTATTTATTACTATACTGACTAATTATTGCGCATTAGCTTCGGTTCGCTTATGGAAAGTGCATCAATCAGCGTCCTAAGAATCCCTTATCAAACAAAACGACTGCTTATCATATCAACTTGTGCAAGACAAATCGAACTTTTCAAGAAAAAAATATTCTAATAATCAATCAATTGAAAAGAAGTCAGTGACGAAGTTTACCTGCATCTCACTCTGGAAGTGTACATGGAAGTCGTCGAATATTAGGCGAATATATCCCTCTTCGTAGGAATTCACCAATGTGTAGTTCTTTATCAACGAACGTGGGTAAGCGGCTGGATATCTGAAAATATTCGTAGAAGTTTGGAGTTTTGAAAGATACAGGCGCACTGTTACTTTAGGCCTCGGTCAAACTTCACGCGACTTTATCTTCGCGATCTAATCGCCAAAATTTCCATTCATTTTCATTTCACATTCAAAAATTTCGGGCTGGAAAAGTATCACAACCGAATGCAAGTTGATCGGCATGGAATGATGTTGTAACAGTTGTCTCGTCGCGATTGAGTCGCGACGATCAAATCGCGTGAAGTCTGTCCGGGGCCTTAGACATAAAGTTAGCCCGCTCCATATGAGTGAATCCTGGAAATTTTTTAATATCATTATTTTTGATATTCATTGCAAAAAGTGCAAATGGACTTCTGAATATAGAAAGATTACTTGATTTCCCACATAAACTTTAAGGCTAATTGTAAGAATAAGACCGGGTAACTTCATTGGTTCCCCTACAGATATTGACCCATATCTTCTATTATAATACTAATATAATCTGATGAAACTCGAGTAATGCTTTTACAAAAGCCCATATTTCCGGCCCTCCCTCATTTTTGATATCCAAGAGCTGGGTTAAACTAGAAATCATACAGCCAATGGATGGGTGAGCTGGTGTAGCATGGATGAATGAACCCGAAATTTAGCTGGTTGAATGGTTCGGAAGGGAAGAATATGTAATATCTAGAAGCTGTTGTGTATGAAAGGATAATTGGGCTGAATAGACTACTAGCTAGAGCGCAAGCATGATTGAACTGAATAATTTTCTTTCTTGAGTATGCAACTACCAAAATTATTTATTTTTAAAGTTAAAAAGCTATGAGAAAGCTAGTATTTGTACAAGTAGTAGAAAAAGTAGACGATTTTAGACTCCATTAGCAAACTATGGTAGGATTTTACTCTCAATGATTTCCATCTAATTTTGCTTGATCATTTACATCACAATCTTGTGATACTGAACGCGCAACAAACAGTTCTGTAAAAAATTTGGTTTTCCTCCAATTTTCAAGCTTACCTTGGAGATTCGATGAATCCTAGTGCAGACTGATTGGGTAATAGGATGTTCTCAGATGGTGTACCGGTTATAATCACCTCATTGGAGACAGCAGTGATGGTAAATGGAAATAAACTCTGAAATTTTCAACATGAGTTTCCACAGGGGACAAAGGCTGAGTCTTTCTCACTTCGATATAGGTGTCAAGTGTTGAGTTGGAGTCAATGTTCCACATAGTCATTGTTAGAACCATCGAATTGCCTGTGCTGTTCACTTCAGACCTAAAGAGGTTAAGAAGTGATTTATGGAGCTAGGTAACTAGGTAACTAAAGGAGCTAGAAGAATTTTTACTAAAGAGTTCTTTCCAGCAGCTTCTATTCATACTGAAGATCAAAAAACTGAAGTTTTGGACTAGTTTCAAGTGAGCGAAAATTACAATCTTGTGTAGGAGTGAATACCTTCTTGGAAAATCCCATATGGAAGACTTTTGATAAATAGAATCAAGAGCAGTGTCAGCTCGTTCTTCTATAAACCGTAAATCGAAGCAGGGATCTTCAAGAGATTCGTAGCAACTCGGCATCTGCAAAAATTCTAAATTAAGATAAAAATGCAGCCAATAGGTATAAAAAATTTTCTTTATCTTAAAATTCAATTCAAAGGGAAGAAAATTGATTTTTTGTGGGTACGGTAAGCAGATAATTTCTTCATACACTGCAACTTAGTACGCGTATTGCACACCTTGCGGGCTACTGACGACTTGTAAGATCAAAACCTACTGTTTTCCAGTAATTGCTCTCCGCTTTTCGTTTTGAATGGATATATTATTCAGTGATAATTTTTAGAGTTTGTTACGCTAGAAAAATGTTTTTCAAAGAAATGAATAGTAACGATGTCGTCGGATGGCGCGCATAGTCTGCAGGCTCACCAAGTTACAAATGATTCGAGGATAAGTTATCCTTTTTGTTTGGAGATTTCTGCTCTGCCTCTTTTTTCTCTAATTTATGCGTGATATATATGTAATATTCGCAAAAATCTACCGTCCCTTTCTTTGGAATCACCTAATAACTTGCTAGAGCAGTGCCTGTAAGTGAGGTTATTGCGTTCGCATCCGTTATTTATGAGCGGCGACGACGGCAGTAATTGCCTACGGTCGAACAATGCCATGCACGACGTTGTGTGCGTGTGGGTGTCCTTCAGAAATCGCTAGATGGTTGGAAAGTGAGGTGTGATCGGGGCATAAGTCATGTCACATAGGTAATTATACTGCTGCGCCGGAACACAAGTTTCGCTTGTGACACTGACTTTTGTGGTTTATTGGAGTGAAGTTTGCTCTCGGAAGTTTTTTGAGCGGAATGGGTGAATTGACATGTTTGAGAGGGTCAATTGTAATTTGATTTGTGAGCCTGCACACTACGAGCCTCAAAAGACGACATATTGCTGGTAGTTACCAGTAGAACTTCTTCGTGAAGAACAAACTGTGGAATTGCGTATCTATAACTAGTAAAAATGAAACAGAGCCAAAAGAGAAAAAAAAACGAGGAGAAATCCCAAAAAATTGAAGGTTTAAGTCTCACTAGTCGTGAAGTTGCGCGCGTGGTGTGCACTACGCATTTTACATTAAAAATAATTCGACGATGACTAATAAGGCACATAGACTCTGATTGAAATTTGATCTGATGCGTAATACGCGAGGGAAAAGCTAAGCGATTAATAGCCTTTCTTTTCCATGCGTTCAAGTAGAAATGAATGAATTTCTTGAAACATCGGTTGAGATGAAGGCAGGATCCAGGTAAACCCGGTTACCCAAATTTCTTACTTGACTGAGCCTCTGCTCTAGATTCAGCTCATGAATTTCATTCGTGGACAGACTCAATATTGAATGTCCGCCCACTACCGTATTCAAAAACGCGAGCTGGTCCTGTGGAAGAGTACAGTGGTGGGCGAAACTCTAGTATCCGTCTTCCATACATGAATTAAGTATATGAACTACCGCTTGGACGATAATTTATTGTCTCTCAATCGAATCAGCTTCAAAAGCCCGATTCTAAAAGTCCAAATTTGTTTGCATCCCGCTCAAATCCAGTCTAGCCTTCTTTTATTTTCCTCAAACATTTGTTTATTACAGCACAATGCCTAACAAGGAAAAAAAATTACCATTCGAATATCCCGCTCGTTGAAAAAATCTGCAGGAGGGCGATGTTTGACGTTTATAATACAACTGGGGCAGGTTTCTATCCGTAAAGAGCATCTCACCGGTGGAATTGGTGCTATAAACCGAGTATCTTCTTTTAGAATGGGGTTCCAACAATTTTTTTTAACGTACCAGTGTCATTTTCAAATATTCGAACTGAAATTTGGTCTCGCTCATTGGCCAGCGCTGCCACATGGTCACGTTTTTGTGGTGGAGGTGGAAATCCGGGCAAAATGTCCAGTATGTCGAAAATGCCTGTGCCGCAGATCGGTACATCTTCTGCTGAAAATGGGTCGAGTTAGATGTGCAGGCATTCTATCTATAGTAGTTCAGTTCAGTCCCTTGTTTGCTGAATATGCTCTGACTGCATGAGAGAGTTTCTGTGTCGGGTGCTGGGTGGCTATTTGGCAAGCGTGTCAATTGTGGCTACGAGGCCCAGTTGACACACTTTTATGCACCTATATAGAGTGACAGAGGCCGTTAAACAAACGCGCAAACAATTCCGATGGTTTTTAATACCCGCGGTTTTTGATATGAAGCGGGAATCCAATGCGTAAATCTAAACGTAAATGCAATTTCTATTTGCAAAATTTTATCTCGTTTTTGGTTGTAGAAGGAGATCTCTTTGAAAAAACAAATAAATCAGCTTACAACACAAATACAACAAAGATATCAAATCAAAAGGTCAATGAGGTTAATTGTCATGGCTTCTCTAAAGCCTTGTCAATAGCTTCAACTAGTATCTTTGTCCACAAAATCCCTCTAAAGGGCAACGAAATATGCAAAAAAATCTTCATCTAATCCAGTCCTTGGAAATATCACATGAACCCGCTTCTCTCAAAGAATTTTTGAGTAAAAAAGTTTCTTGAACCTAATCCAGGTATTATCTCGTATATTTTCCTAAAGTCAAACTTTTGTCTTCTATGAGCTAATAGCCTTAAACTTCTATTCGAACTGATTTTCGGGTATGTTATAGCATCTCCAGCAATTATATTTTCATGCAATTTATGATGTCTCAAAAACTAGCATATTCACGAGGATGAACACCATGCCTGTATTTATCAGCTACATATGTGAGAGGCAGTTGGATTGTTAGGGGCGCAATTTGCAATTTCGGCTATTTTTTTGAGTCGTGATCTCACAGAATTCCGTAGGGGGAGCTTAAGTCTCTGGATATAGGTACTATGATTTGCTTGAAAAGTATAGGTGTATTCTTATAGAGGTAGGTTTGCGGAACAATTTTAAGATCTTGAGGTTTCTTAAGTTACTCTATGTACCTACAAGTGTAAGATGCCGCAAGAGTTTAAAATATTTCTATCCACCTATGGATAAAACCTGACTATCTTAGAAAAGCATATTGACCGAGAACAATCTTCGAAATTTGAGAATTGCTCATGTGAATATCGGGGATAGCGTTTCAACTCTCACTTTTGTGCTCATTGTACAACCGAAAAATTTTTTGAAATGTCTAGGTGCTCTTTTCCTAGCTGCAATATCGCGAGATTAGCAGACATAATCCGCTTTTAGCTTACGACATTCCATATCCAAAAGTTGCACGATGTTTGAAACGTATACATGTATACATTTGCTGATTGTTCTCTATGAATCCATGCGCTCTGGTCTAGACAAACACAGGCGCTGTCTGGAGGCACCCTGTCCTCGTAGAGAGCTTGGCAAATAAGTGCTGGAGGTTTTGGATTCGGATCAAGGGGTATTACGCTGGCTATCGATTTGTTTATGAATGTTATAAAATGTGGGTAATCTGAGAAAGGGAGCTATTTTGTCAAAAAAAGAGCAAAGGGAGTTGGAATACGTAAAAGATCAAATTAGGTCAATCTTCATTAAAAAAATTAGCGCGATGAATTATAATTCAGAAAAGAATTTGAGAGATAATCTTTTCTTGGGTGAAAAATTAAATGTAAATAACAATGAAAATCCAAATCATATAGAAATAACTTAGAATGAAGAAGGTTATAATGAAAAGTGTAATATAAAAATATTGATAAATATAGTTAGTAGTGAAAATATATATGTGAATCAATGAAGAAATGAAATGTTTTTAAATATCATGCGATAGCGTACCGGGCAATCGTATCATTTGAAAGTGGCCTAGAGTTCTATGATAACGCAAGCATTTTTGATCTTTAAAATAGAAATAATTTTCTAAGTCTTCAAAAACTGATTAGTCTTCCTCTCTATGAAATCAAAAGGCGATATAAAAAAGATGGAAAGCATCGCAAAAATATTTTTGCAAGGCGTGGCTACAATCCAACGTGCAAAAATACTCCTGTCGCGCCCTTTCCCTCTCCTTCAAAAAAAATTTGGGCCGCCACTTTGATAATATTTTCCAATTTTTTTTCTACAATTTAGCATATAAAATCGATAATTATGTTTCATGGACAATTCTCAGTTTTATTCTCCCATTCACGGTTTCAATGTCGAACACTCCGTGTAGAGCCCGATACCTTCACTACCAGCGCGTATCGCTGGAGGCTTTCTGAATATCGGGAGCACGAACAACACACATTCAGCACACACGGCGCACAATGCGCACAGGATCGCATTACATTCGCCGTCAATGATCGGGTTTGGTCCGAATAGGAGAGTGTGTATATACGGTTTGGAGAACTCTGGGTGCAACTAATTGATGCCCGAGATGATTTGGAATTGTGGTTCCATAGTGGAAATGTTGGGTAGGAATGAGGATGCGAGAACTATTAGGTTAATCCATAAGTGCTGCACCAAGATTTCGAAAAATCGTAAGTATTTGTGCCTCAACAAATTAATTTGAGGTAGCTTAAAAAGAAAGTCACACTTTGTACAGTGCTTTAGGCAAAAATGTATGTTGGCTTATCGCAATGAAAGCTGATTGAGAGAAGCAAAGTGTGTATTTTTTCGCTTCTAATATTTAGAAATGTTAAAAGATTCAGAAAAATCTAAATTTAGTCTTGGTTATGGTTTTACGGATGACTCATCGGTGACTGGATGTCCTACTACTGGTAATGACTCGACGTTTTGATTTTGTTTCCAATAAAATCCCTAGTTTGCATAGTTATTTAAAATACGCTTAGTAGGTCAAAAAGATCAAAGTTCAAATCCAAACCTTGTTTGAATATTTTTAGTTATGTTTTTGGTATTTTTGGTGCAAGACTTATGGACAGCCTAAAGGCAATCCATATATATAACTCTTTTCTTCTTGGAGGAATCTATAGTCAAAAATTCGAAAATTTTGAGTCTGTCGCTTTTTGGTCAACTATGCCTTCTCGCAATTCTGCAAAATTTTCAGCAAACGCATATTTGCGTATACTTATGGGAATAGGCCTCATGTTTTGTTTGTCTATGCATTTACATTTATCATCATCTCCCTTGAGGCTTAGGACTGGCTGGTGACATGTTTGTTCGAGTTTTTTTTTTCAAAATTATTTTTCGTTCGTATCTTTATGTATATCATGGAATAAAATGAAACGAATTGACAAAATGCCACAAAGTTCACTCAGTCCTAGGTTTTTTCCAGAGTTTTTAGCTTTCCAACGTGATTGAAAAAATGAAAGCAGAAAAAAAAACGTGAGAACGCGCTTTCTGCAACGATGCAAAGTCTCAAGGTATCTTATTTGTAAAAACTCCTTTTGCATTCTTCAGATAGTCGAAATAAAAAGAGAAGAATGCAAAGAAAAGTCGGTTGTTAGTCTGTTCTTTCGGCCTCTTTTCTGAGGCACATTTGGACTAAAACGACAATGAAAGAAAGGAGAAAATCGATTTCTTTATGTACATAAATACTTCAGTTTGCTTAGCTTTCGTATCGTCTTTTCCCACCAAAAACTGACAGCTTTTTGTTTCACATGGTCTGCGTATTTACATTGTTTGTTAGATTGAAAATATAAGTGGACGGGCGATGTTCCTTGCAGTTTGAAAGGCTGCACTAAAATATCTAATGAGTATATCAAGTTTCAAATATGATAGCATAGCATTTTTTGAGCACTTGTTTCAAAATAATTTGAAATAACAGCATTCGGCTCCAAAATCATAACAAATACTTTGGAAAAAAGATCATATAGACCAAATATCACAGAACACGTCTCATCGGACAATATGATGATCTCTCCCATGAGTTAGTTCCGAGGTATGAGTTGCAATGAAATAAGAATGACAAGTTTCAAGAGGACGTACAGAAAAGAACCATATGAATATACAAGTAATCGTGCTATGAATGAACAACCTGTATATGCGCAAATTTTAGAATTTTTTCAATTCTATCTGATCCTAGATGAAAAAAATTCGAAAGCAGTGTGAGGTTGTATCTAATTTCCAATTGCTCGCAGCTGTAACGTTTTTTGCAACTTCTTACAATTTTTGGTCTCTTTGCTCTTTTTTTTTGCGACTTGCTGTAAAAGATCTGAATATTGTAAAAGAAATGGCGATTGTACTTTAAATATTCTAATCGTGCGTCCGAGTATCTAGCGTAACTTGCAGGATCTCCTAAAAAAATGTCGTTGAAAAATGTGTTTTCTGGGTTATAAATTAAGGAGTAAGATAGACGGTCCCTAAATTTTGTTACATTGCATGTACTGCTGTGAGAGATTAGAGATTGCCCAGTTCAAAACTAATTCACTAGAGTGCCCCTCGTCTAACAGGACTCTCTCATCACCCCGCAAACTAACATTTCCTCGGCTGTAAACAGGTTTTGCGCAGAATTCTCATTGTTTAGGCGTAATGCCGACGTGAAGAAACCAGTGCTTTTCCTGGCACGACGTCACTTCTCGACATTGCTGTGTGACCACAGATATTGCGAAAGAAATGACGTCGAGATGGACATCGGAACGTCCCTTTCCAAAGGGTTCAGGTGGGGTTTGGTTCACTAGTGATGGATGGCACGGAACCATCCAGCACGTGGCTCCCTTTATGCCCCTCGATTGAAATGGACTATGAGACTCGGTGAATGCGCTGACCCAAATTCACAAAAGTTCCATTTGGCTTTTATGGGGCTATTTCTATGACTCGTAAATAAACGATGAATGGATGGAAATGGACCAAGGTAGTACGCAATTTGGCGACAGATGGTCATATTTCGTGAACATCCATCAAATCCCTTTCGAGCAGGAGCTCATTCAATATGTAAATTGTTTCGTAAAAATTTGAAAGTCTTGTGAGGTAGCCAATCGAACTTCAAGTTACAGCGATTAATTCGAAGTGATCAGCAGTAATTTGTGATTGTTATATTAGAGTGGAACCAAACAAACAGTTCCATTAGTTTATCATCACGATGACCTTGTCTATGTCGAGAA